TAAATAGAAAAGCACATTTGGCAGAGATCTGGAAAATATGGTGTGGAAAAATACCCCAAAATATAATTGAAAGCAATACATTAGTAATATTATATCACTTTACTTCATCATCCATGGTCTCTCCAACGTTGGATGAAGTCCTTCCCATTTATATTACACATACTATAAATAGTCTCTCACCAATACATGTCAATGCTAAGTTGCACTTGAACTTTGTAATCATAAAAGATATTTTTTTCCCAAAAAATATATTTTTTTTCCCCAAAAAATATATTTATTTTTTTTCCCAAAAAATCTATTTATTTTTTTCCCCAAAAAAATATATATTTTTTTTCCCAAAAAATATATTTTCCCATTGTTCATGCAACGTTCTTCATTAGGTAAATCGTAAGATCGGTCACATGCGTGGAATTTGAAACGTGCGCGCGTGTGGGTGCCTTGGCACCCGTATGTCGAGGAGATGGTTATACTGGTAGGAACCCACTGCTTACACCAGCCCACAGGGGATTATTGTGTCCGTCCGTCGTGCAGGGAGGAGCTGGGTGGGGAGGGGCTGAGTGGGGAGGGTGGGGCTGGGTGGAGCTGGTGGGGAGGGGCTGGGTGGGGAGGGGCTGGGTGGGGAGGGGCTGGGTGGGGAGGGGCTGGGTGGGGAGGGGCTGGGTGGGGAGGGGCTGGGTGGGGAGGGGCTGGTCACCCAGTGGTGCCCTTATAAAACTCAACGTTTAACCTACTCACGCCAGCTTGTGCCCGCCCTCACAGTCGGGCATATTTGCGGAATACACCACGCCACCGTTGACCCTGGCCATTGATCGAGCGACCCAACCTTCCTACCAGCTCCCTCCGCAGGAATGTGTTTGTCCTACACGCGCGGTGACGTCGCCTTTGAGAATCCACGCTCGTTCATTTACATACAGATGCAGAACGCGCAGTACTCTGCCAACTTTAGTCAGATGAGCTGCGTTACGAGTGCGCCGTGAACCCCCGGGTGTCACCGCCTCGTATTCGTGGGTTTTCTCCAGGCCACTCCGAATTCTTTCCACTTGCCAAAACTCCCATGAGTGGAATTTGCCAAATAATCTAAGTGCAGGACCCTCCTGAAAAAAAAGTGGGCCTGGAAGACCTCGAGGTTTTCGTGAATAACATGAAGCACATTGTAATTATTATACAAAATCCATGAGCAGACGAGAAACGCCTTCACATATCTGTTCCTCCATATAAAATGTAAAAGTGTTTTTGTTTGTATACATCACATGAGTCACACGGCATTCTGGGAGTGCGTTATTTGAGCATAGTTGGCCCAACGCTAGCGCATTCGGCTGATTCTAGATTTGAAGTTTTCGTGACTGCAAGGATTCATACTCTTTGATTTTTTCGGTAAAGTCACGTAGGTGAAAAAATACATAAATGAAAAAACAACTAAATTAAATCACGACGTTTCGGAGGCAACACAAGCTTCCGCCTTCAGGTGGAACCGTTACAGCCAAATTCACTGTAATAGGTGAAAGCTTAATACAGCTTATTACAGAAAGCTTATTACAGCTTATTACAATTATTATTGCGTGTTTTTTTATGCGGACTGGTACAGCACTATTCAAGGACAGTGCATACATTATCAGAGTTGTGTTTTTTGTTTGCATTCCGACCACAGGTATTGTGGTCAATGCAAACATGACTCCTTGTGAAAAAGGTGTCAGTTTTGTTGCCAGATAAAAGGGTAAAAAAACAATGATCATGGTAGCGCACCTTCAGTCTTGACTAAGATGTGAACTGACGCTGCGCCATCTCGTGGTGACTGACGGGAGCAGCGCTTCTATGCAACAAATCACAAAGTGCTTTACGTACTTGGTTCGTAAAGGCAATCTTCGGCAGACGAAAGTTTTCAAGAAATACAATAATTGACCTGATATGACTTTTTGTACGGTTTTCATCTACGATCAGACGCAACTCCAAAAATGTGTATTTTTCCTCTAAAAACAAATAACATTGTTGACGACTTGATTAAGCTTATTATATTTAAAGACGTGCCCATTGGAAACCGATCAACTTAAAGATTTCGGTTTTTTTTGTTATTAGAAAGAACAAAAATGTATTAACTTAATATTCTGAGAGCAAACTCTGTCGTTTACTGTTTTCAAATTATTCTAATTTTAACATTCATAAAATGCGTTTTTTTTTTCAAAATCACTTGAATCGGAAATATCTCAAAAACAATAAAAGATAGAACAATGGTTCTCGCTTTAATTGTATTTGCTGTTTAACACACTATCTAACGAACAAAAAACGCAATGTTACATTTTTAACGGTTTCTAAACGACACGCATATACATGTTTATGGAGCACTTAAAATTGAGTTTTGGGGGCCTTAAGTACAAAATTCTCAGAGTTTAATATTTTTCTCCCTGTCGTGTGTGTCCTAAAAGCTACCTGTGTAAAAAAATTCAGGACCTTGTCGGGAAATACCTTCGAGGTTTTTGAGACATACATACAGATTAAGGTGTTTATTTATATAGATGGTGGGTAATGTATATTGATTCTTTAGTCATATTTATTACGCCCAGCATACATGCATCAAATGAAGCGTGCGTAATATTTACTTGCATCATTTATGATTCGCAGTGCTATGCAAGTGAAACTAAACTAAGCATTTGTTGATTTTACCAGGTTAGGCTTACTGAGCAACATGGCTATTGATACAAGCTCAACTAAGCGGCTTAAAATGTAGAAATGTATAGCAACCAAATACTCAAGGCAGTTTGATTCCAAATGTGGAGGGAAAAACCGGAGGTCTAGGAAAAAATTCCGCACGACCACAGGGTGAACATTCAGACTGCAAATATACAGCAGGTGTCAGGGTTGGGATTGAAACCACAACCTCCTGTATACCAGGCGATGTAGTTAACATCTCGCCACCATGGCACGTGATTGCTTCATGAGTACCCTGCAGCCACTGTGGATTCGACAACCACGACAATGTCAAAATAACGATTTGAATCTTGAAAATAACCCTGACACCATATCATGACAATTAGGTAGGCAGGTGTGTCGGGATACAGGTAGGTGGTGGGTAGACGGCAAGGTGTGGAGGTATCGTCTGTTGGAGTTGTAGAGAGTGGGAGCGCAGTGATTCATGTACTTGCACTATGAACCCGGTGGACTGATATTCGTTCCTGATAGCGGCTAACATCAGAGTGGTGAAGTATGGTCATACAACTCCCATGACTGACAAAGCAGGGGTGGAGGCCTCCATCTAGCAGTGGATTGACAAAGGGTTGTAAAAACCTGCCCTTTATTTAAAGCAGGTGATAGTCTAATGCCATCTTGTTTAAAACGATACAGACTCTTATCTGTGTCCCCCTACCACATGTCTGTCGTGCATTCAAAAATGGGAGGGGTGGGGCTGGGTGGGGAGGGGCTGGTCACCCCGTGGTGCTCTTATAAAACTCAACGTTTAACTTACTCACGCCGGCTTGTGCCCGCCCTTACAGTCGGCCATATTTGCGGAATACACCACGCCGCCGTTGACCCTGGCCATTGACCGAGCAACCCAACCTTCCTACCAGCTCCCTCCGCAGGAATGTGTTGGAGGGTTCAATCCATCGATCAAAACAACTGTTTAAAATGTGTGCCCAGACTGTGTGTTCAGGGCTGTTTGTCACAAGTTTGAAGCTTCAATAATGAGAACATTTTAAAGTTCCGGTCAAACGTTTCAGTATTGCACGCTGGTGACAGCACGAACATGCCTCTCGCACATTTTAGCATGTCAAAGCAGCAACGTCACTGTAGTGGTATGATGGAGCCACCTGACCATGATTTTAAAGTATTTTTCTTCTCATTACCGAAGCTTAAAACTTGCATCAGATGCCCAGAACACAGGCACCTTGGCAACAAGATGAGTGCTGATCATTGTTTTGGTCGTGAATTTGTTTAGCAGGTGTGACACTCACCCCAGCAGGGTCATGCCTGCCTTCGCCATTGCCTCTCTTACATTATGGGTTTTTTTCACCGCGTAGCTCTGGGAAAATAAATTGAAATAACATGAAAGAGAAGAATATATATCGGGAACCCGTAGCTCCCTGCTTATTCGTGTGCACTCATCCGGCACATGTGCGATCAGGCGAGAGTGAGTTCATAGCTCCCCACCCCCTCTTTCGCTGGCCCTCCCACCCGCTCGCCCACCCTGTTGAGACAGACGTGACATCACACCATTCCTGTGCCATTAATCAGGTCTCATAGATGGGGCAGTTGGGGCCGGGGATGGCTGTGGGTGGTGGAAGGGGGCATTCGAGGTGTGGTGGCCACTGGGAGTTAAAACTATGTTAAAAAACTAAACTTTTTATTTTACCAGGTAATAGCCACTGAGCTATATAGCTCTTTTTCAGAAGCGACTTAGCCACAAATGATAGCTCAACAAAGCGGCTTATCATGTGGAAATCTATAGCAGGCAAATGTTAAAAACGCATGTTGATTCTAAATGTGGAGGGAAAAACCGGAGGACCCGGAGAACACTCGATTACAGGGAGAACATGCAAACTCCAAATATACAGCAGGTGTCAGGGTCTGGCCAAACCCACGACCTCCTGTATACCAGGCAAGGCAGTTTACATTTCGTCAATGTGGCGCCCAGGGTTGCGAGATGGTTAAGAGCCAGGTGTACGTGCCAGGTGTACGTGCCAGGTGTACGTACAGAACAAGTGGAGGAAGGGGGAGCCAAGCGGGCAACAACTGAACGATTTGTAACCGGGACATTAAAGTAATGTTTTTACCAGTGGAGTTTGGGTAAAAATCATTATTAACAAAATCTGCAAAATCGATTTGTGTATAACATGACTCATGCAAAAAAATATGTATGTGCGTATCCATTTCATTATCTGATGTTATTTTTGTGCAATGTGCCGTTTTATTTGTGGTTAATAAAAAAAAAATTGTATTTACTTCCGTGTATACTTTTAAATTTCGACGTATATTTCACCCTATTATGAATGTGGTCCTTGTGCCTGCAGCTTTGATGAAATCTACAAATTCCACCGGCAAATCCTGCGCGTGAAAGACCGGGACGAGTTCCCCATGATCCTCGTCGGCAACAAAGCGGATCTCGATCACCAGCGCCAGGTAGCACACCGTACAATGACCCCTGCCCTTCCTGGCTCCCCACCTCTGAACTCTGACCTATGTCTGCTCGTTCGCCCCTTCCTCCACATGTTTTGTATGTACACCCGCCTCTCAACCATCTCGCCACCATCGGCGCCATGGTTTCGAGATGTTAGCTACCTTGCCTGGTATACAGGAGGTCGTGGCTTCGATCCAGACCCTGAGAGTTTGCACGTTCTCCCCGTGGTCGTGAAGATTTTTCTCCGGGTCCTCCGATTTTCCCACTATTTTAAAACATGTGTTTAAGAGTATTTGGCTGGCATACGTTTCCATATAAGCCACTTCATTGAGCTATCATTCGTGGCCAGGTCGCTTCTTAAAAAGGTCTTTATAGCTCTGTCGGCCTTACCTGGCAAAATTTTAGTTTTGAGTTTTTTAGTAACCTCTATCCTGTACAGCTGGTGCCCTACGACGTCTGCTCTATGCACCTGTACCATTGCTAAATGTAATTGGTCAATTGGAAGTGTCTTCGAAAGAACATTGCACGGGTGATGTTATACTCGGTACACAAAGTGATGCAAAGTCCACAATGTGGTATGTGAGGCACATTGGTGTGGTAGCAGGGAGCATATTGGTGCGGTGGTAAGAATATTGGAGTGGTGGTGGTGGCAGTAAGCACACTGGTGTGGTAACTTTCAGCACATTCGTGAGGTGGTGAGAACTATGGTGTGGTGGTGCGCAGTGGTGTGATGGCAGTGAGGACGTTGGTGAGCACGTTAGGGTGGCGTTGTGCACGCAGTGCGGTGCACGTGCTTGCGCTCTGCGTCACCCCACCACATCCACGTCTCCTTGGTGATCATGTGCAGCTCGGCATTCTTGCGGTGTGAGCTGGGGCTGTGCCAGAAACGCCGGATATTTCCGGGGATCACCTTTCGCTCGACACCACCGGAAAAGGCCCACAGAGAGCCGTAAGGCGGCGCGAGCAAAGCGGCCGGCAGCTGGAAGCCCCAAATCTGTCCTTTTCACAAATCTCACCCCCTCGTATTGTTTCCGTTTAGTTTGTTTTGGTCGTTTATTTAGCCCAGCTGCATCCCATTTGCATTGGCAGACACTGGCCAGTCATTGTGGTGAGGCGGTCAACTCAGTCGTAAGGGTTCGGAGTTCAATTCCCAGTTGGTGGTTGAAGCGGCAAATCATCTCTCTCTGATGGAGAAGATGAGCCTGACTTTGTAACAAATCATTTGTGTTTGTCTTTTGGGGTAGGCTGGCTTACATCGTAGGAATGTGGAACTTACACCCAGTGTGGTGGCTCATGACTGCGATTGGTTGCTTTGGGCTCAAAAAATGGGTGGCTGGTTCGTGCCGGTTTGTGAAACAACCAAACCCCCTGCTGCTGTTGATGTGGCCATTCGATGGCAGTGGAGCAGGTGCATTTTTTAAATCCATCTGTGCATCTCTCTGGGTGTTATTCCCTTCATGCATGGATTTACTCCGGGTAACTCTGGTTGTGCCACGAACTAAAAAAACACATTCATATTTACTTTGCCAAACATATGAATGCAAGATCATCCAGGAAGAGTTTGTCAAGAAATTCCAGGCTCTGATTGCGATGGCCATGGTGCAAGTGGGCACCTCCCATCTCAATATGCTTTACAACCTCACTTCCGTAACGTTGCAGTCCTGACGGTAGTAGAACGTATCGATGTTAAACCTCTTTTGTATCGTACGTAGCCAACCGTGGTCATCGGAGGTGCGGGGCAAGGACAAGAAACTAAACTAAAAAATCAGCTCTAAACAAATGAGTTTTCGATTTAGATTGTTTAAAAGTGCACAGCTCCAGTGGCTTCCTCATATCTGAAAGGAAGAGCTTTCCAGACGGCCGCAGAAGCGCATCTGAAAGCGCGTAATGCGGTAACCGTCTTTGTTCGACGGCTGCTTGCGAGGATGACCAGAGTTCGCGTGATAGTTTATGCTCCTTGATGAGATCAGAAAACACCGTACACACATTTTGTTTTTGGAAAAACAGCACAAAACAACGTCAAGCGTACCACGTTGGACTGGACGGCTGCAAGTCCGTGTTTGGAGGTGCTGTCTGAAAACCATTAACTCCCTTTCCTGCAATTACAGCTTTTTAGGTAGCTCGCAATTAGTCCTGCTCCACCAAGTTTTGTGTAGCGTTATTGTAAGGAAAAATTGGGCGCGCATAAATAAAACGCAGATGTACCTCAACGCCTCGTCAGACAGGGAGGCATTGTGTTGAACCTTCGCAAGCCACGCTGCGAGGCACTCGCCTCTGGCTGGTCGAGTGGTCGCATTTCCTGTCCAGCTCCGCGGTGGAGGCGCGACATCGTTTCCCTCCACCGCCCCCATCTGTGTTGGCTCCGCGTCGGCGGTGTGGGAGCACGATGAGCAGTCGGTTCTGGCCGACTGTAATCCCAGACCCGTAAACTGAACTGGCACTGAGTGATTAAAGGACGCAACCTAATAAGGCCAACAACAAGTTTTAAGCTTCATTTACGATAAAACAAAGAGCTTAGTGAGATATTCGACTTTAAAGTTACAGGCGAGTGGGGTGTCTTGAGCACTCCTGATGTTTTGTGTTCAAATCTGGATTCCAGCCACCCAAACTGAACCCAGATCTTCAAGTTCACCGAGTTGACGGTTATAACTGTCAAGACCTAACTTAGATGCCCAACTATTTTACATCATTTCTAGATTTGAAGCTTTCGTGACTGCAAGGAATCATACTTAGTTTTTTTTTTCGGTAAAGTCACGTAGGTAAAACAAATAAAATAAATGAAAACAACTCAATTAAATCACGACGTTTTAGAGGCAATACAAGCTTCCTTCCATCAGGTGTTAAAAGGGCACAGAAAAATAACTGTAGTGAGAGTTATTTGTGATGAGACATTGTTATATAGGGTAAGAGGAGGGGGAGGCGCCAAGGAGGACGGGCGCAGGATGGGGGGGGAAGCTTGTGTTGCCTCCTGAAACGTCGTGATTTAATTGAGTTGTTTTCATTTATTTCATTTTATTTCATTTATTGTTTTTTACCTACGTGACTTTACTGAAAAAACCCAAGAGTATTTTACATTACTTTACGACCCATTGTTCGGCCAATTTCTGTTCAATGAGTGTGTTTTTGTCTGGAAGCCCGAAAACCCAGAGCAAACCCATACATATGATGGCAATGACGTTCAACATTTCACACAAGGGTGGATCACTGTACTCGTACTTACATCTCCTAGCCACCTCGCAGCTTAACAGCTCTGTGTATTCACAAGTCTACGTGATCCGTCGACCCTCGCCTTCAAAGTGCTAGGTGCGGACCACCATGCCGGCACAGCACATCAGCTTGTAAGCGTCATGTGCCTGTGCTTATCGAGTCTCTATTTGACAAAGATAATTATTATATTCTTTGAATCTTTCGGTAAAGCCACGTAGAAAAAAAAATCAAGATATTACAAGGGAAAAGAAAGGAGACGCATCAGTCGGCAGGACGATGCGAGTAGTTGAATGGGGACTCTACACAAGGGAAGCTGAAGATCAGGAAAGGTGACCGACTTTTGGCTTCGGTGCCTCGCGTGTCGTGTGCTGCTGCTGCAGGTGACGCAGGAGGAGGGACAGCAGCTCGCTCGCTCCCTCAAGATCCCCTACATGGAGGCGTCGGCCAAGGTGCGACTCAACGTGGACCAGGCCTTCCACGAACTCGTCAGGGTCATACGGTGAGGGACACCGCATGCACGTGCACACTGCCGTACACACATTCACGTTCGTACGTAAGCGTGGATGTGTTTAGTTGCACTGGGACTTCCAGTATGCACATGCACACACACGTGCACATCGCATGCAGACACGGTTGAACATGGGCACACGTGGTTATACAATCCTGCAGTCTTACGCCCGCATGGTCATACATGCGCTCACATGGTATTATAAACACATGCATGGTCATACATACACTTTGACGTCTTATACACACACACACGTGGCCTTATGGCTACACGTACAGTCCCATGTACACACACATGCGCTCAGTGCTCTGTTCACCCACACTTTTCTTTACCACACCCACATGACAAATTCTGCGTCTCATGAGTTGCAGATAAACAAAGTACTGTAAGTTTATTTTTTAAGTTGTTACTTTAGCACCAAGTGCAATGGCCATGTGATCAATGTCTCTGGATGATAACATGTGAATTACCAGGTGTGAGGATTGGGCATCCAGCGGTTGATATGGTGGCCAAAGAATGAGAAGTAACAGCATGGGAATACAAACCATTCTCTATGGGTTTGTGTAAGGATCCTAACAGCAGCATTCCACGTGTGACAGCTGGAGATGAATGACTGAGGAATTCCATGAAGGGAAGAGCGGGGTGAAGGAGGGATCCAGCAATGCTGGAGTTGAGTTGTCATGAGCAAGGAGATGATGTGGAGGTCGTGGCAGGATGATTAAGACCTGACAAGCAAGGGACAAAGAGAATCAGAGTGGAGAATGGCAGCATTTCAAATCTTCACACAGCATTTAAAGGAGGTGGAATATTTGTACGTAAATCAAGTTTAAGGTTTGCTGGGCTGCTGCAAAATGTTCGAGCTTCAGACAGGAAGAAGCCGCTACGAGAGCGGAAGAAGAGGGTGAACGTATGTGATCGAGGAATATGTAAAGCGGAATCAATGATGGGCTGCTGTTTGTGCGTCTGTGACACAGCATTACATAGTCCATCATGGGTGAACTTAAATGGAGAAAAGGTTTAGAATATCTAGATGTTGAACTTTTTTCTCATCGTACGTAGCCAACTGCGTTAATCAGAGGTGTGAATGCATATACGGTCAAAACTGACACCTGTGGGATATCTTTGCTTCGACGTGTTGTTCGAGGAAATATCATTCGGCAAGGCAAGGGGAGACCGAGATGGATGGCATCGATGGTTTTAGAGTGTTGTCCGATTTTTACAAATGAGTCCAAAGAGGAGGGACGTGGGTGCTGGTCATCACTGCCTGTGTTTGAAGCAGTAGAGCAGGGTAGCCAATCACATATTTATGGGATTTAGAAGAGATAAGCGGAACTGTGTACATGCAATGAGAGGGGCAATAGTGAACAGTCGCGCACCATCTATGACCCACAGGAAGTTCCAGGTGGACGAGTGCCCGCCTTCCTCGGAGCCGCCCACGAAGGAGTCGACCGAGAACGGCTGCCGCTGCGTCATCCTCTAACGGCCGGGCGGAGCTCCCGTCCACTCGCCCACTCCTCGCCCAGCTGTCCTCTCACTCGCCCGCACCCCTTCCCAGACACCGACCCCGCCAGTCGACGACGCTGCCACCACTAAGCCGAGCTGCCCCGGCAGCGCCGTGATGGGAGTAGGGGGTGGGGGAGCGGGAGGCTGGAAGAGTGAGCGGGTGTGGCGCGGGAGCGGGGAAGCGGTCTGTTTTATGCAATGCCTTAGAGTGAGGGCCAGGGCCCACATCATCCTGCTACCACCGCGCTCGTCGTTTTAATGAAAACTACTGGGAGTGCATGCTCCATTAGCCATGCCCACCGTGTCCCTAACACGTACCTTCACCGCGCAGAGTAGACGTGTAAGACTTAGTGACCGTTGTATTAAGCCTATTGTGTAATGTCGACCATTTTGGGGGGGGTAGAGGTGGGGGGTAGGGTAGAGGTGGGGGGGGTGTAAAGAGAACCCAACACGGGTTACTGTCATTAAACATCCTCCTATGCCAAAGTTGTAATAACTTCTTAAGCCCGCGTACCAGAAGTGCCCGTTTGTGATGAGGTATATATGGTGATGTTAACCCACGACAGCATTTGCTTCCCCGCATTAGGGTGAAGCGGTGCTCGTGTGGTTCACACACGCACTGCGCTTTTCTCCCATGCGTCCCAGGTTCTACTCTAGATCGGATTTGTTGTCCATTTGGCCGAATGGTCATTTGAACGTGTCTTGAGCCTCCTCCCTGGGTCAATCTGGCATAAAATTAACTGTTGCGGTGGTTGAGCTTCTTCACTGGGGAGACAAAGGTGGCCGTGCATGTGCGAGTGGTACTGCTCTTACTGGTTCCTCAGCCGTGTTCCCATGGCAGCCTTAATAGCTAACAGCACCGTGCCAACAAAGGCAGGGTGGAGGTGGGCTCCTTGTTTTACCCTTAAGCCGTGTACATCCCCCATATGGGCATCGTCGCGTGTACGGCGCGCTCGCCAACGATTTACGTGGTATTGAGACACAGTCGTCATTGAAGCGAGAAGTCGTACAAACTGAAGGTGACAGGCAACGTGTAGGCGAGACTGCCGGGTGATTTTGTGGAGGAGAGGTGGCGGGGGTTGTCAATCTCTCCCCCGCTGTGTAAAATATAACGAACAAAAAAATCAAAAATCGGTGGAAAAAAAATTAACGTCAAACTTTAAAAAAATTAAGTATATAGTTGTGACTGCTTGCTAATGTTAATTGCAATATATTACCAAATAGTGTGCCTGATTGCATGGTGGATTTTTTAAAATGTTTTTTTATTTTTACTGTTATCGGTTTTTTTCAAGACTTGCAAGTTCATTGTATCGGAACCAGTGGCGTTCGTTCTTAGTACAGAAGGCAGGTGTCGGATGGGTGCGGTATTTCATTATTTTCTTTTGTGCCTGAAATAATGCGACTAATTTAGCCATTAACGGTGTAAATCGACCGAAAGAAGTGTGCGTTTCGGTTCAGATTCAAATGACAAGGCAAAAAAAGTTCAAGCATAATTCTGTTGCCAATGGTTTTATTTCATTTTCTTAACACTGTTTTAAGTCCAGCAACTACTGTAATGTCTTTCTGTTTTTAGAGTGTGTTGCCCGATTTTTACATTACCCTATAAATCTGTCCACCTGCTTCTGCTGTGCTTCATCATTGCCTGTTGTTATTTTAAGGTCGTCCACTGACCTGCCTTTATAAAGCCGTTTAAAAAAAAATCTGAAGAAAAAAATTTGTAATCCTATTCCTTATTTTCATATATAGCCAACAAAACTGGTATTTTTTATATGTTTATAAGTCCAATGCTTTCACAAGTATACGTTTGTGTATATGTACATAAAGGACGAGCAGTGTGTGCCTGCCGTGCGTCGTTCAGTCTCGTGGGACGAGGATTGGGTGGATTCACCATTGGGAATGAATGAACCCTTAACCTGCCATTTCACCATAACTCGGTTGTCTGGTATCCCCCACCTCCCCACACTGTCCTGTTTGGGATAAGTCGCAATAGGCTACAACCATGGTGTTGGGTTGATGTCATGTGGCATGAAATTGTCTTGGCAAGGGTGCAACGAATTTTTATTTGGCAAATTATTTCATTTGGCTGGTGCCACAATTCACATATTTCCGGACCGTGGATATATCCTTGTCGCAGTCTGGGCCATGTGACTATGATGAGGGACGTGTGGTAAGGGTCGTGACAGTAATGGCTAAGCTGCCAAACGTTGAAATGTGCTCCGAAACTGAGAATCGACTCCATAACTGATAATCCTACAAACTTTGTAGTCACCATGAACCATAAACACACGCTTGGGCAAAAGTTAACAATATTTTAATGCACAATTGGGGCATAACAAATTCCAGACAGGTGGGACTGGTTAGAGCTCACCTGATTAAAATATCAATTGGGGATGGAGTCCATCAATGTGCCAGAGTTGCACTGGGAGTTTAACAGTTGTCTTCTGGAGAAACGAACTCTTGCCTTGGGAATATGGAATTTCCATCACTGCCTCAAGGCCCTCTGGAGATGAGCACCACCCCACGCTTGAACAAACACTTGATTGTGGGTATGGAATGGTTCTGCTCACTGCAACAGTGGAAGTGACTTAAAGCCCAGGTTGTCAGGGGTGGGTGGGGTGTGGTTTAGTTCGGATGATTGAGGTGGTTGCTGTCAGCTGGTCCCATGAGGTCACATCATTGCTCCTCTGCTATTCCCCAATGCACCTCAGTTGCCTATTCTTCTTGTTTTAATTTAATCCATTCGCTTCAGGGGATTTTGCCTGCAAGTCTTTGTGCATTGTCCCAAGTTATCCATAAGTACACTTGTTAAATACTAATAATAGTTAATGGGAAGATGGGGAGTTCGTTATATGAACCTTCCAAATAAACAAAGTATTAATGAAATGCATTGGCGGTGGTTTGCGATCAGAAACAGCACCACATTTGTCATCGACAGCCATACGAACAAAGATGTATAATAGGCCAACGTTTTAGACAATGGCCCTTACAACAGAGCCCCCCTCCCCTTTCAGGCCGTGGCCCTTGCTTGAAAACACCAGTAAGTTAATGACAAATGCACAATGATATTTGAAAGCCTTCCATTGTGAACCGTGAATTACTCTCAACAACCCCACTTTATACGAATGGAAATAAAATGGCTTCGTCAAAATTAATTTACCAAAATGTAAAAAAAACGTGCACAGACGTGGATCATTATTTGAGAATTCGATGAATGATAGTTTTAATGCACAAATTTATTTTCCCCGTTTATAAAGGGCTGTTATAACATTGCCGATTTACCAACAAAAAACCACAAGAAACGAAATATAATCGTTCAACAGATAAGTGTATTTCATAAAGTTACTCAAAGGATCGTTTGCCCTAATAATGCAAACCTGGAAAACAGTCACTTGTACAAATTCAAAAGCCACCATCTATGGGCAGAACTTCCGAACGGCGTTTAAAATGTCTCCACCGCATTGGGCCAAGAGCCACAGTAATCCCGTTTTTAGCCACAGCAGCCAAGTCACGTGGTGCTAAGTACTCTATTGGTGGTGGTGTTAGCAGTGATGGGGCAAAACTCCAGCAGAGTAGTGCCATCCACTCCCTTTCTTAGTGCCCGTGCCAACTCTCACACAGCAGCTTTCTTCTGGGACAGGTTAATCTTGTCTCCCAGGCTGAGTGCCATGCCCTGCGAGGTGGAGGGGAGGTGGGAGGAGACAGATCTGCAAATTAACAACAAATATTGGCGGTGTTCCTTCAGACGCACCCAGGGAAGACTTCGCTGGTAAGGATTATCCAGAGCTAGCTGGAAGGCCACCGACAGAGAATAAAAAAACCCAGCAAAGTGAGAACAAAGATTGTCGTGTCGCGGACCGATTGTATATGAAAGCGTGAACAGCATGTGCATACGCGAGGCTGTGTTGTGTTCGCGTTGAGTGGACCAATGTGAAACCGTGGCAGGCATGCATGCGTATGAAGAAATTATTGCGTGACCTAATATAATGCAATATATATAGAGCGCCTTCATTTGCGGTGCTTGACAGTTTAAAAAACAGAATAGAATGAATTACATGTCAGCGGAGTGCACGGATTGCAGAATGATTGACAACGAGAGAGTACTAATGGATCACAAGGATAGGGGAGGGGCTGGAAAGTGGAGGGGTGAGAGAAGAGGAAGAGAATGAGCAATGGAGAATAGGTAAGCTATAAGACGAACCGAAGGAGGTTCATCATCGCATTGCAAGAGTAACAAATCGATCCGTGACTATTCTATAAATTATTCTAAACTCGACACAAAGTACACACAATTTGTCAATCAATTATTTACTAAAATGGATGACTGCGTTGTGACAATTCATCGAGCACGCTCTTTTCTGATCGTCACGTCTACACGGCTTCATCAGCTTTTACTACTCTGGGAGTGCCGAAAGAAAATATGAATTGTAAATATTAACACTCAATACATGAGATCATTTTACCGTGCCTCTATTATAGCAATTATTTATCCACTAAAGCCTTCCTGAGTCCGAATATTTTTTCAGGAGGATCTTGCGTTTATGGCCATCGACATTGAGAGGAAACTGGAAAATCTGGAGAAAACCCACCCACACTGCCATCTCCTGGCCACACGCCTTCAATACTTGCCAAGCCCCGGTAGTCAGCCATCCAAAGCAATATCCAGGCTCAACCTCGCATATCTTCTGACAAAAGGTTCTGAGTTTAAGCTGCAGTTGTGGTAGAAAGACACTGCGGTGGCAACATGTTAACCACCCCGCATGGTATACAGGAGGTGGTGGGTTCGATCCCAACCATGATGCCTGTATATTGAGTTTGCATGTTCTCCCTGTGGTCGTGGCTTTTTCTCCTGGTCCTCCATTTTTCCTTCCACATTTATAAACATGCGTTTACAGTATTTGGCTGCAACAAATTTCCATGTTATAAGCCACTTCGTTGAACTATCAACCTGTGGTCAGGTTGCTCCTGAAAAAGCACTATATGGGCTCAGTGGGCCTTACCTTGTAAAATAAAAAGTTTAGTTTCGTGTGCACATATCCAGGTGCTTGTTCTCACAGTGGGAAGTGGTAGTGTCATGGTCAATGCAATTACCCTAGCGATGGGCCTTACATGGGAAAATAAAAATAGTTTAGTGGTGCTTGTGGTGGTTGGGACGCCGTACCTGGCTTTTGGCACGAATGCGGATGTGTCCGGTGACGGAGGCGTCGGGGCCCAGGTGCGTGGGCTTCTCAATGCTCACGTTCGCGAGCGCGTCCTCCCCGAAGATGGAACGTGCGTACAGGTTCGCCGCCATGAAGCCACAGTTCCCAAGCAGTGCCTGCGGCGAAAACTGCTCACTGTAAACACGGCTTTACCACCACCTTAAACTCACAAACACCATCCCCGAACGCCACTCGGGTACGACAAGATCCGACTACGTTTGGCCACGCCGGGAAGTATCTAAGGGGGACCGTGACCGAAGGTTCGGGGCTGCCGTGGGGTCCCGGATCTTGGCTGCCGTCGCCGTCTTCGCCGTCATCTCTCTTCAACATCAGGTCACATGGCCGATCCTCTGCACGGCTCCCATCGTCGTCATCACTATATTAGTCAGCCAACTATATAGTTTTGACGACGGGGCTGTGTAGATGAGTCAGCTATGCGTAGCCGTGTATATATATATATGTCGCCCAGTGATTGTGCCAGAAGCGTGAGAATAAATAGGAAGCCCTCTAAACGTTGTGTCTCGGAAGTCGCTCACTACACATGTACACAACTTTAAGTTAACCCACTGCTGAATGAGGGACCTCTACCATGTCATGAGGGTTATCAGAAGATAATATACCACTTATCGAAAGCCAGAAGTACAGACGTCAGGTCATAGAAACACAGTAACATCATGGATATTTTTGCACTGCTCTCTATTACCAACCATGTAGCCACAGATATCTTAGAAAAGCATGCTTTGTTCATGGGTGGTCACCCAACCAAGCACTATCCAGCCTCAAACCTACTTAGTGTCTAGGATCTGACAAGATCAGGCACATTGCCAATGATTGGGTCATGGATGAAACTGGAGTGCCCTGAGAAACCTCACACACGAGAGATGTAAACTCCAGCATGGTAAAGCAGCACGCACTGCCCATGGCTACAGCATGGGCAGTAGAGGGCAGTGCAACAATAACCATTGTTGTAATCTACTTCTATGCTCCCACATTTACGCCTCCCCCCTTCAGTCACCCACACAGACCTGTGTGGTGTAGCATGGTCAAATAACCTCGACCAAATGCATGGTGTGGGGAGACCCCTCATGCAGCAGTGGATAGACAAAGGAGAGAAAGTGTTTTAAGTTTAAGCTGTAGTAGCAGCAGCAGTGGTTGTTTCCGGTGTTGGACATTGCACCTAGCGTTTGGCGTGGCTTCAGCAGCGCATGTACCAAGACGTGTACCGCCCGGTTTCGTGTGTTGCCCCTAAATTGGTGGACTGACCTTTTCTGGAGTGAGGCATTTCATGTTGGTGGACTTGAGGATGTGCTTCAGGTATTCCATGAGGTCGAGGATGTTGGTGCTCACGGTGACCTGCACGTTCGCAAAACGCGGGTGAAGACAAACGTGACCGAGTCGGCCCGAGACGCAGGCTCGCGATCCATTGCCGGTTACCGAATTTAGTGCTCGGTCACTTTACTTGACCCGTGGCCATTTAATATTCAGTCCCACTTTTAAAAAGGGAGACAGGAGTAACGGTAGCGAGGAATGCAACGATGCATTGATCCATCGATTAAAAAAATATTTTTAATGTTCACCGTACGTGTCAAAATGTTAAAGTATGTATTATTGTGCGTATAAAAAATATTTCAAAATCGATTAATGTATGACTTGGTCGATGCCTATGTATTGCCCGTTTAATCAAGTATGGCCAGGATTCTTCGGGTAACCATCAAGCGAATTGCTCATTCACTGGCCGACACTATGGTCAGAGATGCTCTGCGTTGCTCTGTAACAAAGCGCAGGCTGGGGCTCCATGTATTTTAAACTTCTTTCGCACCGTACACAGCCAACCATGCTAAATTGGAGGTGCGGCACAGCGAGGTTCCGGAGTGGCGGTGACTGTGGTACCTTATTCTCCCACTCGAACTCGGCCCACATCTGCCGGAACTCGGCATCAGAGCAAGTGGCGGGCTGGATGTAGTCCATGATGTCGATGTGAATGTCGTTGAGGACGACGCAGTTCCTGTCACTCGCCGCGCCCGTCACGTCGTACACTGGGCACGTTGTGGGGGTGAAAAGGGGGTGGGGGGGGGATTTGTTTAACCAATGACCCATCACTCATTAAATGCATCAACAAAGACACTTCCAGTCCATCGTTATGTCAAGATGACATCACTAAATTACTTCTAAAGTCACTTCAACAGGCTCTAGGTCAGCAGTGGAAATTCCATATTCCTTTGGCAGAAGCCAATACCCCAAAAACGAGCACTGCAGACTTCTCTAAAAACGGTATTCATTTTAGCAGCCTCTAATGGGATGATGATGATGGGACGAATCGACTCCAGACTCGCATCCCTCGGGCGCCGCGCCTTACCAATGTTGCCGAAGATGATGCCGTTCTCGGTGGAGGCCACCTTCACGTTGGCCTTAATGTTGGCAAAGTCGTAGGGAGCCAGCGTGAGCGGCGACGGCTTCTCCACCAGCTTCAGGTCCCCTGTGAGTGCCGCCAAACAACGATATTAACATAATTCTAGATTTGAAGCTTTCGTGACTGCAAGGATTCATATTCTTAGGTTTTTTCGGTAAAGTCACGTAGGTAAAAAATAATAATGAAAGTAAAATAAAATAAAAATCACGACGTTTCGGAGGCAACACAAGCTTCCGTCTTCAGGTGGAAAATAATATTCAGGGCCTATCTTGGCTCCTCCCACCCTCAACCAGTATATATAAAAATACTGTTTCTTGGAATTTCTCTCACTTGATACAGCTATCGTGCTGTGACGGTTCCACCTGAAGACGGAAGCTTCTGTTGCCTCCGAAACGTCGTGATTTTTATTTTTATTTTACTGATATTAACATAGAGGCAACAACGACGACCAGCGGACCGGGAACAGACCGGCTTACAAGTCAAGCACAGTGGCTGCATCACTGGACTATCAATCCTACTTTAGATGAGTGTGTACAGCCCTGGGACAATCCACTGTTAGTCACTGCTGGATGATTGGATGAGGTTCTCCCATGCCACAGTCCACCTTTTGGTAATGACCGATATACAAATTATGAGAATCAGAATCTTTATTTATACTGGAGGAATCTAATGAGATATGAAGCTCTTTTTCACAGATGTCCAGTAGGCGTGGGTCAGAAAGTTACAACAATACGAACACACGATAGGAGTGCATAGTATAGGAAAGGTAAGTAAATCAATAAACAAAACTTTTTCTTTTACCAGGTAAAGCCTATAGAGCTATTAGCTTATTTTTCAGAAGCGACGTGGCCATAAATGATAGCTGAACAAAGCGGCTTACCGTGTATGAAATGTATGGCAGCCAAATACTCTAAATAATTTAAAAGCACGTTTCTAAATGTTGAGGGAAAAACCAGAGGACACAGAGGAAAAAGTCCACACAACCACGGGGAGAACATGCAAACTCCAAATATATAGGCGTCAGGGTCAGAATCGAAACTCCGACTTCCTGCATACCAGGCGAACATGCAAGCTCCAAATGATGCCACTGCATACTGCAAGTGTACCTGATGGTTTGGTAATCGCAGAAAGCTGTACTGAATAGGGTCACGAGGACTGGAATTGAGAAACATTGCTGCAGGGCGTACATTATGAACAAGATGTGGGCACCTACATGATTTAAAAAGGAAGATTTTATTTAAGTAAAAAATCTATCCGGCCACAGCAGTCTTCGCTGGCGGCGGGACGCACCGAGGGTGGCGAGTTCCAGCGTGCAGTTCTGCAGGGTGTCGCTCGTCTGGTTCACCACCAGCACGTCCAGCACGATGTCGTACTGGTTGATGTGGATGTACGCCTCGGCATACACAGGATCCGAGAAGCCCGTCAGCTGCGTCACCTGGTACCGACATCACCGCAGCAGCAGCAGGCGTCATCGGACGGCGCGACGGGAGAACAGGGACGGGAGAACAGGGGTAAGGGAGGTGGTGCGGGGGGAGAGGGGGGAGATGCACGCGAGCATGACGATGGGCACACAGCAATGGGGAAAGCGATATTGCCGCGTAGGTTCTCTCGGTCGTGCTGTACAGCTCTGTTGGGTTGTGTCGCGCGTTGTTCAGGCTGGTGTCCGACGCTTCGAAGCTCCCGGAACGTGGAGAGAAACGTCGAACATCAAGCTGATCAACAGTCTACAACCCCTGGAAACACGCCGGAGAGCTATCGACGAGAGCAGCTTTGTGGGCGTTGTGCGTGACGAGTGAGTGAATTGGAACCGCGAGGTGGCAATCGGGTGGGGTCCAATTGGGGCCGGAGTTTAAGTGGCATCAAATAAAAATATGAACCAGGGAGGGGTTTGGTAAGAAGAAAAGTCAAAAGTACATTCCTGCTCCAATGAGCACGAGGCACTGCTCCACTCCCCTGGCCCCGAGTGGAAAGTCCATTTTATATGCTCGGCAAATAATCGCATGTTAAGCAACCCAAATGCTTCAATTTGACTTGATTTGGAAAAGTTTAAGAAGTTATATTCCATGTTAAGTTGAAAATTTTAATCTAACAATTTTTGTATGTGCCTTCATTGGTGACTGGGCCGAGACCATCAACTCGCTACACTTGAGAACCTGGTTTAATCACGAGCAGCCGAAATCCAGATGCATTTCCAGGACGTTAACAGTGTACCGGCTCTGTGGCCGTGGCCCCGCGTCTCTATGGCAGCATGAGCTCCCAGAACTCCCGCCACCTTCGATCCCCACCGGCACAACCGCTTTCCTGCCTGAAGCAAACTTCACCTCCGCCCTCCACGTGTACGGTGCCCCCCCCCCTACACCCGAGCCGCTGACCTTGCTGAGCTTGGAGGAGAGGGGGTCGGCGGCCTCCTTCTTCTGCGAGTGGCCCGTGGCAGCCAGCAGGCTCAGTTGGAACTGGTCCTCCTTAGAGGAGTTCTCGCTCTTGGCCATGAGCTGCATGAATGTGATCGGGTCGTCGGCCTGCACGCTCACCGTGCGTTTCTCACTCTCCTTCTGTATGAACGAAGAGACACACGCACACAGCGTGAGATACGTGTGCACTCATACCAACAGACAAACCCACAGAGATGTGAATGCACATATAGAAACAGACACGGAGAGGAAAGAAAAGATGCACATACAGTGTGTAAGACGTGTACACTCACACAAGCAGACAAAATAACACAGATATAAACACATACACAGGGCGAGACATTCACAAAGGGAGAGACACACACAGAGCAAAGCATACACACAAGGAAAGACATCCGTAAAAGCAGAGGCAAATCCATCGACAAAGACGCATAAGGAGATAGACACACCTGCAGAATATGCAACTAGTGCGCAAACAACAATGACACACAGCGGCTTTTGGCTAACCATCGCAAAAAGATGGTCACTGCATCCTGTGCTTTCAAATGAGCTTCTATGGCCGTCTGGAACACTCTTCTTTCTGATAATAGGAAGCCAGTGGAGCTATACACTTTCAGCTCTAAATTGAAAAACGCAATTTATTTAGAACTGCTTTCGGTATTTAGTTTGTTGTCCTTCCCCCGCACCTCTAATGAGCAGTGTGGCGACAAACGGTGCGAAAGAAGTTCAACTTACCTACGTACACACGCGCACTCACAAACATCACATGCGACAGATACCGCGCGTTCGAGCGGGAGACTGCCACTGCCTGGCTTGGCACCTTGAGCGATCGCTTCTCCTCCTCCAGCTTGGCAGAGAGCATGTTGGAGAGCGAGCGACGGCACTCCTTGTTGAAGATGTCGGAGAGCAGCGGCGAGAGCTCGGACAGCACACGCAGGCACAGTGCAATGCGGTCCACGTCGTCCTCGGTGATCGGCTTCTTCGGCAGCGACGAGCGGCCCAGGTGCAGCACGCTTGACATGAGCAGCATCGCCTCTGCCACAAATGACTGAGAAGCAGCAACAAAAAACACAAGACACACGCAGCACAGGGTGAGACGTACGCAAAGGACGAGATGCACGCACACAATTCCAGACACACACACACACACAGGGTGAGACACATATGCACACACACACACAGGGAAAGACACCTGCACAGGGTGAGACACAGAGCAAGACGCGAGACACACACACACTCACCCTTCCAGACACACAGTGCGGCATGCACACACAAACAGCGTGAGACACGCTCGCACAAGGAAAAACATAATTACGTATAAATGTAATGTATAGATACACGTAGAAAAACTAGCACACATGCACACACGGAGTACACACGTGTAGGTTGGCACTGCACACTTTGGAACCCAGAGAGGCTGCAGTGCCAGCTCAGCGCTCGAATGAAGCAACAGACCCTTGATCCAACCAACCCTCTGAAGCAATGAGCAGTGCACCACAGAATCAGCCCCCTGAACCACCCGGTCACCCTCTGCTGTGTGCCACTTTGAGCACCACAAGAACGCGCGAGTTTGTGGCTCGGAGCACACACGGGAAACGTGACGAAGGCCAGGGAGTGGTGAATTCAGGCAAGGGGGGGGGGGGGTGCGTGGAGGTGGAAGCCCTCACATTCTGCTTGCGCTTGTCGTCCACCAGCGCGATGTAGCGCAGGGCCAGCTTGGTGAGGGTGGTGGCCATGGCTGCACCCACGTAGAAATCTCCTTCCAAGAGGAACCCGCGCAGGGGTGGCCTGAGGCACGGCACAGCAGAGCCACGGGGAAGAATATACACGCATGTCAAAGATACAGACACACACACACTGCATATACAATAACATAAGTGCACACAAGAACACATGCAAAATTATGCAGCAGCTCGCACAAATACACAGATATACATACTATATACATCACCGAGCACAACACGAGGAATAGTTCATATACAGATGCACACTCGTGGCACAGAACATACAACACGGGATGTTGTGACAGCACAACACACCACACGTACAACAAAACACGCAAAATCTATCACGCTCACCACAGTGCAACACACAACAGACTGCCCTACAGCACAACACGTACAACACATTACACAACACAGCAGACACAAAACATAACGGCATGCGCAGATCATAACAGCGATAAGGTCTGTGGTTTCAGCCCTCATGAGGTGTCAGGTTTCTATCCTGCATGATTTGTCTCAGCAGTCACCTCTGCTGACCTTTCCTTTCCTCTGTGTTTATCCTCAAAAGGCAAAAGCGGTTTCCATTTCTACTCTGGCCTCCACTTTCAAGCCACGGCTCAAATTAACAGCTTCCATTACTCATGGAATTAAAGGAATGCAGCTGTGCTTGGCAACAACCCATTGCAGCAGAGCGCCACTCATTCTGTGAGCATGCTCAGTTAAACCCAAATTTAGTCAAGGCCCATTTAATGGGAGCGCCGATTTGGCAGTGGGTCGCCTGGCCCTGGCAAGCATTGCGCCACATTTTTGCAGAGGCGCCGGCTAGCCGGCCCGGTTCATTTGACAAAGAGCTCAGTGACGTGCCGAGCGATTACGTGGTGAAACACAAGAAACATAAAGCAGCCAGCAAATTCAAAGGCTGCTTCTGCAACAGGGAAGATGGGCAAGCAATTTGGAGTGGAGTACACTACCCTACAAAACAAACTATCCCTAATCCCAGGCCTAACCAACTAGCCACCCAGTCACTAGTGTAGCCCTTTCACTGACCCTGACCAATTAGCGACCTAAACGTTAGTACAGCCGCTCCCCACTGACCCTAGCACTACCACTAACCAACCAGCCAACAGGTACTGTTGCTATGCCTAACTGTAACTATCACCTCGCTGCATGGGTGGCGAAAACCCGAATTCAAACCCGGGGTCACAGCAGTGTCGGCTCAGTGCTCTGACCAGAGCCACCCGTGAGTTCTCCTGCACCACGAGCTAACAGCAGAGCGTCGCTAGCGACAGCCTCCATAACCCGAGAGAGAGCAGTGAAGTTAACGCCACCTCTCCTCCTCCTTCTTGGAAGGACGAGCCGTGCTGAGAGCGCTCTGCGTGGCATAGGTGCCCATCTCGGTGACGAGCTTCTGCGCGGGCACCATCGACACCTCTTCGTCAATCTTGTTTTCACCCGCGGCCTTCTTGATCTCCGTCTCCACAATGGGGATCTGCCACGAGTAAGAGATGGGGGGGGGGGGGGGCGACACCGAGATGAACTTTGAAGCGGGGAGGAACTGGAGGGTGCCATTCTACGCTGCGTGAATGTCTCGCTGTCAGTGCTGTCGCAAACACTGGTCCTCTCCACTCTGCCGGTAGTGGGCTTTGGAGAACGGTGTTTTTAAACAAGAGCTTTAGCCGTCGTCCTAGCGGCATTGTGGGGAAAAAATTTAAGAGTAAGATGGTAATGCACCAGTATCTTCTCTGGATTCTCCATCTCCTCATCGTCCGGTGGGTGACAGGGCATGCATGCGAGTCCGTAGAGGTAGTGTCCGGGGTAGAGCTGTGTTCGGGTTGCATTAGATCATGGGCGTGTGCCCACCACGCACTGCGATTGCGAGTGCCACGGTGCAAAGGCCTTCTTGGGGTTGCCAGTGGGGCGACTCACCTCTCCGATGGAGCGGCGCACCTCCGTCATGACACTCTGGATGTCTTCCTTAGAGTTGCAGTACTCGCCTAGGATCCACAGCGCCCCACGCTGGATCCTGCACACAATAGCACCCCACAAACAACAATTGACCTTCTCAGCCCTACCATTCAATCACAAAGTCTCATGAGCGCGGTCACAATTTGATTCAAGAGTTGCGTCGCGGTTGGTCTCATTTGTATCATCTGTCTCATTCTCAGTATTGTTTGTTTTATGACCCCATAGTTTACAATTGGCACAAGTACATGTAGATTAATATTTTAACACATGTAGATTAATAAGCACATGTCTACTTGTTATTACTAGGTTTCCAATTCACTTTCTTAAGTCCTGGATATTTTTGTTGAATAATGGTTTCAGAAAGTGAATAAGCCAAGCTAAAATGAGCTCTAAGTAATGGATTCCATCTAGTTTTAGTTATGAGGAAGCTACTGGAAAAATGAAGTAATAATAAAAAAAGTACAGAATGTCAGTATTTGGTGTTAAAAACACAATTTCATTTTGGAAAATGAGAAGTTACTCAACTCACTCGGCTTCTTGAAGGAGACCCAGCACACGTGTGTGCACGGCATTAAGCGGATATGTGCAGAGTACAAATCTGTCCAACGCGGGAGTGTGGTGCCTCTCCTGCCGTTCTTCCTGCCCTCGTCCCAGCCACTCACTTGACAGCCTTGATGGAGTGGAAGACCTCGAGCATCTTTTCGATGATGAGCGGCCGCAGGCTCTCGAAGAGCTGCACGGCCTCCCGCACGAACACCAGCACGTCGCCCGCCGCCAGCTCATTAGTGTCGCTCAGGAACTCCATCAGCTGGCATGGGGAAGGTGGAGACGGGTCGCCGTGGGGAAAACATAAAGTGGAAAGACATTTGAATGAAAACTATCAATTTCTATCTTTAAACAATTGCATTCTACGAAAAGTCGATTTATACAAAAACTTAAAAGACAAATTCAACTCAAATGAACAATTGCTACCGATCTTAACCGATGAGGCTGTAATGTTTCACTCCTTCCATGACAACCTTTTTTCTTTCCCAACGCTCGCCCAACACCGAGTGACTACTAGGCAAGCGAGGTCAAACGAGAGGTCATAGGGGCTACAGCAGAGTGGGGTCACAAGAAAGGCAGCCGCACCACGGGGATAATGCTGGCAGCCACGTCCGGGAAGCGCACGCTGCACGAGTGTAGTGTCCGCACGAGGAGCTGGCGGAACTTGTCCGTGTCCTCGTGCTCCGTCACGTTGTTGGTCTTGATCACCTCCTTCTTTAGCACGATCACCAGCTGCGTCAGAATGTGTCCCGGGTGGTGGCGGGGGGGTGGGGGGAGGGCAAGGAGGACACGAGAGGATCAAACGTGGTGGCTGTGAGCAGTGGCTTTGTTTCCATTTCGTTGTCCACACCAATGCCTGTCCATGTTCCCAAAGTTGAGATGCCCTATGCTGCAAAGGATATGCAGCGTGTTCTTGAATCCAGGGAGATGCCCCTCAAAAATAATGTTTGAACACTGGCTTGCGGCTTACAGCTGCAATCAATATCTCCGGACCTCCATAGCAGTTTAAATGCCCATTTGACTTCCCAAATCCCGGCTCCCAGATACAGGACTGCGAGTGTATGCAATTTAATTTCCCCTCCATGTGCCAGTCTTCCTAGGTTAACATGGAAAGGTTCTCAGCATGCACCACGTGCATTGCGATTGAGCTATTCATGGGCCTCCAGCGTGGCTGACATCTCTGGTGGACGCTACTGCGGCACCGCTACCAAGGGAGCGCTCACCTCCTCGACGTTGCGCGAGGACACCAGGTCCAGCGCGAGCTGCAGAGTCTTCCTGCGCACCTCCAGATCGGGAGTTCCCAGCACACGCAGGATGTCCATCACCAGGTCCTGCGTCGGGTCAAAGGGCACCCACCGATTAACCTTTACCTAGTCAATTATTACGTTGGGTTTTTTCTGTTCACAGTTTTTCTCCAAATGATATGCCAATCGTGTTGCTAAGAGCAGCAGATTGTCATGTGCTCGTCTCAAACAGTGTTAAACCAGATGACGCCAAAAGGCGTCCTCTGGTCTAACACCGTTTGAGAAGAGGCTCAAAGAAAGCTGTCTCTGGTGTGGACCAATCAGTTTCAAAGACAATGCATATATTATCAGAGTATGTTTTTTTTTCATTTTGACCACAAGTATTGTGGTTAATGCAGACACGATTCCTTGTAAAGGTTTCAGTTTGGTATATTAACAACTTAACACCTGTTTTCTTCTAGATTTGAAGCTTTCGTGACTGCAAGGATTCATACTTTTTTACCTACGTGACTTTACCGAAAAAACCTAAGAGTACCTGTTTTGTTGCCAGATAAAAGGGGAAAACCTATTCTCAATCCCAAAATCTTATATAAACTATTGATTCTCACAGAAAGTATTGAAAGTTTTACTGCCAAGTGACATAAAATAGGCTTCAAACCCCCTCGTTCTGCAAAGCGTATACTAGATGTTTGCTATACCGAGTGCCCTACAATGCATTAGCTCCCCTACCCTCTGTTGCCCTTTCCCTCCCCTTCCCAGTTGTGCACCTGAAGCACTCGCTCGTGGCTCGGGTGGTCCTTCAGCTCGATGAGGCGATCGAGCACAATGAGCTTCACGTTGTTGTCACTCTCCTTGATGATGAGGTCAATGTAGCACTGGGCCGCCGCCTGCACACACACACACACACAGACCATCCCTCAAAGCATTAACAGACTGTTTGGGCAGGTGCCATTAGCGAGCACCTATGAAGGCCGGCATAACACACAAGAGGGTGGGGGGTGGCCAACACCATGCCCGCCCACCTTTGTCTCCCTAGTGGCAATGTTACACACATCAGGTAATAATTTGAGGCTGAGTCGACCTAGGTGAGGCCCAGGGCAGCTTCAAATAATCATCACCGGTGGTGGCTGTGAGCGGGAATGGAACCCGGGTCGCCGGGTTTGTAGTGCAGCGTGCTAACCAGTAGGACAAACATTTAGGCACGGATGCGAGAACTTTGTTTGTGGTCAATTATTCCGAGCCCTTTAAAAAAGATGGTCTCCCCCCACACCCTCTAAACTATGTTTGTTATCCGGTTAATCAAGTAACTCAAGCCAACACTTTGTAGTGTAATTATTAGCTAATCGGATAGCCGAGCTCTACAAAGACAACTATTACTGAAAACTTTTAAGAATAATATTTGGATAATTACATTTTTCTCAATCTATTACACAGACTTTGCTATCATAAATGATATGGGTAACATTCCAAAAATATGTGTTGGTGCCAATTGCCAACCCAGGTGGTACCGACCAACGGGCTTGGCTCATGGGCTTATTCACTGGGCCACTTGACAACTGGTTTGCCGCGTTCCCGGCGAGAGGGGCCCGGCCCCGTACCTTGACGGCGGTGGGGGCGCTGGAGAGCGTGACGAGCGTCCCCGCCGCCTCGTACCGCACCGCGGGGCTCGACGACTGCAGCAGGTTGTAGATGCAGCGGATGAAGCGGGCGCGCTCTGTGGGGTTGGCGTGGCACACCTACGATGGGCAGCGGCCGTCGGGGGGGGGGGGGGAAAGCGAGCAAGGTGAGCGAGCATCATCAAGCGGCCAGAGTGCAAACGAGATTGAGGTTTTTATGCGGCACTTGTTCCTCAAGGCCATGATGCACAAGGACAATAGTTGCCGGAAATTGTCACAAGCAACACATTCACTTACTATGAACAATGGCATCATGTGGCAGAATTATGTATGGCCAGTGAAAACACATTGTTGAAAAGTGGCTTTGATAATTTAATCAATGATTGGTCTTAGGAATGTACAGTTGAGATTACAATCAAAGTGAACAGATTTGTCCATTTTGGAAACAAATTTTTTTTTATTCAATAAAACATAGTATCACCACCACCTGCTGGTGACAATTGCATGCAACAATAGCCCTAAAAGTGCCTGAATGCATCACAGCTCGGCGTGGCGGAGACTTACCTTGTAAATGAGCTCAACAATGACGAGTTGCAGGATGTCGCCAAACGTCTGCACTTGGTCGATGCAGGTGCTCAGATAGTCCAGGGCACGATCCTATAGTGGTGCAATAAACAGGCCCCGGTTAACGTGAAGAAAGTTAACGTAAAATTTAAAGACACACGGTGGGTGTGATATGCGCTGCAGTACTTTATACAGCTGCTTTGAAAAATAGCGCTTCAGACAATCAGTAGCCATTAATTATCCCTCCCGCCCAACTCTACCGGTCCCCCTATTCCCCCATACGTGGGGGTATGTCATATGCATCCCCCCTGGGCTCCGAAACTAACGGCGATCGACGGCAGCGTTTCTTTTAGAGCAGTGCTTTGTTTATCTTCGCGGTGCCATGCCTGGTCGGCGTGGATGAGCATCATGAAGGCGTTGCGCTTGCAGCTCGCATCCTTCTCGTTCACCAGGAAGTCGTGGATCAGCTCCGGGGCGTCCGGGATCAGGTGCTCAAAGTTTCTGATTTTGCAAAATGCATGAAAATATTTGACGCGTAATTACAAGGACTGTTTTTGTTTGTTGTTTGTACTCGGAAAAGAGCGAATATTTAAATAAATCCACCCCACCCTCCGTCTCCTATGAAAAGGTAAAACCCCACAAAATAAGGCCACTTGCTCAATTGACCTTGATGCACATAGTCCTTGTTAAGAGTCCTGAGATGCAGTCACATTAGACACTGTAAAGACCAAAACTGTAATGTACTACTACATCGTAAACAGAGCATCAGGTCATCACTGAACTAAGGGTATATAACATCACAATGCCTCTCAAGACAAATAAAATGGGAGTGGCCAAAGTATGTGAAGTGGGGCTTTGATTTGGAAATAGGGGTGGAGTTAGTATTAGGGGCAGCATGGCTATTGTGTTTTGTTTAGGGCTGGTGCTAGTGTACGGAATGGCTAGTATGGTTAGGCTTTGGGTAGGAACACATCTAGAGCAGATTAGCAGGAGTTAAAGCTTGTGTCTGGTTGGGTAGTGTATCAGAATTAAGGGTGCAACTGGTTGAATAATATGGATAGGGGTATGGGTAGGATAAGGGCCTGGTTGGCCAGTGTGAGTAATGCTAGCGTTAGGGTCTGGTTTGCAAGTGTAACTAAGGACAAGTCTTGGAGTCTGGCTTGATGTTGTGCTCCACCTCGAAGGTTTTGCCCCGCACCTTGAACACCAACTAAATCCCTTATTCTGCTGTTTGGCTGTTGTTGCACTCGTGCTGCAGAGGGTGCAGCCTCACCGGTAAATGGTGTAGATGGCGAGCACGGCGTTGCGCCGCACGTAGTTGTGCCGGTGCTCCAGGCACGTGCGGATCGCCGGCATGAGCGGCTCCAGCAGCTCCGCCTCCTTCAGCTTGCACAGGAAACGCAGAGTGGAGCCACGGATGAACTCGTTGGGATGCTGCAGGTCCTGAGGGTGCAGGGAGCGAGGAGGGCGCAGCAGACGTCAGCACGAGTCCTTGAACGATTCGCCCGTCCCCGCCCAGCGATTTGATTCGACGCAGCGTGGCAATTTGTGGATGGGATTCGATCAAAAATGTATTTGTTTCGTGTTGTTTGCACAGTCTTATTTGTATTGTTTCTCATTTTATTCTGTCTCGCTTTATCAGTTGTGTTAATTATATTTGCCTCAATAACATGAAAATATGAATAAATCGGAAAAAATGCATTCTTACATGTTGCATTCAATGGATGTAATATCAGTGTTGAAACCTATGTTAATAAATGCATCAATACAACCATGCATGTCGAGTCAGCACCTACACCTCTGCCTCTTGCCCCAATGGACAGCAAAGAACAGCTCACCACTGTCAATATTAACATCACTGCTTTAGAAAAGAGAAAGGTAAGAATTCAAGCAATGGCCACGATTCCTTCCCAGAGGTCCAACTATAAAGACATCTCACCCATGTCTACATCAAAAAGTCAAGATGAGCAGATGAGTGTGGGTGGGTGAGTAATAAACCATACGCAGATGGCTAAATAGGTGAGTTGATGGACGAACTAGCAAGTGGGTGTGCAAACAAGCGCTTGGTAAAGCGAGACAGTGGAATTGGCAGGCATGAAATTCAGTGATCCAGTGAATAGGTGATTAAGCAGTTATGTACACGTGCACAAACACATGCACGTACCTTCCTGTAGGCATCGCACACAAGGATCATCTCTTGCAGCAGCTTGCCATCGGGCGTCGTCTTGGGCACAATCTCCCAGAAGACAAGCAGCAACTTCTTCAGTGTGTGGTCTTGCAGAGGCAGCACGAAGCGGATGATTGTCATGAGTAGCCCCGGCAACTTATCGCCGCTCAGGATCATCACAATCACCTTCTTCAGCGCCTCTGTCTTGGCACGGATATCACCCTTCTCTGTAAGTCAACGCAGTAACAAGACAAGGGAAAAAAAATTGATTCCCTTTCGAACAAGAAAACTGCATCTGTTATTACAAACCATTCACAATTTATAGATATTACACTGATTTCTAATAACCTTTTTATTTTCTTGCCAACAGGTGGTTGAATAATATGAAAGAGATGGCTCAAGACAGTAAAGACCATTTAAAGTTAATAAGCATATTGAGGCTTATGGGAGACATGCCCAGGCTTTAAAATATAATGTAGTTTTCTCTATAATTTCTGCATTATTTTAGTGGGTTATCTATAAATCGATTACCCTGTATATTAAGTATATTTAAAAATATAAATGATAAACCATAAAGTAATGTGTCCCTTTGTATTTTCAAATTACAAGTTAAGCAAATTAAATATTGGCTTTTTTGTGCAGTCATTAGTGACTGCTCAGACCATCAACTCACTACATTTGAGAACCTGGTTTTAACAACGGGGCGGCCGATACCTGGATTTGAACCCAGTACACATATGCCGGTGCCAACTCGGTGTCTGACACGGCCATTATTAAACCTGCCCTCCTTTCTCCCCAGCCACCTTACCCAAGTCATTCTTGAGGCTGATCTCAGTGGGAGGCTCTGAGTCACTGGGGATGTTGATGAGCGTGTAGCACACATTCTCGGCGGCCGTCATGTCTCGTGACGAGCCTGCAGCGCACGTCTGCGTGCCACACACAACCTGAAGTTGGATGGGACACAAAATTCCTTATTACTGGGACAAAAAACCCATTGACTTGATACACACTGGAAACTTCAATTTTTCGATAGATGGGTGGGAATTACAAATACAGTTTAGATTAATAAAGTGTGCAAATGTGACCTAAAGTCTCAAGATGCTGTACAAACAGGGCACACATTCCAAAATATTACATGGTTATTTACTGCGTATTGTTATCATTCACACAGAAAGAGTATTTATGGGTAAAATTCTACATGTCATAAGGAAATTAGAGAGAAGTGCATATGAAAAGATGTCATAGACAGATAGAGTAATCGGTAAAAGTACAAAGTCTTGATCATAAAATTGAAAAGTGGGAGTCTCAGGTTGTACAGTTAACAATGGGAAAGGAATTCAAAACAGTGGTCGCAGCAACAAAGTATGAGCAACTCCTCATGAAGTAAAGATTGACAGTGCAAATTAAAGTTAGCGAGCTTCTTTGCTGGAGTAGAACAGCCCTTCAGAAGCCCGAAGTCTCAGTGCACCTCCTCGTTCAAACATACATGTGGTAGCGCACATCTCTGGCTGGTGGCTGTGAGTCAGTGGTGGAAATTCCATACTCCTCTGGCAAGATCCGTCTGTCCACAGTCCTACAACTGTGTGGTGATGTTCCTCGAAGTGGTACTCATTTTATCGACCTGAAAAGTCAGCCCGACACTGAATTATCAGCCCATTACAAGGACTCTGGGTAGTGGGTAGCAGGGCATGGCTCACTCATTAAGCCTAATATTTATGAAGACCAACCTATCACTCTGGGATATTCTGGACAGTTCTGTAAATGGGTATTGCGAGAACTGATGTAATAATGAGCTTTTACTGGCAGTCTTTAGTAGGGCATTGAATTGTTGACGAGACCTTCGGAAGGCGACATTTGTTTATTCTGGACTGTATATGCCAAAGTGTAGTATGGCCCACAGCGGCTAGTCATAGCGATGTTCAACGAAGAACGAGTTCAATAAGTGCAACACATCAAGCTATGACTTGTAGAAATATGGCCACTGCAAAAAAGACAACCAAACAGAATAGAAACAATAAGAGACGCATTATATAAGGTTTCATTTGGAGAAAAAGGGGAGCGCTTGCAAGAGGAGCGCAAGAAAACGATAAATGTTAAACTCTTTCCGATGCGGTGGCATTTTAGCGAGCATGTGCCCGGCACGGCGTCGCCACGAGAACGCAAAGGAGCGACACTGGTGGTGGAATTGAAGCTCAAGGAGGGGAAACGAGCCGGACAATACCAGCCCCACACGGCGAAGGAATTCCACGGATTGAGAGGATTGTGGCATCGCAAGACTCCGAAAGATGGCAAAGGCGTGAGAAGTGACGGTACATCGCAACGATGGTGATGTAAAAGGTGTTGGTGATGAAGACGATCACGGACCACTGCTGACACAAAGGTGATCACAGAACGTCGACGGCGCTACAGCTGTGGAGGTAATGACGTCCCGTTGTTAAAAGATCGTATGAAGACGGTGAAAAAGCTGACGCTAATGGCTTTTTAACTTCTTTCGCACCACCAAGAGGTGCGGCGGCGGGCGCGGGGTGGGGGAAGGCCACCATTTAAATCACAAAAATCAATTTATATAAAAATTGAGCTGCGACGACGTTTTAGTAGATGATGAAGACGACGATGAAGATGACGACGACGACGTGAAGGCGCACAGCGCCTCCGTGTGGAACTCTCGTGAAAGCCGCTCCGCGCACGACTCTGGCGGAGCGACGTCTTCCACGTTACCCCCCCAGCCCCACCTCCATCGCGCCACGAACACCACCGACACCACCGCGAACGTGACCCACACGCTACACACTCGTCGGGTGCCTTCGCCGGGTGACAATTCCACCGCAGTGCGTGTGTGCGCCTGCTTTAAAGGCTCACGACGACGACGACGAAGAAGAAGACGACGACGAGAAACGTCGTATCCGAGGGCCTAGTGCCGCCACCGCCACCTCGACTAGCCGCCCCCCCCCCCGCTCCCTCCCCGCCAACGCGGAACGGACCCCGCGCCTCCGATCGCCGCAACAAAAACGTCGGCGGCCACCGCGAAACGACAACGTCTCGGACCGCGTCTCTCTCGTGAGAAGAGACGCGGCCACCACCCCCACCACCTACCTGTTCGCGGCGCTTTGGATTTCGGTGCTGCCCGAAGCGCCGCCAGCCGCTGCCGCTGCCGCCGCTTCCCGTGACGTGGAGGGTGCACGACGACTCGATTAGATTCCGCACTGCGCTTAGGCGCGGCGTCTACGTGTGGCGCGGGGGTGCGCGGGTGGGTGGGGGCGTGCACGCGCCGCGCCTATCCGCGCTAAGGAATTTGAAGGCGCGATCAGCTGACCTCCCTCCCACCCCCCCCGATCCCCATTCGATTGATTCAGTGGCCACGCCCCTCGCTTGTCCTCATTTACATAACCACTCCTTCCGGTGTTAACCCCGCCCCTTTTATTTACATAACCCCGCCTTTACGTGTTAACCCCGCCCCTTGTATTTACATAACCCCGCCCCTTTTATTTCCATAACCCCGCCTTCCGGTATTAACCCCGCCCCTAGTATTTACATAGCCACGCCTTCAGGTGTTAACCCCGCCCCTTGTATTTCGTTAACTCCGCCCCTTGTTTCGTGACTGCAACTGTCACAGCAAAAAAAAATCTGTATCACCTGAAGACGGAAGCTTGTGTTGCCTCCGAAACGTCGTGATTTTATTGTTTTTATTTTTTATTAATTTTTATTTCATTTTTTTACCTACGTGACTTTACCGAAAGAACTCAGAGTATACCCGCCCTTTGTGTTTACATAACCCCGCCTCCTGTTATTTACCCCGCCTGTTATTTACATAACCCCGCCTTCTTACATTAAGCTGCTCGTTTATTTGCAAAGCCTACGCCTCTAAACTTCATCTTCCCCGTCGACTGACCACAATAGTAGCAGCGTTCTAGATTTGAAGCTTTCGTGACTGCAAGGATTAATATTCTTAGGTTTTTTCGGTAAAGTCACGTAGGTAAAAAATTTAAATAAATAAAAATAAAATAAAATTTTATAATTTTTTACCTACGTGACTTTACCGAAAGAAACCTAAGAATATAGTAGCAGCGTTCTTCACGAGCCTCCGATTCACTTACATAGCCCCCGCCCCTAAACTTAATCTCCGCCTTCGCTCATTTACATAACCCCGCCCTCTTATGTTAATCTCCCCCCGCCCCCCCCGCTATAGTTTACATAGTCACCGCCCTCTTTCTTCCATGGCTCCTCCCTCTCACTTCGCTGCCCCGCCCCTCCTCCTCTCCCCTATTTCTATTGGGTGATTGTGCTGCGTTGGCAGTGGTTGCCACTGGCACGCAATTAAGCGAAAGGACACCGGCGCTATGGATAAGGGACATCGCCCGAAACGTCGCCGGTTATATCTTTTTTTTTTTTCGTTTAAAGTAGTTTTATTGACGAATGTGTTGAGTTTCATAATACATTTCACCATTTTTCTGCGATACTGAATTGGCAGTCGTGCAAAAGCGTGGAGCAAAAATTCATGACATCCGTTCCTCTTCCTATGCCAATTTAAAATGTATTCATCAGGAAATGTAATTCTTATCAGGCCCTATGGTGTAAAGTTTCCAAGTTTTTCTCAATGGCCAAAGTACTATGAACAAGGGTAATTGCCAGAAACGTCGCTTATTATACACTGCTCCATTTAAGGCGGTGTTATTGACGAATATGTTCAGTTGTATGTTAAAGTGAGTCGTCAAAAGTCTTTAAAGACCACCTATCGAACGAAAAATGATACGGCCGAAAACAAAGGTCAACGCGACGATGACGTCACCACCGCCACGTGTCACCGAGCCGCGATGACATCATCCTCAACAACCCATGTCAGCTTTATTAATGACGTCACCACCGCCACGTGTCACCGAGCCGCGATGACATCATCCTCAAAAACCCATGTCAGCTTTATTAATGACGTCACCACCGCCACGTCTTACCCAGCCGCGATGACATCATCCCAACAACCCGTGTCAGCTCCATTAATGACGTCACCGCACATCATTTTTTAACGCGTGGACTGTCTGTAGGCGATGACGTCACGCCGCGTTCGCGCTTTTTTGTCATTGCATCACCCTCGCAAGCCGGTTACAATATCTGACAAATGACGTCATCGCGTAGTTCATTTAAATTCTGTTACAGGGTAAAGCAGCACACAAGCGCAAATTAAAACAGATTTATTTCGTTGTTTTACCACACACAAGCGCAAATAAACAGATTTATTCCGTTGTTTTACCACGTACAAGCGCAAATTAAAACAGATTTATTCCGTTTTACCACACACAAGCGCAAATTAACAGATTTATTCCGTTGTTTTACCACACACAAGCGCAAATTAAAACAGATTTATTCCGTTGTGTTACCACGCACAAGCGCAAATTAAAACAGGGATTTGGTCCATCGGTTTATTGGCTTTCCATGCTCAACATTGTATAGTGACACAATCAATTCAGCGTCATTGTGCAGAATATAAGTAACAAAAACAGGCAATTCGCCTCCCACAACATCTCTCTCCCCACATCAAGTGACGTACAATATAAAATGTTTTTTACACTTCCCATCAGTAGCCACGTGGTCTTCAAGGGGCACATGTCAACGATTCCCCGTCAAGCGAACACAGACTTGGGACAAGTGCTGTTAGCGAGCAGCACCTATGAAGGCTGGCACGGGGGTGGGTGGCCTTTGTCTCCCCAGTGGCGATTTTACGCATCACACCAGATACTCATTTGAGGCCGAGTCGACCTAAGGGAGCCACAGGATCGGTTTAGATAATCCTCACTTGATAGTGAGCGGGAATCGAACTCGGGTCCCCGGGGTTTCTAATACCGCTTCCCATTGCATACAGGGAGGCCCAAAAGTCAGGACAGGGTTTTACATTTAATTTACGACTGGCATGAAAATTTTTAATTGTTTCTTCTTTAAGTTAATAATGTGTCAAGTATTATCTATTCTTCATTTTCAGATAACATTGACAAAACTAGACCAAGAACCCTTCATGAATTGAGACAAAACAATTGATGAATGTTCAAATGATTACACGTGTAAGCTTATTTTATTCAATTCCTACATTAATTTCAAAAGACAATTCACGCACATATTTACGTGAATGGAAATCATTTTGAACATTTGTTAAAACAAATGAAATCGCCACTCATTTGGAACCATTGGGGTCTGACAGCATGGCAGGGTGTTTTCGCATTTGTTTATTGTCGGAGACTGCACTAAAGGCCACCAGGGGCTGCCAGTGGCCCACGGGCCTTGCGATAAAGAACATTGGGACAGGGTGTTACGCTTTCCTCCCATACCTAATCAGAATCTTTGTATGTATGTACGTGTTTGTTCAAATTATTTCGCACGGTACGTAACCAACCGTTACCGCAATATACTTTAATTGCCCAATAACACCTTAATATAGAGAGGACGGCAGAGCTTAGGGGGTAATTTTACGCCAGCTGCCTTCCCCGCTCGTCTGTGGTTCGCATCTGAGTCGTCCTCTCTCTTGGAGTGAGCGAACCCTGTGCTGCATGCTACAGATGGAAATTATAAATCCTTGTTAACTGTCTGGCCTCTGTTTATGTCATGTAAATAAGGGCTATTTCCAGAAACGCGACCTAACCATGTGTCGTTTGAAGGCCACAGTGTTATTCACGAATGTTTATTTTTTTTGTTTAGTTTAAATGTGCTTGTGCACAACTGCCAACACAGCATCATCACCAAATACAATACTGTACTGTGTTAATTATTAGGAGTTTGCATGTTCTCCCCGTGGTCGCGTGGATTTTTTTGTCATTTAGAAACATGCGTTTAGATCATTAAGATTATTTTGCTGCTATACATTTCCACGTGATAAACCACTTCCTTGACCTTTCATACTTTTTAGCCAGGTAACTTCTGAAAAAGGAAGCTAATAGCTCAGTGGACCTTTGGTTGGGTTAAATAGTTTTTTAAGTGATTTGTTTACTTTTCCTGTACTTTGCACTCCTATCGATTATTTTGTACTGTTGTTGTAACGTTCTGAGCTGCCCCTACTGGCCATCTCTGAGAAATACAAGCGAAAGATGACGTCACGGATGTGAGCGGGTTGCGATTCGTTCTCCGCTCCGATGACGTCATCCACCAACTCTCGCGATGACGTTCGCTCGGCGCGGTGACGTCACGACCGTTCTACGTTCTCATTGGCTGAGCCGACCCAGCTGCTGAATTTAAACGTTTGTTGCCGTGGATAGTCGCTATCGACATACGGCTCCCGCCTTCGGTCTACCTCAACATACAAGTTACGTTTTATATTCCGTTTATATTTCCATTACTTTTTTTTTTGCGCCACCGTCGCGTCAACCGCCAGCTCGTTGAGAGTTAAAGCAACGACACGATATCGAGCTCTCGTTTGAGCAAGGCCTGAGCTAGGCCTCGCAAGTTTTAATGTATAGTACGTTCGAGTAAATTCGCATTATTAATGTTAATCTATTGCTGTACGCTGTAAGTGTTTGCCGATGCTTCATCTGCTTAGTTCCGAGTGTCATTTGCCGTGGTTAAATCTACATGTTTCTGAAAAAATGTTCTTTTAAATATACGACCGACACGCTGGTGATTGTTAAATCGGTGAATGTGTTCGTTACGGGTTTACTTGTGGAAACGTGTTGGAGTCGATTCTAGATTTGAAGCTTTCGTGACTGCAAGGAATCATATTCTTAGGTTTTTTCGGTAAAGTCACGTAGGTGAAACATCAAAATTAATGAAAATAAAACAAAAAATCACGACGTTTTGTGTTGCCTCCGAAACGTCGTGATTTTTTGTTTTATTTTATTTTCATTAATTTTGATGTTTTACCTACGTGACTTTACCGAAAAAACCTAAGAATATGTGTTGGAGTCGCTCTGCGATCTCGGGGGAGGAGGGGGGAAAACCCACAATCGACTTGTGACCACACAAGAAAGTTCAACGCATGTACTTGCGGTTACGCAGGGGTCGATCGATGTGCAATAGTCAGGTTTCGCGTTAACGAGTCGCTTTTTCTGGGCGGCGTGGCTACAGGCGGAGGTGGAGCGCGCGCGATGGACGACGCGGCATCGTTCGCGGAGTTGTTGACCTCTCTCAATGAGATGGTGGAGCAGCGGCTGCAGGAGATGGTGCGCGAGGTGGAAGAGAAGCACTTCGTCTGGCTCGATGAGATTCTGGGAGAGGCCAAAGGACGCTTCTGCTGGTGCGACCGTAATCCTGGGTTCTGTGTGTCACCGAGCTGCGTTATTTGCGAGCCTAACACTAACCCCCCCTAACATCGGCACGCAATTGAAATGGTAAACATTCACAAATACTTGTATAAATGATGTCGATTGTAGTGGAGCGTGTAAGTGCATTTTGTTCACTGGAATCTTTCGATTTTGATTCAAGCTTTGCCGCAATTTATCCCAGATGGTCTTTTTTGCGGCATCCATGTTTGATGTTGGTGGTTATGTTTGATTTATTGGTGGCTAAGGTGTCGAATTTGATGCATGTATCACCATTTTGAACGAATTATGTTCTCTGCTCCACTGGTAAGCCATCATTGTTTGCCGCTGAAGGCTTAGAGGATGCTTGGACTTCGAAGCAGCTATGTGTTTTTATAGTGTTCGTGCAATGTTCGAGTGACTGTGTGTTGTTTTTGTCGTGGGCATGTGTTGTATGTGCTTGTGTGTATGTATTTGTAGGATGTGTGCCATTTTTTTTATGTTGTGTGATATGTCTTAGATGTGTTTGTGAGGTTCTTATGTATATAATGTGTATTTGTGATGTTTGTGTACATTGTGTCTGTTATGCATTGGTGTGTGACACGACTACAGCGGAGAGCCTGAGTTATTGCCAAAGACACCGTCAGCCAAGAACCGCCAAAAGAAACGCAAGTCCCTTCTCGTTAAAGACCCCAGGAAGTACGTATCAATATTGTTTGTCTGCATTGCCAAAGCCTGCATAAATGAGTAATTCCAGTTGTGTTTTGTTTGCCAACTACAATCCGCTCTGGTGTTATTGTGATCAGAATGCGCGACTCCCTCCGGGAGTCTCACATGTAAATCCTAGTTGGGGAATGACTCTGCATATTTTTTCTCTGGGGCTGGCAAATTGAGTACTGTTTTGATCCTTGGAAAGCCAGGACTAATTGTCCTGTGTTGTGATTGGCATGTATCAAAGAACGTGTCATTTATAGGCCTGTATCGGATAGATTCACAGAGATTTATTCTTACCATCGAAATTAAGTAGATTAAATCATACACGTGAGAATAGATTTTTCAAATTGATGGTTTAAAATCATTGTATGTGGTATGTAGTAGATTCACGTTGACACCTGCATTCACTTGAGGGCATTACAATTCAGAAAAAATAAATAATGTTTTAAACCTTCACACTTGAAGAGGTGAGCTTTGCCCTACTTGTTGGAGCATGGACATATTTGCCGTTGACTGTACGAGCATACGCTGCACGACACAATGCACTGCGTTGAGTGCACGTATGTGCATTTACATGTATGCACGTGTGCATGCTTCCGACTGTCCCTGCTTCCAGATGCTCGTGGGGGTCCGGCCGCAGAAGCAGTGCTCGCCGCTCACTCCTCAAGACACACCCTTACCCGGTGCTTGCGTCCCTCACAGAGAGGGGAACAGCATCACCCTTGGTCAAAGCTGCCACACAGGCCACGCCGCCGGGCGAGCCGGTACTAGCCATTGTCACTGGCAAAGTCGAGTTGGCTGTGGCATCTGCGAAGGAGAAGTTTGTCTTACAATGTAATGACGGTAGTGGCAGTAGTGACTTGGAGACGCAGGTGGGACCTGGAAAAGTCAACGAACCAGAGTCGAGTGAAGTCGCAGCAGTGGAGCCTGGCTTTGACAATATCTGCCGCACCCTGATGAAGGATTTCACCAGCCTGACTGATTCACCTACCCCTCAGCCCACAGGTGTGGCTGTTTGTACACACATCACTTGCAACTGCTGTTTATTATTTGCTTTTCGTTTACCTTTTCCATATGTTATTCTCATTGTGATCTGCGATACCTTCAAGCGACCTTGGTCCATAGAGAAGGGGATAACACTGTTTTGTTAGGTTGATGCCTCACACTTTTGATCTAGCACTTGGACAGTTACGGTTGGTGGCTAACATGAAGATTTGTGAAATACCCAAGCCTCCTGGGCTATGAGGTGGCCAGTAGATATCGATACAAAAAGTGAGTTCGTTAACCTGCCTTTAGCTTTGAGTGATATGCTCTCATGAACATGGTTGGGTTGCTCTAGTTTCCTCCAAAAAGCAAAACAAAAGCTGTTAAATACAAATAAATAATGCAGCATCCTACTAAAGAAGTATTTTGAAACTTTCCTAGATAAATGGCATTTAATGTTATCTTAGCAATGGCCTATGCATTGCGTCGATGGATGCTGCTTTAATCGCCAACCTTTCGCCCTATGTTGCTGTGTTGGTACTGTAATTTGTTATTTAGAAAATGCTGACAAGGTCCCAGAGCGACTGCAGGTGAAGAAAAATGAAGTGAAGCAGGAGGAGAGACCCCACTGTACCCTCACGAGGTAGGCAAGTGGGCTATGCACAGTGTCCATGCCAGCCAAACTCTGCAGAATGTCTTAATTAAACCTGGATAACAGTGTGAATCTGTCTGCTCTTTTAGGTAACTATTATTCGTGAAAACGCTTGCATAATCACCTCTGGTGACCAACCACTTCAGGTAGTGGAAAACATGAATTGGATCAGTTTGCCATGTGACTCATTCGTAAAACAGGTGAATATTAAGGGTTTTTATATTCGTGAAGAGTCGTGTATATTTACTCAAGCCAGGTGTGATGGTGCACACCTGTAATCCAACGCTTAGAGGCACGGATGTGGATTTCATGAGTTATCGTATGCTGCAATACTCAAACCCATGGGTCTCTAAAGTATGTAAGAAATGGAAATATACCAAATTGATTCATGACCCGTTTGTCAGCCTTTGAGCTACCTCCTCATGTGCACGGTTGGTATTCTCTCTGCACTGATTGGGTATTGATTTCTTCCCACATGAAGTAAAATATTCTATCTCATGTCAGACAGTCCTGGACAGCTGGGGGAAGGGAGTTCCAGACTATGGTTCGCAGAGGAGATTGAGTGCCCTTCCTACTGAACAAAGGTTGATTGGGGGCTATATTGGTTGTGTTGTGCCTTCCAATAAAATGGAATTGTCCAAACATCCTAATGTACAACCCAACTGCAATAGTCACGCAACTTCCTAGATAGACAAATAGCTGTATTGCTCTAATAATGTATAGCATTAGTCAGTAGGGTATTTTCGTCTATTTCAATGCTGTTGATCTGTGCTGTTGATTTATGATTGTGTGATCCGAATGTGTTACTGCACAGGTTGCAGAAGAAGAAATCGGAGAAGAGTACAGCAGAGAAAGAACAACCACAGAAGGTGCGTGCTTCTCAAATGTATGGTGTGAAGCCTCCATTGAAATGACATCTTGCTATTAAAACCAAAGAGGCTCGTCAAATAAAGGACGCTCTTTAGATTATGATGTTCTTAAATCGAGGACATTGAACTTGACACACTGGTTAGGAAAAGGTTATTGGTTTTGAACATTGGTTACATTTATTGAATGTATCACCCTGGTTAAATGAAGGATTTAATTGAATGTGATGTTTAATACAAAGAAATTCAATGTGACACACTGGTTAAATGAAGGACAAATATAATCCGACTTTTGGATTAAATAAAGGACATGAAAGTCGATATGATCCAATAATCGAAATGGGAACATATTTTTATTAGATTGCATTGGTTATATAAGGTACATTACATTTTACAAATTGGAGAGGTGGTTGCATGTCCGAGAATTGAGCTTGAACTACTAAGATCTTTACTCTCCTGTATTCAAATCCAGGTTTCAGCAGCCCATCATTAAACTGGATCGTTAAATGTGGAGATGTTATGGTCTCAATGGCTCCACACAAACACCTTAAGTTTTAGGAATCCATTTGATCAATTTCTTCAGTTTTTTTCTATAGAGTAAATACCGTACAGCAACACAGTTTTATACTAAAAAAACATTTATATTTGATCATCTTTACCAGAATTAACATGACCCTATTTTACAGGCAGGCAGACGGACTTGACAAAGCTAATGGATTAATACTTTACACCTTTTTTGGAAAGCATTAATGAAACTCGCTGAACTGACTGTACGCCTTCAGAAGCTGGCCAAGGTTTTGCGGAACGCATCCATGCGGTCGATGCGCAGGAACCCCACGACCCCCACCGGCAAAGACATCGTTGCAACTCCCACGAAGGCTCCACTAACGAGCACACGAAGCAGCCCTGCCGTGATGTCCACCACCCCTTCGGCCCACTGCTCTTCAACCCCGAGCGCGAGAGGTGAGAAAAGCACCAACCTACACCAGGGGCCACGTATGGGGAAATTGTGAGACGGGGTGTTTAGTGATTGTCGTATGCACTCACTGCCCACGCCCTCTTGCTTACGAGCCTAAATCATTCCGGAGACCCATTCGTAAGTTGAACCGTTTGTAAATCAGAACACTAATGCACTGTATTTAAATGACAATATGGTCGGTGTTATGAAATGTGTTACGGTTTAACAAAATGGGAAGTATTGTTAAACTTATTACATTGTATATTTGCACGTAACACTAAAAAAATACTGTATAGTAAATAAAACGAAATAAAGTAACAAAAAATAACTTTTATTTTCACTTATCTTGAGTCCTGATGCTGGCTTGCATGTCGGAAGTGGGGTCAATGAGAGGCTACAATTGCACACACACAGGGCACGTGCACACTCGCACATAGACACACATGGAAGCATGCACACACATCCCAACAACAACAATCCCCCTTATGGCCTTAACAGGCTGGTGGGGCAAGTACTCTTAGCGAGCAGCACCAATGAAGGCCCGCACAGCACACAAAGGGGTGAGTGGTCAGCGCCACGCCCGGCTGCCTTTGTCTCCCCAGTGGTGATGTTTACACACCGCACTAGGTACTCATTTGAGGCGGAGTCGACATAGGTAGACGCGGGACCAATTCATATAATCGTCACTGGTGTTGGCCGTGAGCAAAACTCAAACTTGGTCGCTGCTTTCGAACCGCAGTGTGCTAACCACTACACTACCGCTCCCCAAACACACGTTCACATTCATTTGCACACGCAAAAACTCCCAGTGCGAGGCCAACTCGTTACATCTTCCGGAGGATCGCTCTTCTGAATAAAATAGTTCCACGGTTCAGTTTGCAAGTGCGAGTTCGCGTTTTAAGTCAACGGAATTTTTTTATATTTCATGGATGTTGGTTCGTAAGTATGGGTTTTAGTAATTCGGGTGTTCATAAGTCAAGGATTGTCTTTATAATAATTGTGGATCACATGAATGTAGGTGTAACACGGTGAGCACGTCAAACTATTGTGGGGTTTTGTCTATGAAAGTTTTCATTTAAAGCAAAGCAATTTGTTTGTTACAGAGACTGGAAACGATGCAGATGCGATGCAAGTAGTAAGGTGAGTTTCCTTGCCACTCAAGTGTGAGTTTTACATTTAAGGCTCAAGTTAAGAATCAGAACTAAAAACAAATATCAGGTGAGTGCTGTACGTAGTTAACATTTTACTCCAACCAACGTACTTTGGTAATTTTGGTAATGAATGTTGTGATGATGGAAGTGATGGTGACTTCAAAGGTCATTGTCAATAACATTAAAAACGGTCATTTATATTCGTTTATTCACACACGTAAGTAAGACGGCAGCGGATACGCTGCGGCTTCATACATCAATTAAATAATAGAAAATGAAATAATATATAGGGGTAAAGTGGTGAGGGTAGCAATGCAGTGTTATAGAGGGGAGAGGGAATGATTATGATGGTAGTAATTAATGGTGATGTGGTCAGGGTAAAAATATTGCGTAATTCTGATAATGGTAAAGCTTGTGAGTGGTGATAATAGTGATGGTATTGTTTGTGATGACATTGGTGGTGTTATTGGTGATGGTGGTAGTGATGGTATAATGAAGGTAGTAATGTTGCTGATGATATCCTCCCTATGATGCAGGAGACCCAGCCTCAAGCGAGCCCTGCTCATCGGCTTCAACACCACCCCGATGAAATCACCGCCCAGGAAGAGACTTCAGACCATCCCAGCCAAGGTGCTCAAGGTATAGCTCCTGCGCTTGAGTGTGAAAGCACAGCAGTTGTCTTTGTATCGATTCAGTCATCACAATCATCAGCAATTATAAATCCTCTGCTGGATTCTTCAGGTCCCCACCCCCAAGTCCACCGCCACATCACACAGTCTTGCGATGCCACAGTCCACCCAGCACTTGCACATGAGTTGATTTCATCACTCCATCTCTGCCGTGAATAGCCTCTCGGGAGCGTTATCTACCTTCGCTGCCACACCATAGTTATTTTCGACCACTGGTCATTATGCCTTCTAGAGACATTGTAGCTAAGGCCACTTTTGTTAAGTCAATATATCTGTGATTTTCACATGTGCTTTAAGCCCCATGTGTCCATCTTCAGGTCTTTTAATGTAAGATGATAAATTGCAGATGCCCAAATTACCCTTGATGCTTCTCTTCTCTGATCTTGGAAACTTATCAGGTTTTTAAACCTGAGTAGTGTTGTACAACAGGAATAACAGGCGCTATAAGCTTGGGCTGGTGACGTAGCCACGAGATGGCAAAAAACTTAAATGGAGGGGGTATGCTGCATGCTGTATCTTACGGCTCAGAAACTGCGTGATAACGGGCGTGTTCCAAGTTGTACAAAAACTGTTCCCGAATAGAAGAACCATGTTATAGCAATAACGGCGTTGTGCGAACACACATTAAGTGAGGACTTGCCATACTCCGGTTTCCTCCCACACAAAGTGAAACACGGATTGAAAAGGAATTGGTGAAGCATACCAATGCATTACCTACCTAAAACAAAGGAATCTTAAGTACTCGTTGAGGCTTTTTAAATAAATGTGAACATTATTGTGATGACATCCCCTCCCTACCCCCCCCCCCCTCACACTGTGAAGCGTGCAGTGACTTTTGCAGAGACCGGGCCACGCAGCTTTGTGAGCCAGATTTGCAAGGTTTTTTCACCAGGGAGGCCACTCCTGGTTGGGCATCCCGCAACCCCCAAGGCCATTGTCAAGCCCGACGCCCTGCGCAAGGCTGACTCCAAGGTTTGAGGATGCCGGCCCCCTCCGCGGGGGTGGTGAGGATCGGAGTTGTGGATTGAAATGAGGAAGCTGGCAGGATTTCCTGTTACAGATTGGTGTTGTTGATCGTCTATAACCAGTTCATTTGGATTGTGTCCAATCTCGGGAACGAAGTAGGGTTGAGCCTTTGATAGGTGATGACCATGCATAAAACAGGTGCCATAGATGGTTACATTGACAGCAGAGTGGCATTGCAAAAAAAATTGCAATACTCAATATTTTATTGAACCATGCTCCAACGTCTACGTTGTCCGCCTTCACCAACCCACACTGACGAGTGGTGGTGAAGTATCGTCAAACAACCCTGACGATCCACATGGTGTGGGGGAGGTCCTCATCCAGCAGTACAAAGCCAAAAGGAGCTGTTGAGCATGTGAAAAGTTTTAACAAACTGCAAGGTAAAATAAACTGAAATGTCAATTTCATGAGGAGTAGACCGCTTTAACGATGAACAACTAGATGTTTTGGGCAAAGTGGAACTCGCAATTGGAGAGTTGTGAGATATGTCTTGGTGAGGGAAACTCGGTCTGTAATATTTAAAGTGCCAATAAAATGAGAACCATTTTACCTAAAGAACCATTTTGTTGGAATTAAATAGTTATCCTATGGATAGAGTGACCCCCACACCTTACAAAGGTGGAATTCACATCACTAGCTCATAGCCATCAATGGAGACAATAACTACCTCGTTTCTCACATAAGCAGGGAGAGAGACACTTAGATGTTTCACTTGGCTTTCTAGTTTTTTTTTGTTATGAACAGAACCAGCCTGCCCTTAATCACTGTCATTCCACGTGTCTCTCCTTATCGTTTTTGGAGGAGTTTGTGAAAATGTTAATGAGTAACGTTGATAGATCTGAATGTAAATCGTGGGTATTTTCATAAGTCATTAATTAATACTCCTTGTATTACATTGCACAATGCGGTGACCATCTTTGTTTGATGCCATGCTTCACCACGCTGGTCAGAAGAGGCTTGCCCAACAATGGTTCAGAAATCATTTACCACCGATGTTAGCCAATCTCGGGTTGCCAGGTTCATAGTGCAATACGTGAACCACTGCACTACCGCTCCAACCCACTCTGGCTTGTGTGGATTGCTTTGTCAGTATATCCTGCTTCTCTGTACACAATTAAACCCAGGTCTCCCTTTTAAAAGGAGACTTCCCATCTCGGTGAGCATTACTTGGTTATTACGCCAGTATTGATTTTTCACGAAGTTGCTATCCATGATTTTGGCAATCTGCGAATCACATCTGGAACTCTGCACAGCTGCATCAAGAGAGATATATAAAGTCATGAGATAATCTTGATTTGAAGCTTTCGTGACTGCAGGAATCCATACTCTTTGGTTCTTTCGGTTAAGTCACGTAGGTAGAAAACATAATAGATCATGATGTTTCGATCGCAACACGAGCAATTGTCTTCAGGTGAAAAGAGGCCAATTGCTTGTGTTGCGATCGAAACATCGTGATCTATTATTGTTTCTACCTACGTGACTTTACCGAAAGAACCAAAGAGTATAGCGATGAGAGAATGTGATGTGAGAAAGTGATGGGACAAAGTGATCGCGTGTTATGATAATTTTCATGGATTTAATAGCTTATTTATGTGTTTAAGGTAATTCATTAATTATCCACAAATGTTCGATTCACGTGCATTTCTGGAACGTATCCCTCACGACAGGATACTGTGAACATCGTCTGTTTTGGTGGTTGTGGCGCAGGAGAGTGAGCGGCAAGCGTTGGCTGACCAGCTGAAAAAGAAGCAGGAGATGGATGAAGAGCGCAAACGCAAGGCCGAGGAGACCAAGAAGCAGAAGCTCGAGGAGATGAAGAAGTGAGACCTCAAGTGCTACGGCATTAATCATCAAGTTGCTCCGTATTCAATGCAATACACTTTGAGTTGCACAAATCCTCAATTGCATTGTGTCACGAAAGCCTCAAATCAAGATTATACATTTGTAATTCAGAAATATTGTCTTTTAGATGCTTTTTGCCACTCATTCCCACAAGGAAAGTTCATTTTTGTTTTGTATTATTGAGTTAATACCAGGAGCCTGGTTCATTTAGAAAGTGGGGAGGTAAGATTCCACATTTTTGCCAGAATAACAAGGATGGAGGAATGGAGCAGTATTTTGTTAATTTATCTGTCAAACGTCACTGAAAACTGTCTTGCCGTTAAAACCGCATCTGTGTGGATCAATGTGGCTATGTATGTAAAGCTTTCACAATGCCCGTAGCCAACCATACAAATCGAAAGTGCGGGCAAGGACAAATTAAACACAAAAGCAGTTGTAAAGAAATACTTTTTAAATTTATATTCCGAAGTGCATAGCTTCAGTAGCTTCTTAATAACGAAAGAGCGTTCGAGATGGAGGAATGGAGCAGTATTTTGTTAATTTATCTGTCAAACGTCACTGAAAACTGTCTTGCCGTTAAAACCGCATCTGTGTGGATCAATGTGGCTATGTATGTAAAGCTTTCACAATGCCCGTAGCCAACCATACAAATCGAAAGTGCGGGCAAGGACAAATTAAACACAAAAGCAGTTGTAAAGAAATACTTTTTAAATTTATATTCCGAAGTGCATAGCTTCAGTAGCTTCTTAATAACGGAAGAGCGTTCGAGATGGCCGCAGAAGCGCATCTGAAAGTGCACAATGCGGTGACCATCTTTGTTTGATGGCTAGCGGCAAGAAAGATGCTATCATCATCATGAGGCGCAAATCGATCGACGTATCGGTCCCCCCCACGAGACACCAAAGGGCGATCCGACCCTGCACTTGCCGCCACGCTGAGTAGACGCGAAGGGCACGGTGGGGAAGATCGACCTCAGTCGACAGTGCGGTATTACGTGGCATTGCAGTGTATGGCAAGTTCGCCGCAGCAAGCGTGTTGCATGACGTGCCGGTGTCTGGGAGTGTGCAGGAAGCGTGAGGAGCGGCAGCAGAAGGCTCGTGAGAAGATGGAACAGCAGGAGCTCAATAAGAAGAGGAAGGCCGAGGAAAAAACGGAAAAGGTTCTCAACGCCACGCACGGCATCTGCATTGTTTAGTCTCTTGGCCACCGTATCCGATTCATCTCTGCGTCTCGATCACATTGGAATGTTGGAATGCAATTACGAAAAATTTTAAAGGGAATATATTAACTTCGGATGCTGCGTAAGTGAACGTTGTGTTTCAGTGCCGTCGTGACTTTGCTTCCACGTGCGCAGGAGGAGGAGGAGCGACTGCGCAAGGCAAACGAGGCGAAGAAGCTCCCCAAGACTCCCGTGCCCCTGCTCAGGTAACGGTGATCACGTTGTCAACAGCACTGCTCCGATCTGTTTCCATCCTCTCGGTTTTGCCTTGGGAGAGTTGTCCGGTTCGATTGTTTTGTTTAGTGCCATACCATGCTAACCACTCATGCATCCAGTGACGCGAGTTTTATTCCCGGCCATGGCTAACATTAATTCCGAACGAGATCAGAACTGATCCAGGGCAATCCTCTTTCACCGCACTGACTAAATTGTAGAAGTACGGTTAAACAACCCCCTTGACCAACGTGGCATGGGAAGGTCTTTATCCAGCTAGTAGATTGACAGGAATGAAAATTGTTAATGTAAAATTAGGCAGCCCAGGCATGGTGCTAAACCCACAGCACCCCATCATGGGGCATGAGTTTCTTAGTAGGTGCTTTCTGATTGTAATTACCCTTATTTCTAGATTTGAAGCTTTTGTGACTGCAAGGATTCATACTCTTAGTTCTTTCAGTAAAGTCACGTAGGTAAAAAATGAAATTCAAATTAATGAAATTGTTTTTATTTTTTATTAATTTGAATTTCATTTTTTACCTACGTGACTTTACCGAAAGAACTAAAAGTATAATTACCCTTATTGTCTGCAAAGCTAAACAAGGGCTGTTTTTCGTGTGTGTGTGTGTTGCCCAACTGTTTGTGATGCTGGGTTTAACAGGGCTGTCAAGACCACCTTAAATCCTGGATCCAAAATGCTTCTCAACCAATCGATAAAGGTGAATGCATAAGCAACCTCGTGGAATTTCATACAAGGCTGTGCCCTTGTGTGCCCGCACGTGTATGCGAGTGCATGTTTGTGTTCGTGAGGAGATGGGGTGGAGTGTTTGATACAAAACACAAAAAGCAGTTTGGTTTGTTGTCCTTCCCCACACCTCAGATTAGTACGGTTGGCTACATATTGTGCAAAAGAAGTTCTACATACATACAAAAGCACGTACAGTAAACCCTTCATATTAGCGGGGGATACTTTTCTGGAGAACAGCGCAAATATTACATCCGCGAATATTAATACTTGCAATTGTATGCATGTGTGTGCATGTGTACCTGAACGGAGAGCGGTAGTGTACCAGTTAGTGCCATGCGCTACGAACCCGGCAACCTGAGTTTGATTCCCACTCATGGACGACACCAGTGTGACGATTGTTTGTCACTGGTACGGTGTGTAAACATAGCCACTGGGGGAGAAAAAGAGGGCCGGGCGTGATGTTGGCCATCCCCCGCCCCCCCGGCCATGTGCCGTGCCGGCCTTCAGGTGCTCACTAACAGCACTTGCCCCAAAAGTCTTATGGCTATACAGGGGATCTTTATCTTGTACCTGAATGTAAGTGTGTGTTGGTGTGTGAATGTATGTCTTGCGTGTATGCAATTGTATGCATGTGTACGAGTGCACTTTCATTAATGCACGTTTGTGTACCTCTACGCATGTGCAAGTATGTGCTTGTGTGCACTTGGGTGCATGCGTGTGTGTGCACTTAGACCTCTGGTTCTCCTTACCACCTCTGCGACCCTCAGTCTGAAATGTCCTTCCCCCTGCCATCCATCCTGTCTACTCCCTGTCCCTTTTCAAGACCGTCCTATGAGTAGCTCCCTCCACCTATAAAATATGCCCAGTTTCTCTACAGAATCTTGAGATTGGTCTTCCTTAGACACTATATAAATGTATTGCTTTGTATTATTGATTGCATTTCCCCGTTTAATTCATTCCCATATGTTGGCATGCAAGCTCATCATCGGCTCGCAAGGTCCTGCTTGTTAGATTCTCGTTCACCCATGTCCCGCCCCCCCCCCCGTCTGGTGGCAGCAGCCGCAGATGGTGGACAGCCCACAGACGTACGAGATGACCCCACAATCCGCCACGGTGCCCAAGCCGCCTCAGATAATAGGCGAAAACTACGGCATAGACCTGGAGAGCGGGGACTCGACAGATGACGAGCGCTCGCCCAAGAAGTCCATCCCACTCTGGGCCACAGGTTGGTGGGGCCGCAGGTCGGCCAGAGGGAATGGCAGGAATGTTCTGCACTGGGCAAGCAACTGGGGCAGCATGAGGATGCTAGTGGGGGGTTACATTTCTTTGTACACAGTGGCCATCATGCATGCAACAATGAATTGATGAATTAAAATCGATTTCCATTTATTTCCGTGCTCATGATACACACAGAAAATGATGCTCATTAGAATTACTTGTTTTATGCAAATTATGAGCAATTTATATAATACTTTTTCATTTAGGCTAATATAGCTTAAAAGGCAATGTACACAAGACAAATTAAGTAATAAATACAAACTACATTAACAAGGACATAAAAAATTACAGTATTGAATCTAATAGCAACCCCGAAATTCATTGAATCACCAGGAGGGGTAAATAGTTACTTACCTAGTGCATGCGTGCATGCATGAAAGTAGAGAAGCGTGCACAATGAGCAATGCGCCGAGCGGATAAATTAGAGCAAGGCAGGACAGGTGGGTGCGTCAGCCGGTTATCTCAGCACTTGGCCAAAAACACTTGGGTCTTGTGACCAGCTGGCAAGCCTTGGACACTTCACATGGCTCTCAAAAGTGCACCCAGCTTTGACGATGCCACCATCAGTTATTGTTGTTTTGTGTGTATGCGTGCTTTTGGTGCTCCACGCCGCCTACAGACCAGAACCTGGCGCACACCCTCCAGGAGCAATACGCCACCCCGCCCAACCTCGACGAACTGTTTGATGCGATCGAAGTACCTGACCTGGAGGTGATCTTCAACAAGCGCAAGAAGTGTTACGTCAGTCGTTCCAGCTCGGCCAACTGGAACTCGCCCCCGCTCAAGAATACCAGGCTTGGCATCCTGGGACACTAGTGGGGAGCGTGGGCTGTCAAAGCGCAGCGCTGCGCACGCGACAGCGGGCCGGTTGGGCTTGGTGATAGGGCTAGCAGTAGGGGCTGCTCATATCACGTCTGGTTGGCTGGCAGGCGCAGGGGTAGGGTCTGGTTTCGGCATGTGACAATTCACCCGCCGGCCATGATTAGATTTGAGAAATTATATTTTGACTTTGCCTAAGTGTAATACTGGCCTGTCAACTGCATATAATAAAAAAAATGCTTTTTAAAAATCCTAAGCTTCATTTGTGAGCATAATAACATTTTAATTGATAAATCGGTGCATTGTTACTTGCATAGTCTGGATGGCCCTTTGGGTGTAGTTTATGACTTGGGATACTGCTAGGGTCTCGTTGACTATTGTAACTGGGTTAGAAGTAAGGTTAGTGCTGTGGTTAGTGTTATGGTTATGGCTAGTGTTGGAGTTTGAAGGTCTAGTTGGATAGGATCAGATCCGCTGGTGTGCTCCATTCATGTAATAGGGTTCCCTACCTCCCCCTCCTGTTGCCAAGCGTGCACTTTTAACTTGTGTTCTCAGCAGAGGTGTGGACTCGAGTCATGTGACTTGGACTCGAGTCAGACTCGAGTCATGAATTTGATGACTTCAGACTCGACTTGGACTTGCATAACAATGACTTTGTCCCACCTCTGAGGTGTGGACTCGAGTCATGTGACTTGGACTCGAGTCAGACTCGAGTCATGAATTTGATGACTTCAGACTCGACTTGGACTTGCATAACAATGACTTTGTCCCACCTCTGGTTCTCAGCACCTGATAATTGTCCCATGTTACTGCTGCCCCCTTGGAGATCTCCTGATTTACACAATGAGACTCTCGTGTACATTCACGAACATTCGCCAATACACAGTCGCTACTTGGTGATTCACATTCGGGGGTTGTGCTGTTAAAACAATATAAATGTGTGATCGAGTTAAAACAAAATCTATTTTTATGATGAATTTTGCTGAAGCGACACGTTGCACGTGCAATGCTTGAGCCCGAGGACTCAATTGCGACGGTTTTTGTGATGTTTTCCCCTCGTTTTGTGACACCAGGCCAGCATCTGTCTTGCTTTAGAACTGCAAATGAAACCTCGGACACTGTTGGCAGTTGCACAGGAGCCACTGTTTGAAAGTATACAGCACTGTGATCCTGCTGTTACAGATTATTTTGGGAATGCATTTTGGGTAATGCTCGTTCTTCTGAGCGGATGGTCGGAAATTGTAATTCTAAATACAAGTCACAATCTTTTGCATGCCTTCTATACTTTGTTCAGAGGGGCCATTGAATGAAATGTTATCTGAATATAGATGTTTCTCTTGTAAGCCAGTGTTAATAAGTCATTTAAGCATCATCTTCACTCGCACTGGTTCTTGCCAATTGATAGGCAGGCTTAAGGTGTGAGCAGTCACATGTAAGTTACTGCCTTAAATCACTTGTAAACAGAAATTAGTCGTGGTCAAGAAGGATTTTTGTTTATTAAAGCTTATGCCAAAGTTAAATCTAAAAGCTAGTCCGGTTTCCCAGCTATAAATATTCCAAAATGTACCGTTTCACAATCACCATTGAGAGAAATAGGGTTGTATTTTCATTGCAGACTCAACCCGTACCATTTTGTGCTGCCAAAATGCTTTCAATAGGCGTAATTGGCCTCTAGACTTTTAGACGCAACAAAAACTGCAGTTCTTTAGAGCAGGAGGTGGCAGTTTGTGTCCAACGTTGACGCACAGTGCCGCCCCTCTACCCACAATGCACTGCTGTTGTTTGACGTAGTTTTAACTTCTGTGCTGGCATCTTAAGGTTAGTTTGGCAATGCATATTTAGATGTATTCCACCTTGACCGGGTGCCTTATACGCAGGGTATCGGCAAAATCCAAAAACTCTTGCTCACTCTGCGCTTGGGCTTAGGCTCTGCACAACTGGACCGTTTATTGGCTAACAGTACCAGAAAATGATGCGCATTAACAAATAATGCCATTACTGCATGTCAGAATTGAGCATGTAATTAATGTTCTCTTTTTGCTTCATCTTTGGCAAAGTTCCTAAAACCCCTCCCCGCCCCCCCATCCACCCCCCATTAGTGCAGGAAGGAATGCGATGTACTGTATTACTGTCGGTGTGCCTGTAAACGCTTGCTCAGGGCTTCCCAGACTGCACTGTTTGGTGCGAGACAAATTGTCAACAGTATTAAGGTCTGGAATGTGTGCAGGCTTACATCGCAGTGAAGGTTGGAGGACATTAAAGGTGAAGTGAGAACTGGAGTTTGGGCAGCCCTGTCTTAATCACTGCCTCTTATGCAGGATTGTGGTGAATATTTAGTTTGACGTTTTGTACAGAAATGCATAATGAATGTGTTGGTGTAATGCTTTGCTGCAATGCCTTGTATGGTACTTTATTTACCCTTAACCATGGACACGTTGATGTGCCGTTGGTCACTTGGAAAACCTCCTGTCTGTAAAATTATTACTTTTAAAATATATTCGCAATTGTAAATTGCATTCATAGCAGCCTCGTTGACAGGTGGGGTCGAATCAGTCTACAATTGGAGATTTGTGTTAACCCACTCGTGTTCATATATCACCTCGCCATGAGAATTATGTCTGTCACAGAAACTGCTTTTGAATTTCCCTAACGCCGTGTGCCACTATGCTCAACCTAGATTGCATCACCCTTAATCCTTCACCCCCCCCCCCCCCCGAGCTGCTAAACTCGCCACTCTCCGACCTTGCCGCCTCACGACAACTCAGTCCTCGAAGTCTCCTCCCAATCGATGAAAGTGATTAATGTGAGCGGCATTATCAAAACGTCTTAAAAGGAACCAGTGCCAAAGCAACAGAGGCGATGGCAACTGTTTGGGCATTGATCATCACAGCAGACTGAATTTGCATCTCTCATTCACAATGTGTGCCACGGTTTTTTTTATTTAATTTCCCCACTTGCACCATTCGCAATCTTCGTTTGTATTTTTTTATGTATCGTGATATTTAAAATCTCGACTGCCGTGTATAGCGAGTTTAATAAAGATATAAAATTTTGTTTTTGCTGAAAGGAAAGCAATGTTTGTTTTGGCCAAAAAGCCTCTTGAAAACTAATTTGTTTATAACTGCTTTTTGTGTTGAGTTTGTCCTGCTGCACCTCCGATTATCATGGTTGGCTACGTACGGTGCGAAAGAAGTTCAACATGCATATGTAATGAGGGAGCGCCATCCAGGGGGTAACGAGTACGGGCACGATGATGTCATCGGGGTCCAATCCGAGAGGAGGGGGGGATATGATCGGGCTGGTGAGGCATTGGGAACCCTCGAAGGTTCCCTGGATGGGGTGTGGCCAGAGGCGAGGATTTGCTCCACCAAGGGGGATAAAAGGGAGAGCGGGGGAAGGTTCGGGGTCAGTGTGGAAGCCTGGGTTGCGTACGGCGGTGCTGCCTTCTCGCCACGGGCCACGTGGGACGGGTCTTCCCTCGGAGCTCGCCTCCGCTCCCAGCGTCGCCGTCAGCCAGCGACGAGGCCGGAGAGTGGAGTGAGCCCCCCGGGAACGCGGAGAGAGAGAGGCGCCTCGTCCACGGGTTGGGAGAGTAGAACCATCGGGAGGGAAGTGAAGCTGTGTGGTACCGTTTTGAATAAAGAAGCATTCAACAAGCTCCGTTGTGGAAATACTTTATTACACGTACAAGAAGTTTAAAACAATCCTTCAAGTTTGGTAGAGAGGTTGGGTTGAGTCAGATTGATTTTGTGGATAGAGATTTGATATGGATTCACTGACATTGTATGTGTAATCGGTGTGAATAATTCATTTCTAAGGAAAATGACTAAATGTAATAATTAGATATGGTGTATTGGGGAGAATGAAGAACTGCTGGATGAAGTAGAAAAGATATCCCACCATTGAGGGATGATGAAAATGATGACGTCTTGTACAAAGAAGTAGAAAAGGCAATAAAACATCTGAAGGAAAACAAGAATCTAGGAGTGGGCAGTATAAGCGGAGAAATGAGCTATGCAAATTCCATACTGGTGTAATGAGCGACTTCCACGACACGTCATGCAGACGGTACTTTATTTCTCACACTGGGCATAACACAGGCCAACACTATTCTTCCTGACACTGAGTACAACACGATATTAACGTCTCTACTGGCGACGCCGCCGATCACTCGGCCACGCCGCTAGCTAGCTGTGTGACGATGACGGCGATGGAAACCACGCAGGAGATCTTCCACGTGGCTTGACGACGGAGAGATGTCGGCGAGTAGCGACAAAGCCAGGACCCCACACATGAGCCCCAAGCTTGGGGTTTGCGCCCCCTTATATCCACCCAGGCGTGGCTCAGCCCTGCCTCTGGCCACGCCCTCTCGTGGAACCTTCGAGCAGATTCTCGGAGTATCTCTGCTAATTCCACCTGTTAACCTTTGCCCCAGATACAGCTTCCCTGATTGGTTGTTAATTCTGTGCCTGTACCCGTGAATCCCTTCCCAGGCCAGCAGGTGTCACCCTGTCATTACACTTGTGATGATACCCCGATTGTAAAAAATACACAACCGTCGCATTAATGATCCACATGGGGGAGATACGATAGTACTATTAAATCGATTAAAAGTGCATACTGAGGGCTATTTGGCAGATGAACGGGGAGAAATTTGGAAAGATAGAAACACAGTAAAGCAAATATTGATGTTAAGGCTTATACTAGAGAAAGCAAAGAGAAATAATAGACTGATCTTCAACTGTTTCATAGATTTCCAGAAAGCATTCGGTGTTCGACTAAGCAAGCTAACGTCGGAAACATTAAGACCATAAAACACTGCAGGATATAGGTGAAATGTCAAGAGTTGGCAGTAAAATTTGGACAAGAAATATGAGAATGGTTCCCAACAACAATAGATAGACAAGGAGATCCACTATCACCAAACAACTTCGACACATGAAAAAAGTGATAGATGCCATTGAGGACAACAGCACGGCAACATCTCTGCAAGGAGAAGGAATAAGTAAGCATAGATTCGTGGACGACATAGATCTGATGGAAGAAAGCGGTGTAGTATTGCAGGAAAGTGCCCGTACACTAAGTCAGGAAAGGATGCAGGGCTGAAGATTAACGTGGAAAAGATTATGGTGTTCGGAAGGGAGGACATTGAAAAAGAAGCAATAATAGCAGCAAGATTGTGAATGTAAAGGAAAGTCTTCTGACATGGGACGACTGCACGAACGATGTAAGAGCGAGGATCGCAAAGATAAAATCAGTAATAGCAGAATTCAATAACACACGGAGAAGCAATAAAATCGGCTAAAAGATCAAACTGAACATCGTAAGAACATGCGTGTTCAGTATAGCTTTATGCCTTTGAGGAATTTAAAAAGACTGACCGAGGTAAGATATTTCGATTTAAAGCTTTCGTGACTGCAGGGATTCATATTCTTGGTTCTTTCGGTAAAGTCACGTCGAAGGGAAATAATAAAAGAATGTCTGATATTGGCATAAATAGTTCTACAAAATGATACTGCATCTAAGCTGGACCCAAAGACCAATGTCTAAGTCAGAAAAAGGTATCAAATAGAAGACATGTTGCAGGCAGTAATGAGAAGGAAACTGGAACTATTTGGATACACGTAAGATGGGTAACAATAGGAAAATGTAAAGTGTGTTTGGAGAAATGGGACGTCCATAAATGACGTCACGATTTTGGACGATTTTGACCCCCCCTCGTCACACATCGTCACAAATGTCTGACCCCTCCCCAGGTGCGTGACGTCATTTATGGACGGCCCCAAATGGAAAGAGAGGAATACTTAACAGAATGGTGTGATGACAAGAGATTGGTACCAGAAAGATGTGCACTACTTGAGCATATTGGCACAAGACAAAATACAAATTTAAACCAATACCATCACTTTGCCATACATAGCAGGGGTTACCAAAAATATTTCCAAAATCTTAAACAAACACAAGATCCAGGTTCGTTTCAACACAGTACACAAAATCCGTGATTTGATCCCATCTGTAAAGGATGTGATTCCTGATATGCAATACCCTGGTGTCTACAAACGAAGTTGTGGCTGCGGCAGCAGTTACATTGGGGAAACGAAACGACATGTCTCGGACCGCGTTCGCGAACACAAGGCAGATCTGAAACACGGTGGGACCAATACCTCTGGCGTTGCTGATCATTGTTTTAACGCAGTGGGCTCACACGAAATTGACTTTTCCAGGACGAAGGTACTTTGCAAACCCACTGGCTATTATCAGAGATTTGTTCATGAAGCCATCCAGATATTAAAACACAGACACAACTTCAACCGAGAAGATGGGTACAAACTGAGCAATCATTGGAAGGACGTTATGAACCAGGTAAAGTCTTAACTGACAGTGATGTTTCCATCCTACCTGCCTATGTCAGCTGTTATTTCCGACTCTCTGTGTGTCTTTCTCTCTCTGTGCATCTCCCTCCGATCTCTATTCCAGTGACCCGGGTGCTGCTGCGGGGTCCACTTTCAGCCCCCCCCCCCTTCTCTCTCCCACCCACGGCAGATCTCTCGCCTACTTCAGCAGTGTTTTATTGCTGTGGTTGTCCCACCTGATGACGATTGCTTGTGTTGCGATCGAAACGTCGTGATCTATTATTTTTCTACCTACGTGACTTTACCGAAAGAACCAAAGAGTATGGCTAAATGTGCAGTGGACAACGACGGGCTACCTGCCCGTGGATCGTGATGATGTCGTATTGGGGAGGCTTTTAATGCAAATTATTCTTTGAACATCAGAAGACAAGTTCTGCACGGGTGTTTCATATGCCTAATATATGACAATTGCACACTGAAGTAAGCTCATGCAATTAACCCGTATGTTTCATTGTGATTCGAAGCAGGTATGGGTGGCTGGTTGGATGAAATCACCTTAAGTAGAAATGTAGCATCATTTAAAAGGTTTAGATAGATAATTCATGTAATGTTTTAATTTTTGAATCGACACCAGTCCTATTAGAGCATTGCTCTACGTGATGTGTTGAGCGGACGTCACTTTAAAGAGTAGACATGTCCACGTGGCAGCTCCCATTGACCTGTCATGGGGTAGAGCAGTGAAACGCACAGGGTTGTTAGATACGAGAGCATTCTGTAACATATGGGTTGTATTGCGATCGCAGGGGTCAGTTCAACATACTTGCTGTACTGCTAACTGACCAACTTGTATCCCATAACGACCCCGAGTTCCGCAGATCAACGTGTTATCCGCCAGCGCACATAGCATTCGTCTCATTTAGATCAACCCATTCCGCTATAATGCAGATTACATTATATTAATGATGGTGTGTGAGCGACCAATCCTTGCCTCCATAGGTCTTGAACACGCATATATATCTACACTGTCCCACACCTGTGCGTCGTGCTTGCTTCGCTGCCCTGTGCCGAGCGGGACGACGAGGCCATCGGAGTGGCTGACGACACACCCGCACCGGCGGCCCCTGGGTGGTGGCGGCGGCGGCAGCGGCAGCAATGGCTGCGTGCGTCTTAGCACGGGTGTCTGTGGCGCGCTGCTCCAGCCGCGATGATCTGGCGCTGTCGGTGGCATGGTGGCCGCAGCCAGCATGGTGAGCAGCGAGCGGGGGCGCGACGGGCCTCCCCTCCCCGCTGGTGGCACTGCCGGTGGCGACAGCAGCAGCGGCGGTGTGAGGCTGCCATCGCTGGTGCCAGCAACGCTTGGAGACGAGCATCGCTCGGCTTCCTCCGAGATGTGATCCAGTCGTTGGAACTCCATCTCCTGTGCAGGAATGCTGGGGCGGACGGCAGAGGGGTTGGTGTGTGATGGCACATCTGGTCATGATGTGGTTAGGGAGGAGGGTGTTGGGGGTGTTGCCCATGGGGCGTATGTATGTATGTTGAACTTCTTTCGCACCGTACGTAGCCAACCGTGCTAATTGGAAGTGCGGGAGGGAGGCTGGTGTGCAATTAGCAACAATATTTTCTGACCATAATTTTCCAGGATTTAGTTGGGAGATGGTCATTTACAATGTGAGAAGGCGAGAAAATCCATAAGCGGCTCGTATGAAGTCAGTGTTTCTTTTCTCAAATAGACATTGAAGTGGTGCTCCTTTACATTGACTTTCATAAGCCAATGATGGCAATTCCACATTGCAATGTCAGAGATCACACTTGACATTACAACCACGACTAGAGGTAATGTTGATGTCGAGTAATGAACAGTTTCAAGCCTGCGTCTGACTCTGTGAGTAAAATAAACGCGAGCGACCGATCCACGCTTTGCAGTCGAGTTGAACTATAAACTTCGCTATTTTTGATTTTACCAACTAAGACCCACTTGAGCTATATAGGTATTTTTCATAAGCGATCTGGCTATCACAAATGATAGCTCAATGGAGCGGCTTATGTGGAAATGTATAGCAGCCAAATACTCTAAACGCATGTTGGTTCTAAATGTGAAGGGAAACCGGAGGACCCGGAGAAAAATCCACGTGACCAATCGGGAGAGAGAGAGATACATGCAAAATAGAAATATACAGGTGTCAGGGATCAAACCCACGACTTCCTGCATACCAGGTGATGGAGATAACATCTCGCCACCATGGCGCTTTAGTTCTAGTTGCCAGTGCGAGCCCCTGGGACACCTGATGTCGAAGGTGGAGCCCTGGAAGGAGGCTTTGTGGTGGACCAAGCTGGCGCCGGTGTAGGGCGGGCACGGTGAGATGTCGTCCCAGTACACGTCGTGCTCCAGGGGCGGCAGGTCCCGGTACATCTCGTCCACGCCCATGAGCGAAACCTGCGGCCACCGCGTTGTGCCCGTTAGGGGAAAATGCAGCCCACAACAAACTTTCAGGCCGGTCCAATAAGGGAGCCTCCGCTTTGTTTGGCTCATGGGGAAATGTGCAAATGCGTGCGCCCACATTGGCTTGCATTATTAAAACACACTCGCTCACAGCCACCTAATGATCATGCTGGTGTGCAGCATAAGGTATTTACTTTAAATAATAAAAGATTTGATGTTTGGCAATCATGTCAAAAAAACTCCAGTGGACAGTTGTGCAGAACATTACAGGGGTCGTGGCGAGCACTACTCCTTACCTGCAGATTCCTGTCCACGCACCAGTTGGCTTCAAAATCATCATCGTCCTCACCAAATGGGTTTATAAGCTGCTCTGCGACCTGTGGATATAGGCCGTGATGGAGGGGAAATCATCATCAGCATGAAATTCACGGCCAAGAATAAACATGAAAATAACCTCGCATAAATACATTGCATAAACTAAAGACTCCAACATTCCAAGCGGTCGATATGGTTGGCTGTAAAATAACTTAATCACGTCGAGGGAAGCCTCCTTAATCTCACGTTCCATGGCAGTTGAACCTTCACATCCCGTGTTCTCCCCCACTCGATACTTCTTCTTTGATATGGTTGATGTAGATGCAGAGCAACAACTACAATTTCACATTCAGGTGGTCAAACCAGACAACCACGTTAGAAGCAGCAGAATGTATCGTTGTGATATCTCTGGATTGGGCATGTTGTATGGTCTGTTCTGGATGACCACAGTAGCACACTAGAGTTTTAGTAGGAATGAATTATACACCAAGAGAGGAGCACCGCACTATCGCATTGTAGGAAAATGGAATTTCCACCACTGGCTTAGTGTCATAATTGTCAAGGAGTACCGCACTATAGCTTGACTGAGCCAGGAGACACTTTGATTCTTGACTCATTGGACAAGGACAACTCGGCTGAACAACATGGCTCCTCAGCCGTGGGGTCGAGGGTTCAAATCCCGGGCAGCGTGCACCTCCCGAACCTTGAGCCAGCCGGCGTAGAAGAAGAACTGCAGGAGGGTGAAGACGGGGATGTAGAGGTCTAAGTCGTGGCCCGGGTAGCCCTGTGCTGGGTCCAGGAACTGGCGGCCGATGAGGCAGGCGAGGAAGAAGCTGTACACTGCCACCGTGACCACCTGCAGCACCGCGCGCACCACACAGGCGAGTCAACTCGGCACCACACAGATGGTTCAATGTCCTGCCACCACACACATTGGCGGCATACACCGCACATGCCATGAGCACCATACAACTTCATGCACCATACTGCACAGGCTACATGCACGAGTCCACGTGGTGTGGAACAGCATTGCACATGCTGAGCAAGGTATAGCATGACAGTACGACATCACGGGCATGCAAGTAATGATACACATTACCTAGCAGCCACCAGGGTTGGACTGGACCGCTGAGCAAATGGACACTTGCCCGTTAAGCAGGTCCTGGACTCGGGCCATCAAAGCTTGTAACCAAATGTTAAATGCATCCACAGTCAGCTGGTGGAGATATAAGTTGGGCTGAGGGTGTGGTGGTCCCACCTCCAGGACAATTTAAACGACACATTTTTGGTTGATCGATGTAAAATTGTAGTTGTTGCTCTGCATCTATGTCAGCCATACAAAAAATTAAATGCGGTGCAACCGATGTGCCGTTAACACGTCTAGGTGTGCTGCAGTATTTTCTTTTGAATTGATCGGCAGAAACGCGGACGATGAAATAAATTCATGAACAAGCACGTAGACACACAGGCATCAACAGCAAGCAATTAAATACACACACAGTCATTGAGACGAGCACAGTAGATCAGACGCAGAAATCCAGATGGACGTACAAAGGCCAGCATATTACTTGAGAAAGCAGCGTGCACACACACACAATGACCATCATCGTCATCAGCCACGATCAATCTACTGATGGATGAAGGGCCCGCTGTGATGTGTGTGGTTGAGTTTACCACGTGAAGATCGAGCAAGCACGAGAGGTGTGTGTGCGCTGTGGAATGTTGAACCTCTTTCGCACCGTACGCAGCTACCTGTGCTAATCGTAGGTGCGGGGGGAAAGACAACAAACTAATCACAAAAAGCAGTCCTAAAGAAATTAGTTATCAATCTAGATTTAAAAGTGTATAGCTCCAGTGGGCTTCCTAATATGGGAAGGAAGAGCGTTCCAGACGGCCGCAGAAGCGCAATGGCTCGCCAAAAGCCGCTGCGAAAAGTTAACCTTGGCCGTTGCGAATACTACCGGTATACTGTCATGGCCACACAGGTCGAGGCAGACGGGGCAATATCGTTTGTGAATCTGAGTGAACAGCAAGGACGTGGCAGCATTTGCGTGGCTAGGAAGAGCACGGGGGGAAGGGTGCAGGTGAGAACGGTTTGCGGCAGGTGACATTACCTGCGTGTACACCAGGGGAATGCTGACCCAGTCGTAGCTGTACAGCATGCTGCAGCAACTTCTGAAGTTGTTCAGGTCCTGGAAATCGGCAAATAGCCTATGTTTAGGCTATTTTGTTCATTTTTATTGCAATCTTCAACTTGGTCGAACTGTTTTTTTGGGGGGATTATCTTGCACTGTAATGTACTTTCAGATGCAAATAAAATCGTGGCCAATGCCTATTTGCCACCACGACGCCCATACACTGACACCACAACAATCCCCCGTCACCGTTTCTTCCTTTTGCCGTATCCTGCCATTGTTGCAGAGTTTACAGAGTCGACACCCAATCTCCTGGGTCCGCTCTAACAGCCGTCCCCCTTGGTTACCGACCTCTGGGTGACATTCCACCGCCAGTCTCAACGACCTGTCATGTGAAAACAAAGATCCCCCGTGTAGCCTTTAGCACACTTTTGGGGCGAGTGCCTTTAGCGGTGACAGTGTCGATGAAGGCCGGAACAGCACGCCAGAGGATGGGTGGCCAGCATCACGTCTGGCCGCCTTTGTCTCCCTAGTGGCGATGTTTACACACCACACTTAGTACTCATTTGAGGCTGAGTCGACCAAGGGTTCAGATAATTGTCACTGGTGTTGGCCGTCAGCGTGAAACGAACTCGGTAGCGTGCTAACCACTACACCACCGCTCCCCTGCACCCTCCCTCCACACGCACCCCGTTCATCACAACCTCCTCCACATTCCCTTCCTGATTACATTTACAGTATAAACACATTCCAGCCACGTTCTACTCTGAGCCTCCAGTTGTTTACCCTATCTTTCCATTGCTTTCCGTGTTTTAACCGTATGTAACTTATCATAAATAGCTTATTGCTTTGTTATCGTCCAGAATAGTAACATAGATATTGGTCCTGCCTCATTCATCCATCTCTTAACACAAAAGTTGACCTCTCTGCTATTCCAAAGTGGTTAACGTCGAGCATTAGAGGTGATCTTTAACAGAGGCCACATTCTTTTCCGAGTTAGCGACCCAGAAAATATTCCCACACCCGGCCACCACATCCAGTATACCATTCGGTATGGCCATTGCTGCTGGACACGTGCCCGGAAAAAATTGGTAAAAAAAATTAAGACCCTGGTAGCTACGGTTTTCATTTACTGTTTGGGGTGCCGTGGTGGCGAAATGTTAGCTCCCTTGCCCGGTATGCAGGAGGCCGTGGATTCAATCCAGACCTGACGCCTCTCTCTCTACCCGTGGCCGCGTGGATTTTTATCTGGGTCCTCGGGTTTTCACCTCCACATTTAAAATCATGACACGTTGAGCTTAATTGGCTGCTATAAATGTCCACCGCTAGTGTGACCCTAAGTAAGGCCCACTGAGCTAAAGTAGCTATTTTTCAGAAGCCGATGTGGCCACAAATTTGTGATAACCAGGTCGCTTCTGAAAAAGAGCGAATAACTCAGTGGGATTTACCTGGTGAAATAAAATAGTTTAGTTTCACACGGAGGCTTTCGCGACCAATATCCAAATGAGAGGTTTTTTGGGTTAGATTACGTAAATATAATTGTGTCGATAAACTTGCCACCACTCGACACAGCCAATAAGTTAGGTTTTTCACGTAAATAAAACATTCAATTCTTTACTAATTCAGCGCACTGGTGTGTTGGGCAGTAACCCCACTCAAATGTACTCGAATGGTACATTTTGTGGGTTTACTCTCCAACACACGGGGTGTGTGCCGAACTAGTAACGAATTGGCACGTTTTATTTACGTGACAAACCTTACTAATTGGCTGTGTCGGGTGGTGGCGGGTTTAACGGCACATTCGTATCTCACCCCAAAAACCCCTATTGTGGATCAAATCGTTGTTTTTTTTCTTCCAGTTTTTCTTAGTTTGTCGTCCCCGTCACTCACGTTGAGGATGAGCTGCAGCGACACGTTGTCGAGAATGCGTCCCTCGGCCTTGGCCTGCGCCGCCAGGTTCGCGAACCACACGCACGGCACCCAGAACTTGTTGTGCGGAGAGCGGAGGCCGTCGAACTTGCGGCGCTCCGCGGGAGTCATGAAGCCTGCGGGTGGTGGCATCTCGCGCGCCTAAAGTCCGCGTCTCTTGCCCTCTTCACTCAGTTCGTTGGTCATTGCGGGTGCGTTGGCAGTGCTGCCTTATAAAGGTATGGGCATTGCTGCCTTATAAAGGCAACACTGCCAACGCAACAAAACATACTGCGTGTATATATAATAATAAGATGAAGGGCCATTGCCTGAAACGTCAAATGTTTTATCTTTTTCCATCGAAGGCCACCGTGAGATTGACGAGTGTGTCGAGTTTTTCGTGTCTTTAACTGGGATCTGTGGACTCCGCCCGCGCCAGCAGCTGCAGACTCAGCCCCCATTCTTAATTACCATTGCCAATTAAGCGATGAGAGGTCATATGGCCTTTCCCGGGAGTGACAGCAGTGCAGAATGCACTGGGAGACAAATGCAGATGGTTATCGGCACTCATTTGTTCAGCGTTTAACAGTTGTTTAGAGTTTATCTGGGAGAGTGAGAGCTCAAGGCCGATGGTATGATGGAGAGACATAATCAAAGGCTTGTCTTGTAAAGTGCCTCACGGCACTTGACAACACAGTCCCATATTCTTGGTTCTTTCGGTAAAGTCACGTAGAAGGGAAATAAAAACATAAAAATATATAAAACTATATTATTTTTATTATAAATAAAGACATAAAAATATATTAAACTATATTATTTTTATTATAAATTTTCCTTCTACGTGACTTTACCGAAAGAACCAAGAATATGAATCCCTGCAGTCACGAAAGCTTTAAGTAAAAAAAAACATAGTCCCAGTAAAAAAGAAACCCTTAACATTAAAACGATGAGGGTAAAACAATAAACCCTTAACATTAAAACGATGAGGGTAAAACAACCCTATACGCAAGAGAAAATGAATGTATTTCAAGACGAGCCCTTAAAACGTGGATTGACGGAGCGACCCTCACGGACTAAGAGGCAAAACGTTCCACAAACGAGGTGCCCGACTACTGAAAGCTTTGTCACACAGATTTCTCCTCGGTACGCTCAGGTGCAGAGGAGAATAAGCCGTGTACATTTGCAAGCTTCAACTTTATTTAGTTTTACCAGATGAAGGCTCAAAAGACCAGGATGTTCCTCATTTGCAAGAGTAAGCTGGGTCATCACGATGACAACTAATGTGCAGCAATTAACTATGTAGAGATCATAACAAACACAAAACACTATCACATGAGGAATCAACATTATTTCAAACATAAATAAATGAAAAATATGTATTTCCCTGCAGCACATGTCGGCTAAAGTGCATTACCTTCAGACTGATCACATCACAATTTACAAAAATAAGCTATAACAACATTCAACATTAAACAAATATATGATGATGATTATATACTGTCATATGGATGTGTAAACAGATGGCGATATTTGCCGAAATTCAGACAACTAAATGAGTTTCAGAGCCAGGAACAGCAGAAGAGAAGAAGCAACCGTCCAAGAGAAGAAAGCGGACGACCACCCTTTCGAGCAGAGGTGGACGTGTGGGTGTCCACTCAATGTGGGGAAGCAGAGGAGATGAAGCGGTCACCCACCGAGAGAGAAAGTCTAGTGATAGTACGACGGAGAGACGAGCGTAAGCTCTCGTTCAAGGACTTGACTGAAGCCAGAAATGCAGACAACCCAAACGAGTTCTAGACCCGGGACCAGCAGAAGACGAGAAGCAACCGCCCGAGGGAAGAGAGCGGACGACCAGCCTCTCGAGCAGATGTGGACGCGAGGAAGTCCACGCACCGGCCTCAACGACGTGGTCCATGGTAGGGAACCGCTTGTAGACGGCCGTGCTGACGGAGCGCAGGATGAGCAGCGCCGACTGGTTGGCGTAGCGCATGAGCGTGCGGCGCAGCAGGCGGCCGCGCTCGTCCGCGCCGTGCACGTTGCACGCGACCAGGTGCATGAGACGATCGGGCCACGGCAGGCTCTCGTACTGGCTCCACCAGCGCGACACCACCAGCGTCACGTAGAAGCCTGCACCGACAGTGAGACGCACGGGGGACCCGCGTGTAGCGCAGTGAGCGGGCCACCAATCGGTTAAAACGATTCAACTAGTCTTCTTGGCTCTTTCGGTAAAGTCACGTAGAAGTGAAATCATAAATTAATAAAAAAAAACATAATGAAATCATTCTCACGACGTTTCGGCCACAACGCAAGCAAGCCGTCCGTTGTGGCCGAAACGTCGTGAGAATTATTTTATTATGTTTTATTTTTATTATTTTATTATTTCTCTTCTACGTGACTTTACCGAAATAACCAAGAAGATGAATCCCTGCAGTCACGAAAGCTTTAAATCACTATTCAATTATATTTTTTTATTTTACCAGGTAAGGCACACTTGAGCTATATAGCTCTTTTTCAGATGCCGACCTGGCCACAAATGATAGTTCAACGACAGTGGCTTATCATGTGAAAAATGTATAGCAGCCAAATAATCTAGATGCATGTTTTTAAATGTGGAGAGGAAAATCCCAGAGGACCTGGATAAAAAATCCACGGGGTGAACATGCAAACTCGAAATATACAGGCGTCAGGGTCGAGATCGCACCCACGACCTTCTGCATACCAGGCGAGGGAGATAACATCTCGCCACCGCAGCCCCCCCCAGCAGAGCTGTCGAGAGGACATCTAACGATTCACCCACGTATCCCCCCCACCCCCCGCCGCCTCGATTCATCGTCGGCCACGATCTATCCGCTGCTGCTTTACTATCAGGAAGGCTGTTCAGACTGCACAATCCGTAAAGCTATCACCCCAACTGTTGGGAAAGAACCATCGGAGGACCCAATCAAAACCATCACCTTGCCATACATAGCAGGGGTCACCAAAAATATTTCCAAAATCATGAGCAAATACAAGATCCAGGTTCGATTTAACAGTACGTAAAATTCGTGATCTGATCCCATCTGTGAAGGATGTTATTCCTGACATGCAATTCCCCGGCGTCTACAAACTAAGCTGTGTTTCCGGCAGTAGTTACATTGGGGAAACTAAGCGACATGTCTTGGACCGTGTTTGTGAACACAAGGCAGATTTGAAACACGGTAGGTCCAATACCTCAGCCATGGCTGATCATTGTTTTAATGCGGTGGCCACACACGAAATTGATTTCTCCAAGACAAAGGTACTGTACTCTGCAAACTCACTGGCTATCAACAAAGATTCGTTCATGAAGTCATCCAGAGAAATAGACACAGACACAATTTCAACTGAGAAGATGGGTACAAACTGAGCAATCATTGGAAGGAAGTTATTTACCAATTTAAGTCATAACTGGCTGTGATGTTTCCATCCTACATTCCGATGTTCGCAGTTACTTTCGACTCTCTGATTTTACATTAACAGGTTCACACTAACATAGCCACCGTTTACATGGATATGCTAATCTCTTACATGGATAAGCTAATCTCTTACATTGACATGCTAATCTTTCTCACTTTAACATCACTAGCCCCGCCCACTTCGTTTATGACCCTTGGGCGATACCATTTCAAACCTTTAAGACAGCTTGCCTCAGCAGCTTTTCCCCCTCTTTTTTCACCTGATGACGATTGCTTGTGTTGCGATCGAAACGTCGTGATATTTTTATTATTTTGTATTCACTCTATTTTCATTTTTATTATTTTATTGTTCTATCTACGTGACTTTACCGAAAGACCCAAATAATATGAATTCCTGCAGTTACGAAAGCTTTAAGTCAAGATTTATCTCTCGAGCTCCTCAACACGAGCCAATCGCATCGCTCCATATGCACGGTGGACACCCTCACTGGCACGTGTCCTCCTGTGGCTGCCTCAACGTCGCTCGCCTCGACTCGACGACCAGCCATCAGCTGCCCTTCTTGCGACGTGATCTATCCAATCCCACTTACTCTTCCTAACAGTCATTCCTCTTTCTCTCAGTGCAGTAGCATAACTATCGTGGGGGCAGGGGGTGCCTTGCTCCCATCCTGGTGGCTAAAGCTATTTGGGGCCGCCTTGACAACCACCATGAGATGTGTTTTCAGCGACAGTGTAAAAGAACAAAAACTTACGTCATAATGTTATTAGACAAGAGGAGTCGTGATATGCAGCCTGGCTGCGAACGTGCGAGACAAATACAAATTTGAGGCCCCACTTCACCGATTTCCACACCCCCTGAATTGATAACGTAGTTACCACGCCACTGTCTCAGTGTAATTCCAAGCGTGCATCCATCTCTCCGACACGTATTTGCACTCTCAACTTTGATAACAGACTCTGCACCGACAGCCGTGGTCACTGAGACACCGGGGCGGTTTCTTCATTAGGGCGATTGGGCGACGCACCACCAATCTCAGCCGTTACTGTGCCTCTGGATATAGTCCAATCAGCGTCATGTCACGTTCTGTGGAGTACCGCCTCTTTTTGGGCGATTTCACTCTGGCTGAGAATCACCCAGAGTGTTCCCATAGACTTACATTCAAAGATGTTTTTTTTTCGAACGGCGGGCGCTGCAATGCATTCTCTATGGCTTCCGGGAGGGCTCGCACTAACGTGCTTACGTCATCATACGTAAGCACGTTTCAGTCAACAATATTATTTGTCGCCACCTAGTGGAATCTTTAATAAAAGAAAGTGAGTGGATTGTAATAATAGTGAGATAGAAACAAACAAGATGTATTGTAAGAGTCACTTTATTTTTCATTAATATTAAAGAAGTGAAGTTCCCTTTACATGCTTAAGCTGTTAATTTATCCATTGCATTGGTGGACCTTATCCTTATCAATCATCCAGACATTTGCCCCCCCTGAGAGATTTTGCAGGAGCCGCCACTGCTGAGACACCTACCCAACACGAATGAGACGGGAATGAGCTCCGCGTATTTGTTGCAGTACATCGCGAGCTTCTCGAAATATCTTTTCTGATTTTCCGAAAGCATGTACCTAAAAAATATGAAACCAAATGTCAGCATCATCATTATCATAAAAACAGACATCATTCCTGGTCTTATGCTGCTCTCCCTCCCCAGTTAAATCGGCAGGGAAGTCTCTGGATCATCTATTGCGCAGGGCTGATATTAGTACCTACATCTAATGGAATGAAATCAGTTTTATAGCCACAAGTCACTGGCCTTTAATCAAGTGATAGCTAAATAATACGATGTAGTGACCAGCTGGAATTGACTTGAATTTGATTTCTGTTTTTGCTCTCAGGACAATACTGTATTTCTAACAGGCTTCAGACAAAATACTGATCTCTGATGAGGTCTTCACGCCATCGACCAGAAGATTAGCATTAAGTACTCGAATGAAGTCTTAACAGCAGTCTTTAATGGGGTGTCTATACAATACACAGACTTATCTCTGATGAGGTATTCAGACAACAGACTGATAAACCAGTTTCTAATTGTGTCTCTAAAGCATACAATTTGATAGACCAGTCTCTGATGAGGTCTACTGGATAACAATATACTGACAAATCTATGTTTGGTGAGATCGTCAGACTATTATACACACACAGCATAGCATAGCTGCCAATGGTATCTAAACTCAATACTTTACTGACAGGCTAACCCGCAAAACAATCATGCTGCCCAGACTTTGAATGATTTCTAGACAATAAAAAGTCAAACCAGAGGCTGATAGGGCCGTTTTTTCAATACATAGATTGGTCTCTGTTGGAGTCTTTACACAGACTGACAGACCAGTATGTGATGGTCCGCAGTGAATACACCAACACCCCATTCTCCGAACGATTCACAGCATCTATCCCCCATCTTTGGACCGCATCACCCGAGCACCTGTAGACGCTGCTGAGCGTGAAGAACAAGGCGAGGAAGATGCAGAACTCCTTGTAGAGAAGCTTGTAGATGGACCCCTTCCATCTCAGGAGCAGCTGTGAGAAGCCCCCGAGTCGTGCATTGGCCACCTTGTTGGAGTAGGTAACCGTCATGCCGTGATCTTACCTAACCCTCACCTGACCCCGACGTGCTCTTTGCTTAACCTGACACCTGGCTCAACATGGTCCAAGTCTGACCTGACCTTGATCTGGAACAAAAATATGACCTGACCCAGATGAGCTTGACTGGACACAATGTGATTTGGCCCGGACCTCACTCTCACCTGGCCCGCTTACACCTGACAACACGTGACCTTCATGTCGAAATGGAATTGCAAAAGCAATCAGACAATTTAAATTTGGATTCCTTTTTATAAAGCTTGTGGAATAATCTGCACACGATCCCAAGCTTTATCAACAAATATACTCACCTTTGGATTTTTAAATGTAATGTTTTTACACTTGCCTACCTCAGGAAAATTTTGCTAACTTCCTTTAAAACGTATAAGATACAAAAAAGCAATTGGCTTCAGAAATAAATATCCTACAATGATACGTCAGTCAAACAAAAATAATAACACGAGCTATGTTCAAATGGCTTACGCACAAAAAAATCCACCACTTTTTCACGCACAATTCACTCCCCTTTACTAAGCGGAGACGACAAATAAAAAGCAATTGCGAATTGTGTTCATTAGAAATACGCTGATGGCAGCCCTGACTGCCGCCAGTAAAACGATTCCCCTCGACTGCCTGTGGTCAGTTTTGTCGTTTCTTCTACTTGCGAATGTTTGGGTGGTGGTATCAGGCCACGAGGGCACAATGGGTGGCATTGTGCCGCTCACACAACGGGCGCGTGGCGTGGATTTTTGGAGTGTAAATCCGGAATTATGTTGAGCGCGAGAGCTCCGCGCAATTGTGAAGGTGGTGGCGATGACGACTTGAGGTTTGGTGATGGTTGGGAAAATGGCACGATTGAAAAGTACATCTTAATTGCAATGTTACATGGAACTACGGTTCAAAAAGTGCTTAGTGCTGCTGTGCGTAATTGGTCTTACAAAAGCCGAGTTTTTTTTAATAAAATAAAAACACTTCTTTACGTATTAAAAAAAGCATAATTTTATTACAAAAGCAACACAAACTACGTAAATTCTTGCGGTTTAGCGGTACGCATTGCTAGATGACGTCCAAAAGATCACGTGACCACTCCTTCAGCAGTTTTTTTTCCGGCATGCAAAGTCTCCCTGCGTATAATTTAGCAATCACGTGTAAATATAACATATGTCAATCGATATACAGTAATGTATTATTAATGCGTAATATTCTGGAGAGTAAGCTAGACCCGACATTTACAGAAGTTTAATGCGAGTTATGAATTAACAAATCGCGTTGCCCCAATGTTAATTGAAGGTGGTGTATCTGCAATCCACCAACTCTCAAAGCAAAAGCAGTGTAATCGCTATATGACTGAGAATAATAGTTGCGAGTATTGCTTGCCATTATTGGTCATACACAATCACCGTCAATGTCGTGAGCATTGTAGATTGTAGTGAACAATGTATAATATGCACGTCTAGCCCTTTTGCAATTCCAATGATGGATGAGGGCCTCCCTACGCCGTGTGAGTCTCAGTGGTCCTTTGACCATACTTTACCACAATGGCTAAGTGAACTCGTAAACTATAGCATCGTAAAAGATTAACTATTATGGGATAATTTTTTTACACAATTTCTGGATACGGGCCCGTGAATTGAGCAAGTTTATGAGAGCTTGTGGAAAAACAGACGAGGGGAGGGAATTACAAAGTGGAATCAAAGCAGAAAAACACGTTGTAATCTGCGGTGTTTGTGATGTAACACAGCAAGGATGGCACACACGTCTGGTAGACCGAGCCCTCGACATGGTGGACGAATCGATGAGTGAAGTTTACAGGAACAGTAACCGCGATTGTAGCGATGGAATAGTGACAAGAAGGCGACTGACTGCCGGTGAACGAGTGAGTGCAGCGAATGAGTGAGTCCTGGATCTTCCATGAACCTGATTCACGTAGACTTGTAATAAGTGTAGTGAGGAAGAAACTAGACAAAGTGAAGGTGCTCCACTTTGTCGAGTTTGTGCTTTGTGTACAGAAAAAAAAATTAACCCGTAAAAACAAAGTTTTTCACTATAAATCCTTTATATGCGTGGTATCGGTTTTATTTTATTATTCATTTCTGTTTTTCTTGAGTAAGAGTTTCATTTTTATCACATTGGTATTTTAAATTAAATATAAGGAAAGTCGTATATAAGGCTTATAAGGTTTTCAGTTTTTGTATGATTGTTTATATTGTACACGTTTGTTGTTTTCTTGAATAATTTTCTGTGTTTAGGAAAAATATATGATTGTGTTAGTGAAATTTTTTTCCCCTAAAAAGTGGAAAATTTTTAAACAAAAATAGTGACAAGAAAATTTTCACGAAAATAAATTGTCACGCAAAACGAGTCTGTACAAAATGTCAGCTCGATTGGATCACGGGAAGTGGGTTAAAAAACTACCGAAAAATGTGCACGATCGTAAGCGCGCAAGCAAGCAAGCAAGTGAACTTAATATAAAGGATTTAAAAAGACAAGCTTTCTTCCAGTACTGGCTGGCAATCGCAACCAGGCATAAGCAGGGTGGTGGAGCCCGTTCATAATACCTACAGTATAATCTGGTGGTACAGCACTCCCCCGGCGATGTATAAACACACCGATGTTTCAAGACACCTACCACTTAATCTGAAGAAAACGTGTCGAGTGACTGACTGTCTGTGGAGTGATTCTGTGTGGAGTGAATCTGTAGTGACCGCGATGACCGACTGCTGAGTACATCTGTGCGCAGTGGTCTCTGAGCTGTGCCTCTGCGGCGTTAACCGAGTGAATATCACGAGAAGTGAAACTGAAGTGAATGTTCCGAGTGAATCTCCGCAGATTGCATTCGTACGGCGCACGGGACGAGTGAACGTGTCTCGGAATGAGTGTGACGATTGACTCTGTACACAGCCGATCCCGTAAATCTGCCCAGAACAAATATTCGGAGGTGCGACCAGGACCGGATTAAGGCACGAGGGCTTTAGTGGCTGCAGCCCAGGGGCCTCCAGAGATTGAAGCGAAAAGTTATTTCGTTTGTGAATGCTGAATTTTATTTGTTGTTAGCCTTGTAAAAAAATGTTATTTTTCTTTACTGGGGGCCTCACAGAACCTGTAGCCCATGGGACCTACATAAACTTAATCCGGCCCTGGGTGCGAGGAGCTGCGGGGACAGGCCGGGGGTGGCCGCAGGGGGAAGAGGGAGGACGAGGTGGGGCTTCACAGGTGGAGGAGGATGGCGACGGCGGTGGTCACGATGATTTCCCACCCGCACCACAGCCACGGGTCCAGGCGGCCAACGCGACCCACGCTGCCCGTTGCCGGCAGCCGTGCGGTCTCATACAGCCACGTGTCGGTGGTCAGCAGGTATTGTCTCACGTCGTAGTCTGCGCTCCGCAGGAGCCGCGAGTACTCCTCGACGCGCTCCTCGCTCCACTCGTACTCGGCCATCACCGACTCCAGGGGCCTCCCCTCGTACTTCTTCGGCGCCGAGACCACGTATCTGTACTTGTCGCTCGCCGTCACCTCGCAGCCGAGCAGGTCGCGAGCGAGCGTCGGCACGTGGACGGTGCTGCGGCAGCGCGCGAGGCCGACGCGCGGGTAGTGGTGCAGGTACGCCAGGCACATCTCCTGCCGCATCTCGAAGCCTCCCGTGGTGATATCACTCCTCCCCTCCGTCCCGTAGGTGCACTCCACCACCAGCATGTCACCCGCCATCACCTCTACGCTCCGCGGGAAGTGTATGTATTGGTGAGAGTTGACGTCGTAGCCGTCGTCTTGACCGAGATGTCCGATTTCCTTGCCATCTCGGAATTGGCGCACGTGGATCTGTCGCCCGGCCACGTGCGCGTGCAGCAGCGCGTCGAACACCCGAACACTCGACACGGGGCCCGGCCGCAGCACCTCCGTGCTGCACAGGCCGTAGGTGACGAAGCCGGACACGTTCGGAGGGATCATGTGGTAGGGGCTCGGGTCCGTTCCCACTTCCAAGATACCCGCGTCGTACCTCCGGAGCTTATCGGTGCACAAGAGCCGGAAGCCAGAGTTGTCCACGACGCCCTTATCCAATTTAGGGTTGTTGTAATGGATCTGCAGCAGGACATACTTGGGGTCGTCCTTCATCCCCAGCGAGTAGCCGACGTCCTCGGGGTACTCGAACGGCTCGCCACCGATGGCCCAAGCGGCCACGATGCCCTGACAGTGCCCGAACGCCAGCGGCGCGTTGGCTTGGTAGCACTGGCTCTGATGATTGTGCGCCCCCTCGATGTCACCCGTGCAGCTGTAGAGCACCATATGCTGCACGTACGACTTGCTGACATCCGCCAGCACTGCCTCCACCTTGATGAGATGATGCTTCTCCGGCAGCTCGGGCAACTTGAACATCGTGCACGAGTAAAAGGTGTCTCGATCGGACGGGATTGTGAAGTTGCTGGTGAGAAGCTCGACGTTTATGCCTGTCCCCGGTGGCACGACGCTCTCAGGAGAGTCGGGTGGTGGTGGTGGCAGCGGCGGCAGCAGCACAATCGCACTCGTGCCGCGTTTATCGCCGTGGTACGAGATCACCTCGTCGATCCCGAACGCAAACGCCACGTTCACCGTGCCGCGCGTGATGTCCACGTCGCGTGCGTCTCCGGTGCTGAGCTGCCGTCCAAACCTGACGACGCGGGTGTCGTCGACGACGTCGACAGCGAAGAGGTGGACGTCCTGAGAGTCGTCCTTCACGGGGGTCGTGTCGTTCACCGAGTAGCGGTCCGTGCACAAGTAAGGGTCACCGGCATGGTCGGCCCCGCACACCAGCATGTCCGTGTCCTGCATGCCGCCGTGTCTCGACACGCCGAACCCCACGTAGCCGCGGGTCTGCACTTCCAGCTTGAACACGATGTAGGAGCTGTTGGCGTTCCACGACACCAAAAACATGTCGTGCAGCTTGGCCCACTGCTGGAATTCCTCCAAAGACAGGTCCGTAGCCCCGCTGGGGTCCGTCAGGGCCACCACGACCACCGCCGCTATTTGGACCACGAGGCACAGCCGAGCAGAAGCGGTCATCATGATGCACCTTCACTCCGTCCGGTCCACGGGGAATCTGGATACCTCTGGCTCCGGAGAATGGTCAGCAGTTTAATTTGACGGAACGATTGCGACTATGGTTGCGCGAAAAATCACCTATGGTTAACCACCAAATACCAAAAACCCGACGGTGATGAGACCTATTTAACGAGCCTGAATGAAAACGCAGCCTAAGATAAGCGAGTAACGTGCACTGCGAAGTGCAATGTTAAGTCACGTGTATTTTCTATTCACTGAGTGCAGTGATTAGCTGATACCCTCGGAGTGCGTTCACTCCGAGGGTATTTGGCTCAACTTGTGACGGCTTTAGTCGGCTAAACTAAGCGAATGACCACGCGAAATCCACAGACCGAGTCTCGCCTCACAAGCCACAAATTTTCGTCCACCCCACTAAGACTGTATGTAGCTGGAGACAATTAATGGTGCCTGAGCTGACGGAACAAGCCCGGCTTCTCGTCCGCTAAACCCCGGGCGCACAGAGCACAGAGCGGGGCTGGCGCTATTAAAAAACAGACAAAGTGAAACGGGGGCCCGGTCAAGTTATCAAAAAAAGAGGGCTTGGTCCAATTACCAAGGGAGCCTCCAGATAAGAGTCAGGCAGCAGCGTGCGAGCGGTGCACGCACAATTGGGGTGCAGCGGAGGGGCGGGCTGCTTGGCAGTCACTCAAGGGAGCGGTGGCGCAGTGGTTAGCACGCTGTGTTAGGAGACCCGGAGATTCTCGCTCACGGCCAACGTCAGTGACGAATATCCGAACCGGTCCTGGGCCTCCGGAGCAATGTGTGAAACATCGACACGGGGGAGATAAGGCGGCCTGGCATAATGTTGGCCACCCACCCCCTCGTGTGCTGTTCCGGCCTTCATATGTCCTCCTCGCGAACAGCACTTGCCCCAACAGTCTGTGAAGGCTATATGGGGGTTTCGATTTAAAGCTTTCGTGACTGCAGGGATTCATCTTCTTGGTTCTTTCGGTAAAGTCACGTAGAAGAATGGAAGTAACACAATTATAAAAATAAAACAATAAAATAATTCTCAAGACGTTTCGGCCACAACGCAAGCAGCCGTCCTCAGGTGAAAACCAGGTCTGTCGAGGCGACAGCGTCTGAATGAAACAGCGCCGTGCTTGAAGCATATATATAAGCTGGGTTGGAAGGGGGGGAACAGGCGCCTTGACATTTCCCCTATCCCCTCCCTTTGATGCTGCTAATCCTGCATAATGCACGGGCATAAGTAGTACTAATCACATATCTGCATTTCCCATAAATATGCTAAATTCCTCTTGATATGCAAATTATTTTGTCAAGGCGCCCTTTCCCCCCCTTCCAACCCAGCTTATATATATGCTCCAAGCTCGTGTGCTGTTTCATTCAGACGCTGTCGCCTCGACAGACCTGGTTTTCACCTGAGGACAGCTGCTTGCGTTGTGGCCGAAACGTCGTGACAATTATTTTATTATGTTTTATTTTTATTATTTTATTACTTCCCTTCTACGTGACTTTACCGAAAGAACCAAGAAGATACATGGGGGTTCTTTGTTATTTGCTCAAACACGGGGGTGGCATTGTGACGCAGGGTGACGGATCTGACCGTTTGCAATGCGTCGTTCTGGGTAAAGGCCAAGAGATCTCAGCCTTGATCACGCATTCACACGGAACAAAGCGACACGCGGTGGGTTTGCAACACATTTGAGCGTTTGACTCCGCTTGAATTTCCTGCAAAAAAACGAGTTCATCGCATAATGCGTGACGTCACGCATAATGCGCTCACTCCGCCGCATAATGACACTACGTCACGCATAATGAGGTGACCCCAAGCGGAACGCGATGACGTAATGCACAATTAGATGACGCCACCCATAACACGAAGACCGGTCATGCTAAGGCACACGTCATGTCACGTGTAACATGACGTTTGACGGGATAGTGACGTCAATTGACGCCCGGAAGAACGGATGCAAATTTATGCGGTGACGTCACGCAGCACCCAAAAAAAAGGGGGAGGGGTGCACGTCACGTTTTTGCGCAATGACGTCAAGTGACCGTAATGACGTCAGCAAGGGCAGTGACGTCAAGACGTCGGCAAAGGCGGCTGATGCCGCTCGTTGGGAATGAGCGGCTGGCTTCGTTTAACAGCGCGGGATTAATCACCCCCGGTGAGACGCGTCACTCGCACATTCAGAGCTGCTCTGCTTTAAAATGTCGCAAGCGCGGACGGGAATAATCCCCTGTGCCAATTAACATACATTTAAAAATAAAAATTTAGACCGACCCGTCGAGGCCTAGTCGCCCAACCGGGTGAGGTGCGCCCTTCCCGGTGAAAAAACTATCCGAGCAGTGGTCGGGGCGTAAGGACCCCGAACTCCCGTCGTTCGGGTTCAGAATCAGAATATTTATCCTGGAGAATTCCGACGAGCTACGTTTTCACAGACGTCCGGGGTTAAACACCGGGCTCTGCTTTGAGTGTCGCTTGTTGTTGCGGTCTTTTTTTCCCCTAATCGACAGACGCCTCGGCGGCTTGGTCATTGACGGTCCAGTATAGGTCTCAGGCGAGAGTGAATGAACGTAAGGCTACCCCAACAGTTGTCAATGATGTGTCGGTGTGGTTGACGTGAAGGGAGGGTGCCGGTTGTACGGGGAGCAGGGGAGGGTTATGTTAAGTTCGCGTCGGATGGTTACATTTATGTGAGTGATCATTTATCGTTGGTGTACGCGTGAGTTGTTTGGTGAGCTTGTGTGATGTGGGACGGTTGATGGGCCTCTGCCATGAGCTTGGGTTGCTGGTGTGCTTTTCATGACTCATGAGTAGCAGCGGTTGTTGGTGTGCCTTTGAGATGGTTAAGGATTTCTTCATCATCATCATTGTCCCTTCGAAGTCTCAACACCACTTACTACACTGTGGAGATATCAGATGTTGAATTACGGTTGAGAGACTGGTTCACGCCACAAATGAGGACATTCCATTTGTGGTTGAGTTATTTAGGTGTGTATAGGGATCTTTTTTTATAAATAAGTGGAATTTCCACAAAATCCAATTCATACCTGCATTGAAGATAGAAACTGCTCAATGCAAGGTATTGACACGCCTTGAATTGTACATTAATGTTATTTAGAGTTGGCAGAGTGGCATTATATGTGCCTCTATATAGCATATGCATTTGTGGGGTTGTGAGTGTTTTTTTTTACAGTGCATGAATGCTTTTTACTGGGTAGGTTTCGGTATACAGTATATGATAGTTGCTTCGGGGCACTTTATAATTCTATTTTAGTGCACGTTACTGCGTATACTTGTGCATTGTCTGTTACTGTGCTGATGTATGGTTTTATGCTTTTTTTACTGTGCAAGAGTGTGGTGGCAAGTATGTGTTACTCAATAAATAGATGATGCTGTGCCTAAGAGCATGTGGTCCTGTGAATGTGTGACTGGCTTTTAAACGCTTGTATATGAATATAAGCTGCAGTGTTGAGAATGTCACTCTTAATTGTGTAGTGCACTGCGCATAACTGGAGGAATACAGTATATGGTGTTCTCTGTTATGTATGTGTCGGTGTATGAACTTTTGATATATGTTTTTACAGAACTATATATACAGATGAAACAAAATGCGAGTAGTATAAATGCACACGCAATTCGCGTGTGCGTTACTCACACTGCTAATGTGCATCGTTGAGAGCTTATCGCTCTACATGACCTTGACTAGTGATCGTAGCCACGTCTGTCATTGGTGTTGTGCAGTGTGCAGCCCGTTCAGTATCCACACCCTTGCAAACGAGTTGGCCAGCCACTGGTCTGTGTTCTACCAACTCGGAGGAAATTAAAACTAATGTTCTTCAGCAAAGGAAATCACGTTAGTCACGACTTGTAATAACGTTCACATCTAGGGCATTCGCTTTTAAATTGTTTGGTTGCAATTTGATTTATTTCCCCCATTTTTCCTAGAAGTTTATTGTTGTTTGAATTCTTGTTCTTGAATAGCACAGTTGCTTTATGAAATATATTTTTTAAACATCTTGTTCTTTAGCGCCTGTTATGTACATGTTAAGCAAGTAGCCTGATTGCCTATGACCAATACCCTGAATGTACCAGATCTCACGACATCTCTAAATTAGTGGTTTAGCGCTTGGAATGGATTTGGGATATTTCTATGGAAGATTTGAGTGTTATTTCCTACAAGTACTCCAGTGTACTTTCATGTGTCAATCAATCAAATGGAATTGACCAAGCAGGACCCTTCTAAAAAAAAGACCAGAGACTATAATGTGTTCCTGAGTAAAGGTTATTATTTAAAACCGATTGCCAATTATTATTAAAGATATACCTACGGAGGTAACACATCTTGCCTAAAATAAGCATAAGATGAATGTAACAGTTGGGGGCCATTACAACATAATATAGAAAAGTAACTGCAGTATTAATTATTCTTAACCATGATCAATCAGCTATTTGTTATGACCAATGGTATGGAAGACCATAACCCACCACGGTGCAGTTGCATATACTTAGCTTCATGTCTTAGCAGTGCGTTCTTAATTACAACGATATGAATGATATATATTGGTGTTGTTATATCTGCACAATTGGAAGGAAATTAGTCGAAGCATAATGCGTTGCCATGAATTATTACGATTTGGGGTGGTGATTTTCACTTCTAAATATTTCTGTTGTAATAGTGCAGTGGATGGTAGCGCAGCCAGTGGTCTCAGGAGTCGTGTATATGTGACATCTAAAAATTGAAAAACATCGATTCTTACACCCGCAAATATATGGATGCATATTGATCTTGACAATCAATGTTAATTAACGGATGCATCATTCTACCCCAAATAAAGATGATATAATCATCCCACCATCATTCATCGGAGATCAATTAAATGAGGAGCACTTTTCAGAACGTCAACTGCATTTCCTATTGAACACCTAGTCTCTGCCATACGAATGTGTAATTGTCATAATTGGTTTGTGACCTGCAGAGACAATAATCGCTGATCCATGCTTGTCTAAGTAGGGAGACACTGTTCATTATTTTCAATTGGTATTTAAGGTCTACATTTGTTTTTCTGTAGCAAGCATTGTGCATCTATAAGGTAACCACTGTTTACAGATGAACTAAGCCCCGAGGGCTTTATGAATGATACTACTTTGAAGCGTTAGAGTTTAACAGATTTTTTCAGGTTAAACTTTAATAAAGGAGTGCTAGAACAAACACTGTAAAGGCAATACTCATAATGATTGCTAAGCAAAATGTCATCTGGGCTATAAAGGTTAAGATTCCTTTTTTATAACAAAACTTGTGTTGACTTTGCACATTGGTCCCTTAGCGATTTTCAGAGAAGGCTTCTGTTTTGAAGACTAAATACATTCAAAATATTCACGAATGAGCCTTCCGAACCAATGCTTTTCAGCAGCATTTGTTTAAATACACACCTGAGAATTGGCACTTTCGAGGCAAGGGTTGGTGGATCACACAGACTTGTGAAGCTCCAAAACTTTAGGGCCTGAGATAATAGTACAGCAAATAGGTTGTACATGCTCGTCTTCTTCTTCCTCGCGTTGTTCCCGCTGTGGCGCAGGGTCCGCTTTTCGGCATTGTCTTCTCCATTTGGCTCGGTCCAGGGCATCTTCAGGGGATGCGTTGACCGTCTTCATGTCTTCCTTTATTCGATCCAGGAAGACATGAAGACGGTCAAAACGCACATTATCATGTACAGCAAGTGCTGTTGGAACTGTGACCTGCATCTATGTTTCTCTGAGGTTAACTATAACTGAAATGATTACCCACGGTGCTTTTGGATTCTTGGATATCGTATGTGTCTCGTGTGTCATGCCAGCTTTCGTAGGTGTGTGCTCACCAACAACTTTGCTCCATAGTTTACAAAAATTAGATGGAGGTTCTTTGTCTCTGTGTGCATGTGAAGCAAGCTGTTCTGAGTTCATTCGGAAGCCAATGATTTAATTCCACATTCAGTGTGCTTAGCCTCTTTATCTTCTGTCAGACTTCAGCCTTGGAGAGAAAACAAACACCTGACAGAGTTTTAATTTCACCTACTCTTCTCATTACCGGGGTTGGGTTTGCTTGGTTTCATTCCTGCTTTTCCTACTGACTTTTTTTAAATATCTCAGTTGATCCCTTCACTCCGAGCTTTTAAAATAAAATTTGACTTGGGTTTGGTTGGGAAGGGCGGTTGAGGGTTCTCTGTGCCTTGGCGGTTATTTGTCAAACATTTACCTTTGCATTGTGCCCTTGGGAACATTGAATGCTCTGGTGGTTTTTGTTCACCCGGTACAGCCCGTCAATGGAGAAGTGTGTGCCAGGCATCATAGGATTAAGCCCTCCTTGTTTGTGGAATGTGGCTTGCGTGTATGGATGCTTTGTGTCTGGTCACATGAGTGCCATGCTCACCATGCTCGCTGTGGTGGAAACCTCGTTTCGTTGCCATTGACCTGTGTCACACACTGTGTCAAAAGTGAAGTCGTTTTGTATTTTTGTTGTCATCGGTTGTTTTTTCCCCCCACCAAACCAGTTGTTTTTGGGTTAAACGTTTTGACAGACGTTGTTGTTGTTGTACATCAGTACAGAATTGCTCTTGGTGGCACGAATACAAACGGGCGCATTTGTGCTCAGTAAGAGGTTTTATTTTGGCAGTCGCGAGGTTTTTCCGGATTGTTTGCCTTCCACTTGCGGGATGCAGTTGTTTCCATGTATAAAAGCAACGTTTTCCTGTTTAGATATTGGGCACATCACGTCAAATCGATTTAAAGTAGATTCTTCAACTCACATAGATTGAATCATATGTGTGGGAATGTATTAATGCTGGTGTTGGTAAAATATTTGCTAATTATTTGCTTATGTTATATTGAGGCTAATGATTAGAGCAAAGATGTACAAACGAGACATTTTCAAGTAAAAACGTAAAAAAGTGATATAATTTCTGGATTGATTCGAGGCTCAAAATTGTGATAATTCATTAGATCGCTCGGCAGTTTTTTTTCTTATATCCCTACATACAGTACAATACAGTTTTGAGTTTATTTAGCCTAAAATGTGAATGCATCTCAAGACGCTGTTCATATGGTTCCATATGAAGGCTGTGTTTACATCGATAGCATTGAACATAATGAGCCCTTGATAGTGCTCATATTGATGGTTGATAGTGTTCATATTGATGGTTCAGCAGTTCCACTGCTGGATTCTATTTTTTCCGCCTGAGGACGACTGCTTGTGTTGCGATCGAATTATCATGATTTATTTTATATTATACCTACGTGACTTTACCGAAAGCTTCAAATCAAGATTGATGGTTATGATTTTAGTTATATTTAACGGGGATACAAATACATTTATAGCAGTGATAATCACGAGTAATAACACACGTACTGAAGCTGATAGATAAGCCAATAATGCCATTTTGATTTTAAAATGCTAGTTTACTCGAATTATTTTCATCTAGTCTGTGTACGGCGAGAACATTTGTGCCGTAAACAACAGCCTCTGCCCTCCCTATCTCTAACCCTCCTCTTCCTCCCCCTCTCTCCCCGCGCCACTCGTGTGCCCCCATCAGGTGTGGCGCATGGCGAGGAACGCCCTGGAGGGCTTCCACGAGGTCAACCTCTCCTCGCCCACCACTCCGGAGGAGGCGGTGGACGAGGCGGAGGGGGGCGGCCCGCGCCGGGCGGCACAGCTGACCCGGCGTAACGCCGCCGGCATCGCCGTCTACGTACCGACCATCGCACACGCCCGCCGTGCGCCCCCACGCACCTCGTCAGGCCCTGGCTCTGGCCCAGGCAACGCCACCGCTGCCGTCGCTAACACCTACGTCGTCTCGTCCGCGTCGCCCCGTCCCGCAAGCCTCGCCACCACCGCTGCTGCTGTGCCGGGCACGTGGCACACGGGTGCAGGGCTCAGTCCAAAGCCGGCGTACAGAGCCCTCAAGTCGACCCCAAACGGGGTCGCTCGGCCCGCGAGGTGAGGGGGGGAGGCTGATGGACATGATTTGTGTAGCTATGCAAATGCAGATAAATGCGATCTGGATTACACAGATAAGAGGAGACTGACGAAGAGGACCGTGCAAACTAACTTGTGTTGTCTATATTTGCCCGGCAAGCTTTTAGTACTGGGGTTCTGGGTTTGGTATGAACTGGAGGTGGAACAGAATGCTTGTTACACTGTGCACTGTTTATTTGTAATGTATTAGCACCGTGTTCTTTGAGCCAAGCGCTTCGGGGAAGCCACTGTTCGCGCAGTCCCTTTGCGTGCACAAGCAAGAAATGCGCCCAAAGGGTTCCCCAAACTCAAGGCTTAATTTCTGGTCACCGTCAGCACTAATGAGCATGCGTTGCCTCCCTGTGACGGCGGTGTGAAAGTCAGTCGGTGTCCTGTGTCCAGATACAGGTGGAGCAGCTTCTGGAGTAAGTCGGAGAGCACACGTGCAGTTGCTGCCTCGGCAAGATGTCGAGTTTTGCCAACGTTTGGATGGCTCGGGGATGTGCTTTTGAGCAGGGTGTCGTGACAAGTGTGTGATCCAACACTTGTGAGGCAAGGGTTGATGGATTGCATTTAGATTGGTGAAATTCCAACATGAGGATTTCCTTTCTAATTATGTGCAAAGCTTTTCCACTGTCAATGATTGTGGCGTATTGTCACCATTATCATAAACATAATATTTGTTGGATCATCATCTATTCTTATGGTCATTTATCTATCATAATGATGATATTTATTTCTACTGTCATCCATCATTGCATCAAACTAATGTAAATTTGTTGTTGTTTAAACAACGTCAGCATCAACGGTAATGTCGTGGTTTTCGTGCCACGAGGTATCCCAAAGCTTCGTTTTGTTTGTTTTGTGATCGAAGAAGAAGGCAAGATAGAAGCGGGGTAATATCCGCAAGCGAAGCAAACAAATTATAACACAGACGAATGGCCTACGAAGCAAAAGCTCCTTTGGCACTCGAAGGAAATCGTTACTCAATCGCTAACGGCGACTGTGTGCTACCCGATGGTACTGCTGTTCATGAAAAAGTGCGTTGTCCAAGGATATTGCCGAGCTGAGGAGGCATCTGCCGCTAATTAATCAGTCGAAGCACTCGGGGGGTAGCAGCACACAACAAACCCACCAGCTCTCTCCCGTTCTCTCGGCGGACCACCTTGGCTGATGAATGCTTCTTGTGTGAAGCAGTGCCTGCAGTTGCCTGCGTTGATTTATTTCTCCAGCCGAGGCACTCGCGCTTCATCATCTGCTTTGCAATCGCTCCCATCAGCATCCGGTGCCGTATTTCTCAGAACTGGAGCTGGAGGAGCTGAGCGGGGAGAGGCGAGCGCTGGCCACGCAGGAGGGAGCGCTGTCCTTCGGGAGCGCATACATGCGTAGTGCGCGTGAACTTTTAATCTGTAACACGTGAGGGCACGCGGAGGAGAAAGTTGCGTTTTTGATAGGGAGACCTGGGTCATGCACAGACATGGCTCGAACTCTCTCGGTGCAGAAAAAAACAAAACAATGCAGCTATCAATGTCTTGGCATAATACATGTAACAATAAGATGTAGTATAAATAATAGGCAATCATAAGTGTAGTGGTTCACCATCATGGTGATTCAGGGTCTCAGAATCGATTATTATTTCATTGGGATGAATGTAGCAGCAACTTGTGACTGCAGACATTCATATTGACCCCATTGCTAATAACAGAAAAGATTTCAAAATATAAATTCTTACACATGCCATTCAATGGCCATGTTTCGTGAACATCCAATGGCCTAGGGTGGAGGCCTTCATTCAGCACTGGATTGAACAAGACAGATGATGTAGTAGTAGTAGTGGAGAGTTGTCGCTTGTGGCATACGAAGTGAATTGTCACATGGGCAGTAGAGAGTGACGAGTCACTAGGCTCATTGGCGTGTGCCTGCGCTGGCTGCGCAGGTCGCGGTCGCGGTGGTGGCGCGCGTGGTCACGGTGGCGCGCGTGGTTGCGGTGGCGTTTCTTGAAGCTGGTGCGTTATGCTCAGAGCTGCAGAAAAGCATCTCAAGAGATCTGCACCCCCACCTCCGAGTTTAATGAAAACAGAGAGAGAGAGAGCGAGCATTCCAGATGTCGAGAATGTGTTTTAAATAACAATAACACATTTTTTTAAAGAAAAATATATAAAACAATCAAAGCCAAATAGGGCGCTTGACCATAGAACGTTTTTGTGTATTTTTGCAATTTATTTTTGTGCTGTTGACTTTTACAAATTGTATTTGTACATCAGTGCCCAGTCACATAAAACATTTGAAAGGTTTTTTTCGTTTGACCTTTACTGCTTCATGTGACGAAGAGGAAATTATACGAAAGGTATTTTCATGCAAGTGGCCACACGTTGTGAAAATGGCCTTGAGCTGAATGGGATATTACCTGGTTCTAAATTAAGATAATTGATTTGCATAACGTGTGAGATAGAGAGGAATGTGGACAGCAAACAGAGCCAAATACATAGTGGAGAGCAAGAGAGATTAGGTGGAAATAAGAGGCAGAGAAACGGCACCAGCAAGACAGTGAGAACGCCAGAAACAATGGGGAAAAGTGAGCAAGGCAGAGTGACAGAATCAGAGACAGAGTGACAGAGCAAGAGAGAGAGGGCGATATGGAGAGGGGGAGGGTTGGAGAAAGGCGCAGAGACGCGGAGAGGAGAGATATGGTGGGCAACGCGAGACACTTGGCCCTGTTGTCTGGACCCGAAGCGAGAGGAAGTGTCGACGCCGTTATTGCAGTGTGCTGACGGCCTCGGCCCTTGCTCTGCACGTGGCAGCCTCCTCCTCCGCCCCCTCCTTCCTGTGAGGATGCGGGACTGCGTGTCGTGTTTCTGCCCTGGCAGGGAAGTGGGGGGTGCAGGGGCAGAGCGGTAGAGTGTGGGGGACCGACCAGCTGTGTTTTCTTCCGCGCCGAGATTCGTGGCACCCGCAAAGTTTTCTTGGCTCGCTTAGTTTCCGAATCTTAAAGTCTGCCCAGCCTAGGAGGCAGAGTCGTTTATCGCCATCCCATTTCATTTCTCTGCGCCGACGTTTTGCCGGGGCGGCGGGTAGCGTAATTTTGTCGTCTCGGCCTGGAGTGCCGACCAGCCAGAGAGGCGATCCGGGCCCCCGCGAGGTCGTGGTGAGTGGAGAAGTGGGAGCAGCGTCGGTGAGTGGGACAGATCGCACGGCTGTGCCCGGTGCAGCGTTTCCATCGAACCGTGATGCAGCGATCGCTCGCTCGCTCGGTCATGGACGACCCCGATAACAGGTACGGTGGACGCACGGCTGCCTTTGGCGGTGAAGCCGTGTGCAGTGCATTCAAGCAGTCAACAAATTATTATTATTATTGGTGTTGTAATATTACCAAGTTGTAATTAATAGAAGGAGATAATAAGCCAGAGTTTTGGACAATGTGCCTCTATGAACAGAGGGGGCACAGATTAACAGGCATGTTGATTGGCTGACTTATAGTTGGAAATGATAAATGAGTCAGGCATTGGCTCCGAGTCGGTCAATCTCTCCATAAGTCGAACGTTCTCTGTGATGTTTGTCACTCCTCTGAATAAAGAAGGGCCATTTTCCGAAAGCTACATTTTGCATATCTCTTTCTATTTTAATGTTCAGTTTCATTGATGAATCGTGGTGCGTTTTTAAGTTGTACCTGTTCACCACTGAGCCAGAGTGATTTGGTTGGTTTGGGGGATAGGCTTAGCCCGTTGTTGTCTTAAATAAGGAACTTATCAATAAGATGTGACCAATGCTCAAGACACTGTACACGCAGTGGGTAGGGGGAGAGGGACATGTGCATCTGAATAATTTTGAGTGTTTTAAAGGTGTAATGATGCATTGATTATAATCTGCTCTTAAGCTCGCGATACTAGCATCGAATCACGTTTATAAAAAATCAAATATGGTGAATGTAATGCGCACATCAACACCTGCATGCACGAGGGGCCGCTCTACACTCACCACAACAATGTTTTAGAGAGAGAATTGATGATTGGATCAAATCGTAACCCTGAATTATGACGATTCAACGAATCGCCGGGGTGGTTGTGAAATTGGTGTGTAGGCGAGAACGCCAACCCTGCAGGATGGGGAAATGAGACACCAGTTTGATGAAGGGAGTAGTCACTTCGTGTGAGAGAGAGAGAGAGTAAGTCGGTCATAGGCAGAGAAAGAGGAAGGTTTTGAGATTTTACTTGAACGCGACTCAGGTACAAGGAAAGAATGTGCTCTGCGCAAAAAACAAGCGTGCATTATTATAAATCCCAGACGACCCTCGGACATTTCTGGTTGTGAACAACAATGCATTCCGTCTGTCTGGCCCGGGACAGTGTGAGAAGGATGCTGGAAAACTATGAGCATCTTCCACGAACTAACACTACGATGTTATATAACCAATTTTATAAAACCAGACTGTTAGGAAGCAATGCTTCTTCCTGGTTCAGCAGTTCTACTGTTGGATATTTTTTTTCTGCCTGAAGACAATCGCTTGCGTTGTGGCCGAAACGTCGTGAAAATTATTTTATTATGTTTTATTTTTATTATTTTATTACTTCCCTTCTACGTGACTTTACCGAAAGAACCAAGAAGATGAATCCCTGCAGTCACGAAAGCTTTAAATCGAAATATATTTTTGTCTTTTTTTCTACCTACGTGACTTTTCCTAAAAGAACCAAAGAGTATAGAAGCAATGCTTGTTTTCATAAAAACGCACTGTTTTATAAATCCTGTAATAATACTTGAAATAATTTTATGTAAATATTGTGAGCTTCTTTTGCACCGTACGTATCCAACCGTTCTAATTGCAAGTGCAGGGGAAGGACAACAAACTAAACACAAAAACAAGTTCTAAAGAAATTAGTTTTCAATCTAGATTTAAAAGTGCATAGCTCCAGTGCCTTCCTAATATCGGAAGGAAGAGCGTTCCAGGCGGCCACAGAAGCGCATCTGAAAGCACGCGATGCAGTGACCGTCTTTGTTCGATGGCTATCCAAAAGCTGCTGCTGTGAGGATGACCGGAGTTTGCGTGATGGTTTATGCTCCTTCACAAAATCAGCGAGGTATTGTGCTTCATTTGTAGCAAGCACTTTGTGTGTAATGAGTGCGACTATATAATGAATTGGTTCTGCAATCGGAAGCCAATGCACTTCGGCACACACTGGACGGACATGGTCAGATCTTGCAGTACGTTTCTATGTTGAACATTACGCACCGTATGTAACCAGCCGTGTTAATTGGAGGTGCGGGGACGACACGTATCACGACACGTGCCAAAGAATGTTGTACATGCTGCAGCTTGGTAATTTTAGAAAACCATTCCAGTAAAACATTCAAATAGTGCAGTACTATTTTGTGAACAATATTACAAAACCGCACCATTTTATGGAATAGATTTTATAAAATAGTACCATACAAAGAACCATTTCACCAGATGAGGAAACCAAAAAAACACAACAATCTTAAGTAGGAAACGAAGCCAAGGAATGGAATGCACTCGAGAGGCGTCTCTTGATGAGATGGAGCGATGGAATTGGCGTGCAGGTGCTTAACCATACATAGTTACATCACAGGATCATGAGAGGTGGTGTGGCGGCTTGGGGGGGGGGGGGCTTCATCCAGCAGTGGATTGACCACGGCTGATGATGACTGTAATGATGAAAGAAAAGACAAATTGTCGCTCTCCTGTCAATGCAACTGAAATCTGGAAGCAATTTTGAAGATGTCAAAACGGCGGTTTCCCTGGACCCGCTCGTGAAATGTAACCCAGATGTGCTGGGCTTTGAACATGTATGTTGAGCTTCTTTCACACCGTACATAGCCAACCGTGCTAATCGGAGGTGCGGGGGAAGAGGCCACAAACGAAACACAAAAAGCAGTTCTAAAGAAATGAGTTTTCAATCTTGATTTAGAAGTGCATAGCTCCAGTGGATTCCTAATATCGGAAGGAAGAGCGCAATGCAGTGACCATCTTTGTCCGATGGTTAGCCAGAAGCCGCTGCTCTGAGGATGTTGCGTGATGGTTTATGCTCCTTAAGCCGAGAGCATAGGAGGTGTCAGCCCCCGGGACTGTGGATGGACCACGGAGGTCGCAATCGGGTACCCGATACCCGTACCCTACCCGATACCCGGCTACCCGTACCCGACCAGGTACGGGTACCCGTTTGCGACCCTGGTGTGGCCGGGTACGGGTAGACCGTGAGTCACTGGTGAGTAACCATTTGTCACTCATTTCCCAACGTCTTGTCTCTTCTCACAATTCAAGTTCCTAGAATCAACCCAACCACGCCTGCAACATGGCTTCATCCCAGAGGTCGCAATCGGGTACCCGATACCCGTACCCTACCCGATACCCGGCTACCCGTACCCGGCCGGGTACGGGTACCCGTTTGTGACCCTGGTGCGGCCGGGTAGGCCGTGAGTCACTGGTGAGTAACCATTTGTCACTCATTTCCCAACCTCTTGTCTCTTCTCACAATTCAAGTTCTTAGAATCAACCCACACGCGCCTGCAACATGGCTTCATCCCAGAGGTCGCAATCGGGTACCCGATACCCGTACCCTACCTGATACCCGGCTACCCGTACCCGGCTGGGTATCGGGTACAGGTAAGGAATCAAACCCCGTTTGCGACCTCTGATGGACCGGCAGCGGTGGCATGCGCGTATTTTCCTTTCCTGCGCGTGGCCGTGAAGTCTGGGCGAGGAGACTCGCGGGCCGAAAGCCTTGGTTCCTGTGGCTCCCTCCGTCTCCGATGTTGAGTGATCTTCCGTGACTGGCTGCACGTATGCGAAGTAGAATTAAATTCGATTTTACGCGACCGATTTGACAAAAAGTGCCCCTGCGAAATTAGATTATTGTGATTCTCTTATCAAAATTGTTGTTGATTGTAACCTGCCCCACGGAGCACGATGATCTTATTTTGTTAATGGGTTAGGGTTACAGTGGCTGCACTCGGGCAGTTTTTTTTCTAAATCTGTTCATGATGAGAAAACCTCACCACAATAGAAAGATTAGCGGACGCTGGAAATCAAATAGGCTTAATAACCAACGCACTAAGATGTGCAATGCATGCACAGATGCCTTGTGCAGACCACCAGCTCCAAGCGACTGCATGTTTGGTCATTTTGTCTTTCTAGAGCACAGTAGTGTACCTCACAGGCTAACACTGGGCCCATAGACTACCTTGGAGATTCCAGGGATATAATTGATCTATAGATATCGGCTCCCTTTGACCAACATTCGACTCACCGTTAACATTAAACCCATAGGCAAACACTGGGCTCATAGGCTTATTTAATCTCCAAATGCTAATGCTAGGTCCATAGATTGAGATATAATGCACAGACTGTGCACACAATCGCAAACAATGGACCACATTGTACAACGTTCCCACTTCAATCATGTTCTCGCAGCATCCTATTTACACCAAGCCACTTGCAAAGCTGTTGATAATGAGCCATGATTCCTCCACTGCTGAATCTAGGAATTCCCAAGCCTTTGCCATCTATCTTGGGCTTGTGAAGCAAACATTTATCTATCTCCTGAACAGGAGCTGATTTCATTGATCCACCTCCAAGGTAGACGACCACTCGGTATTATTACTCTGTTAAGTATTCCACACATGGCTATTTTAATATTGACGATCATCTCTTGCTATACGAGAGAAGAATAAGAAGGTCTATCGATTAACAATGGGCTCTGAGACTACCATAGAGATCATAGATTAACATGGGACCGAGTGACGTGCACAAGACCCATAGATTTACACTGGCCCCAAAAACGTACGTATCATTCGTAGACTTTCATAGGGCACATTGACTTGCATGTCGGGCCCACAGATTCACATAGGGCCCATAGTCTCGTATAGAGAGCATAAACTATAACAGATGTCACATAGTTTCACATGAGTCCAATAAGGGGATCTCTGTGTTAGTCGGCTATGTTTTTTTTATTTGCGTGAGTGAGACGTTTAAAACAAACACACGGAGCATGTGTGTGTGTCTCAGTCGTGTCATGTTGCGCGTACAATTGAGACACACACACACACGAAGCGTGTGTGTGTGTGTCTCCGTCGTTTCGCGTTGCGCGCATTTTTACCAGCAGCCGTGTGTCAGCTGTTGTCAGCGGCCACTGTCAGCTGCGTTCTCCTCCGCGAGGCACGCGATCTCGCACTGGTGCTGAGCGTGCGTATTTCGTTATTGCGATTTCGCAGCAGAATGTTTTTTTCCCCGTTTTCCAATTTTTACTGAAAGTCATTTAAGAGCGCTCGGTCGGCAATTGCTTAGCAACGTCGGCAGCACAAGTGTAAGTGTTTGCGCCAATGTAATGAGGCCTCTGGTGATTAAAGTATTGGTTATAATCTACAAATAATGTGATTCAACCGTGAAGTAGTAACATGTACTAAAATAAATGTGCATGTGATGGTCTTGAACGATCCCAGTAATTCTGTTGGTGTTGATTATTGCTGGTGATTGTTATAATGATGATGATAATGATAAGGGCTAGTGTAGTTTTCACGGTTATGCATTTTACTTGTCAATTCTGATTATATCGATATTAGAAAGCCACTCGAGCTACGCACTTTTAAATCTAGATTAAAAACCCATTTCTTAATAACTGTTTTGTGTGTTTCATTTGTGGTCCTTCCCTCGCACCTCCGATTTAGCACGGTTCACTATGTACTGTGTGAAAGAAGTTCAACATACATATCGATGATGATCATTACGCTGCTGATGATGATTGCAGTGACAATGATGATGATGACGACGATGATGATGATGATGCGTATTCCGGTGCAGTGATGTCCAGTCAAGTCATTATACTCATCACCAAGTGCATGAGCACTCTACTAACATCCGACCTCCACGTGCACGTCCTCCCCTCCTCCCAACAGCGCCCCGGCCTCCACCGGCGCAGCTCAGGGCCTCATGAGGGCACGCGTCCCCGGGCAGCGCGGAGCGGCCGACGGGGCGAGGGGACCGGCGCGGAGCCCCCCGCTGCGGCGCTGTGCCGGCGGCAGTGACCGGGCGTCGGGGTCGCCCTCCCCCCACCGCTCGTCCCCCCACCGCTCGTCCCCCCACCGCTCGTCCCCAGACTCGGCCGACAGCGACGACTGCAAGCCCGTGCGGCCGTGCAACCCTGTGAGGGTGGATGACGGCGACGATGATGACGACGATGAGGATGACGGGGACGACGAGGGGGGCGATGACGATGAGAGGGGCGGTGGCGGTGGCAATCGCCCGGTGGCGGGGGCAAGGGTTGCACCGGCTCATCCGGGCAGGGCGGGCGGGAACGAGGATGCTGGCGAGAGCTTCACGTCGGGAATCTCACGACTGCGGAGCCCGTCCGTCAAGGAGGTGAAGGAGAAGGGCTACGAGAGGCTCAAGGAGGAGCTCGCTAAGGCACAGGAGGTAGGGGAAGCGCACACACACAGCTCGCAAATCAAAATCTGTATTCATCCTGGAGAAATCCGATGAGCTATGAAGCTCTTTTGCACAGATGTCCAGTAGGACAAATGCCGAGATGCTCTGTGGGAGGTTTTGGGGCAATGGATGCCGCACGACCACGTCCCTCTGAATGCACCAGCTCTAGTCGGATCTCGGAGGCTAAGCAGGCGCTGGGACTGGTTAGTGCTCGGGTAGAAGATCGCCGGGGCATAATAGGCGTTGTGTCTGTCCCCCTTTGCTTCTCCGTCTCGCTCCGGCTTTGTGTGTCCCCCCCATGTCGCTCGCTCTCACCCTCTCGCTGAGCAGGACCTGAAGCTGAAGGATGAGGAGTGCGAGCGTCTGTCCAAGGTGCGCGATCAGCTGGGCCAGGAGCTGGAGGAGCTCACAGCCAGCCTCTTTGAGGTGCGATTGCAGAGACTGCATGCATGCCTGCACCAACGCACGCAACCGTGATTAATTAGTGACGTCTAGGAGGGGGGGGGAGGAAACCTTCATCCAGCAGTGGATAGAGCACTGCTGTTGGAGATGGTGATGATGTGGAATATTCACGAGTTACGTGTGATGCCACGAGACATTGGCACAAATCCTGTGGGTCACATTCGCATCTCAATGAAAACAGGTGAAACACAGCGCCTTGGCGTTTTGCATCACTGTTGGTCATGGAGGCACCGGGCACTTCTTCACTAAAAGATGGAGTGAAGGGGGCATTCGCCAGCAATGTGTGAATTGGGCACTGTTTGTTATCCACTTAATGCAGGTGGTCAGCAAATACAAAACCTAAATAGCGGCTCAAAGTCCTTGCGACGCTCCATTGCTCATCACTCGTGCCCGCCCGCACGGCTCACTGTGTTGACTCGAGGTTGCTTAGTAGCCCATACCAGTGGATATATATTGCGTTGTATTAATTTGACGTGTGGGAGAGATATAGGAGTACCTTGAAAGTATTTACACAGAACAATCACAGTTCCACACAGATGGATTCAATTAAATTGCTGCATGGCTAACTCCTGGCCTCCTCGGAACCCAACCTACAGCAGATTGTCCTGGCTGGACAGGTTGTCCTGACTGAGTGACCTTTCTCTGTGGATGCCCCCGACAGACATCTGGAACTTTTTCCCACAGCACATATGAAGCATTAAAACTCCCTCTGCCTTCATGAGTTGGCTGACGGCACCGCACTTGTTCATGCTGGCACAAGTTGAACCACTTGTTCAGGCTGGCATTCTGTGAACCACGGGCCTGTGGTCTGCACCTCAGATTTCACGATCACACAGTTAATTGTCTGTTGTGTAAAGTTTTTACACCTTACAAATAGTTTTTACTTATTATAAGTATTATTTCCTGGAGGTGCAGGGGAAGCACATCAAACTAAATGCAAAACGTATAAACCAGGTTCAAGCACGCTTCTAAGCTTCCAAGACGTGATGATACCAACACATCCAGGGTGATGTGTTCTTAGGCAATGCTCGGTGATTGGCCATCTCTCTCTGAACTTCACTGAGACATAGAAGAGCACCATCTCTACTACCTTGAGACAAAGGTGGCGGGGAGGTGAAGCACAACAACTGATACCAGTTGGGATGAAGCGAGCGTGAGGCCAGCCTGTGTTGGCGACTGCACCTAGATTTCTTTTCACACATTGTATGCAAGTGTAGGGCGCGTCCGGTATGTGTACACGCAGCGGGCCCCAAACATAATTTTACCGAGACCGATGTTGAGTACGAAGTGACACTTTGTCTTGGTAAATTCGCGCTCGGGCCTCCAGCTATGTCTGGGGACGACCGGATGTGTGGGGGCGCGACCTCATAACAGAATGCCAAGGGTCACCAGGTCAGCCAGCCCCACAGGGTGATGATGTCGATGGTGACAGCTGTTGTTTTGACGCCCGTCATTTTGGCCCATGTGTGCAGGAAGCGCACAAGATGGTGCGGGAAGCAAACGTGAAGCAGGCAACAGCGGAGAAGCAGCTGAACGAGGCGCAGGGCAAAGTACGTCGTGGGGTGGGAGGGGTGGTGGCATATGAACCAGAGAAGCGGGGACTCATAATGTTTGTAATCATTATGATAACGATAATGATTACATTATCATCGTCATCATCATCTGTAATGACGGTAATCTTTGTACTCATGATTGTTGTTCGGAATCATTTTCATTATCTTCCTCACAAACATTGTAATATTGTAAATCCCATCATCATCTTGTAATAATCATTATCGTTGTCTGCATCGTCATCAGAGTCTTTGTCATCCTGGTCGTTTTCGTTGTAATAATTTTAACAGCTGTTTATTTTGTAATCATCCCTGCATGTAGTCGTCATCTTTATTTATGAAATGCAGTCACATTAAGACATTGTCAAAAAAGCCTAATCGTATTGTATTCTACACTGCCGCATTTGCGACCGTCACAATCGCCCTCCTATTTGTAATCATTAGCATCGCTGTCATCTCTGCGACCTGCGTGTGTGATGCGCGCGCCCGCGTGTGCCCCTCGCCGCACAAAATGTAGCCTTCGCGTTCCTCACCGGCGTCTGCGTGGCCCCCAGATCGACGTGCTTCAGGCCGAAGTGACGGCCCTCAAGACGCTGGTCATCACCTCCACGCCCAGCTCTCCCAACAAGGAGCTGCACCCTCAGCTGCAGCCGTCCGGCAAGGCGGCGCCCTTCAAGAAGGGACACATCCGAAACAAGAGCACGAGCAGCGCCATACTGGCGCCCAACAGCTTTGCCGAGGCCCCCGACGTGCTCTATGCCTTCGCTCGCGAGTGCAGAGAGGTCAGGGGTCGGGAGGGGCGGTGGGTTTGGGGTGGGTGGTGAGAGGCGGCTCGCTGTGGTGTTTCTTCAGTCTTTCGCTCACCTGTTTGCTTTGAAACGCGCGCTTGCTCGCACACTCGCTCATTTGTTGTGTGTTTTGTTGTGTTTAGCTTTTAAAATTACCTCAGACAAATCCCACTTGTAGATATGTGTATATCAGCTGTGACCAAGGCTGAATGGCAAGAGTTCGTGTTGTCGTTATTGAGAAAAAAAGTTGCGTTCAAGCACGTCGTTATGGCACACCAGTCTTCTTCTTTCGTATGGCTGATGTAGATGTAGAACAATAACTACAATTTCACATTCAGGTCGTCAAGCCAGGAGCAGTGGAGTTTATCGCTGTAATGTCTCCTTCGTATTTGTGAATCGAGCATTGCATCATTATATGCGATGTGGTTTTTTTTTCTGGATGACTTCAGTCGCACACTGCAGAGTTTTTAATTTTCCATTTGTGCATCGGGTTTCCGCATCTGACATTGCTTGTGTGGATGCAGTTTTAAGGTGGACCATGAGCTTGATGGATAATCAAAACCAGGGATCTTCTGTGTTGGGTCTTTTCCAATGTGTTTGTGAGTTCTTTTGAACTCTATTTAGCTTTCCAAGCTTCATCGGGGTTAAATTCACGTTGTTTTCGGTTCAGCACATGGATCCAAAAGGGCTTCTGTGACTTCAAGCGATGACGAGGGACGTTATTGAGATCCTGATGAATCGGAAGGCGACCGTTACTCCTGGATTTGCAAGATTTCTTGGAGGGTTGCAGCTTCGTGGCAGATGGGGGGTGGGGGGGAGATTTGTGACAGCACGGGGAGCCCCAGGGTGTTGGGGTCGACTTGAGGGTTCCGGTAATTCACGTATCGCAGTGTTCAGTTGGACATAAACAAGTCGAGTGTCACTACTTCTGGTGTGGAACACCAGTGACAATGGTCCGAAGTCATTTCTGCATATTTACATCTTTGAGCCTGGTCTCACTCAACTTTTGTCGGACAGCCCAGGTCACAGCCTAGACGTGTATCTCCAAAGTGCTGCTATTTTACTTCGCCGTTGTCGCGTAACATGATCGTGAGAGATGGCGGCAGCCTGGAAAGACCTTCATCCAGCAGTGAAATGATAATTGCTGATGATGATGATGATGACGACAGCTGCCCGTGTATCGCCCCAGGTGGATATGCTGGCATTTGCGGAGTTCAAGGCATGGAAGGATGCGCCGACGCTGGAGCACACGTGCCCGTTCCTGGAGAGGATCTACCGCGAGGACATCACGCCCTGCCTCTGCTTCCCCAAGGGCGAGGTTCGCTAACGAGCCAGATGCCGGCAAATCCGCACGCTCGCACATCGCATACGCCTCGTTCGCTCGCAATCGCTCGCGCGAGCGCATGCTTACACACAGCGCTGCTACTCACAATCATGGGCGCGTCCGTGCACTCGCAACATTGCCTCTTGTGTAATGGCAAATATGGGTTACATCAAGTAAATTTGCATACACACGCAAAGACAAAGACCGTGTAGCCTTAACAGACTTGATTTCATTAGCGAGCACCTATGAAGGCCGGCACAACACACGAGGGGGGGGGTGGTGTGTGGCCAGCACCACGCCCGGTCGCCTTTGTCTTCCCAGTGGCGATGTTTACACACCGTACACATTTGAGGTCGAGTCGACCTAAGCGAGGCCCAGGACTGGTTCATATAATCGTCACTGGTGTTGACTGTGAACGGGAATTGAACTCGGGTCGCTGGGTTCATAGTGCAGGGCGCGAACCGCTACACTACCGCTCCCTGCTACACACATGCGCAGTTTCACACGCACTCGCATGCACAGACAAGCTAGCATACAGCATATATACAGCCATTGACATGCACTCGCACTGAAACACGTCACCACATACTCGCATGTGCACACACACAATGCGTGCTTGCTCATACGCACATGTTTACATAATAACACGTGCTCGCACGCGTACACATTTGTACCAACACTCACACGTGGTCTCAAACACTTACAAGCATATTCGTGCACGCCACCACACATTCATTTACACATGATCCCACCAACTTATACACTCACGCACACTCTCACCCGCTCACAAACTTGCATACATCCACACACATGCGCTTGTACCTCGCACATGGTAAAATCAGCTCCATGTTGCGTGTGTTCTTAACACATGAAAGTTCGTTCGTAATGAGCTCCCCGGTGATGGGGGGAGATCAAAACGCTGTGAAACTCGACACTGAGAGGCCACACGAGACCAGCAATTACAGCTTCATTTCCTATTGCAGCCATCGCCGACACTGACACATTCACTTTGTGCTTGGATTATCACGAGAGGATAGGAATTCAAAATAACCGTAACAGTACATGGTGAGAGCATGGTTTAATTTAAGATATCCATCTCATTCTCACAACCTGTTTGACCTCCCACCCCCTCATGTGCTGTGTTGGCCTTAGGTGGTCGCAAACGGCACTTTCCTCAACAGTTTATTAATGCCTAAAGCAGTCTATTAAGGGGGGATATTTGTATGTATGTGTTCACAAAAGCGATGTAGAAGTCAGTGTCTACCTGCTAAAGTAACTTGGGGCCAAGTGGTGGAAATTCCATATTCTTATGGTGGGGGGGACAGTCTCTCTATACCATTTACACTCTTGACTTATAACATCGTAGTGCTCATATTAGAGAACCAGCTCGCAATTTTAACTCATAACCTTATGACCGCAAGTTGAGTGGCCGAATATTAATCAATAAACTCGTACATCATTGTGGTGACGACAAATTAATGTAAATGATATTATTAGAAATGACAGAATCAATCATATTATTGAAGTCACTATCCTGCACAACCTGCTTCTCACAGTTGTAACAGCTAAAGCAGTGCTTCTTAACCTACGGTGCATTGCACCCCCTGGGAGTGCGAGATGCCCTTTCTGAGAACCAAAGGGGTGCAGGCTACAGTAAAGATTAAGAACCACTGAGCTAAAGAAAGGTTCTTTGTTACGTGTGTATTGGGTTTGTTTGTTTGTTTGTGCCTTCTTAGGTGCTCGCCCCAAAAGTTTGTTATGAATATACGAGGGATCTTTGTCTTTTTTTGTGTGCATGTTGCGATGTTGTATGCCTGTGTTGGGTGGTGTACATGTGTGTGTATGCGGCGAGAGGTGGTTTTTTGCTGTGAATCCAGTGAACTGGATTCGATTCCCAACATCAGTGATCCCTCATGTCTGAACCTGTTTCGGGCCTCACCTTGGTCAATGCTGCCTTAATTGAGTAGCTGGTACGGTGCGTGCACATCAGCTCTGCGGAGACGGAGCTTGTACGATCCTGGCTACACCAACCCCCCCTCGTGTGTCACGTCAGCATGAACCCTTTTTCATTCTAAGACGTCTGCAATTTGCAGGGTGGTTCGTGTTCACTATTGAATCTCGGAATGGGCAAGCGGTTAGTTTTAATTTTATTTAGAGAGGCATAGCGCCGATAAAGTTATTTTATGACGTACGTGTACGTCATTGAAACGGAACCGGAATAAAAGCTGATGACGTACACACACGTTGTTGGAATGGGAAAGGTTTCATAGGCGCTCGCTAACATTGCTCGCCCCTAGAGTTTGTTAGGTGAATTGGGTGCCTTGTGTGCTTGTACATCCGTGCCTGCTGCACGCACAGCTGGGCCAGGCCATCCAGATGGCGGTGGAGAACAACACTTTGAGCATGGAGCCGGTCGGGGTGCAGTCGCTGCCCGTGGTCAAGGCATCAGCGATCGAGTGCGGAGGCCCCAAGTGAGTGTCCGGGGATGGGCAGGCGGGATGGCGGTAACATTTGCTTGTCGCACTCACTCGAGCCTCAATGTGCACGTGCGTGCACACGCGTGTACACGCGTGCACACCAGGGACGTGCGGTTAGGGGAGGCAAGGGAGGCAGAGCCTCACCTGCCATACTCCAATGAAAATAGCTGTTACGAAAAGTAAAAAAAAAAATTAAGACTTTTCCACTGATCTGTGTTATGTAATTTCTGTACGATTCCAATAATTTTTGTCGTCAAAATCCCTAAATTTGCAGGAGCTCCGCTGCAAATACAGGGAGAGACGAGAGGTGAGGCAGCGACGAGCTCAGCCTCCCCTCTGATTGCACAACCCCTCAGAAACTGGATGGAGTGCGGGCAATAAGCACGTGCCTGTTACTATCTCTCTGTAATGATTGGAATCATACAGAAATAACATAATAACACAGATCAGTGGAAATATCTACATTTTAATTTATTATCTGCTTTACTTTTCGGGAACAGCTATTTTCATTGGAGTATGACAGGTGAGACCCTGCCTCCCCTTACCGCACGTCCCTGGTGCACACACACACTCACATGCTGCTGTAAAAGTCGAGTCTCAAAGTAAAGATTTTATTTACCAGGTAAAGGCCACCGAGATATTAGCTATTTTCCAGAAGCGACCGGGCCACAAATGATAGCTCAACAAAGTGGCTTATCTGGAAATTTGTAGCAGCCAAATAATCTAGACGCGTGTTTCTAAATGTGGAGGGAAAAACCGGAGGACCCGCAGAAAAATCCACAGGACCACGAGGAGAACATGCAAGCTCTATATATACGGATGTCAGGGTGGGGATCCAACCCAGGATCTCCTGCATACTAGGGAGATATTATCACTGCTCACTTGCTCTGCTCAGTGGTGTTACGGGGTGGCCGGGGGCTTCGGGTACAATAACCATGCCGGGCCACCACTGACATCCTGTATTTAGATCAGGGTTTTTTACGGAACCCATGATTGGTGTCGCTATTCAATGGTACTTAGCCTGATCACCACAGACTTCACACAAAAGAATAGCGTATTAAATTGTAATTTATTTTGGCTTATTCCATCACTGACAATGAAAACTGTCTGCTCGAATGCCACTATGTGAAGGGTTTCTTCACTGAAGAGCAGCATTTTCTGTGCGGGATGGGTCGTTACAGCCGCGTGTAGAGACGTCGATCGATTTTACGTCTAATTTTCTCGACAAACTTCTACACACGCTCAACACATCACATGCCTTCCAGGTTAAATGATTAACGCTGCACTCACAAACATTTGCCTTTTCTTTTATCGCTTCGTGGTCTTAAATGTCGTTGTGGTTTGCTTTTAAAAATCTTTCTTCAAGTTACCTTAAACACTCACTTTTTTGTTATTTTAAGTGTTTTGTTATTGTTGCTGTTGGGAACTTGCTGCTGCTGCTGTTCTTTTTGGTTTGGGTGCTTGTTGTCTTTGTTTTGCTAATTTGTGTTCTTTTTTTTCATTGATTTCGGTGTCTGTCCCTGTTGTAGCGGTCGGCGGGCTCAAATAGTTACGTAAGTGACTTCACTCTCGGTCCGTTTTCCTGAATCTCTCCACCCTGGATACCCACTAATCCCGCTCGCATTGCTGAAACCTGTCTCTCTCCCCGTCCCACTGCGAGGCATCATGTTGTGCGGAGCCGTTCCGGATAACCACGTCACGAGAGAGTGATCGCTTGGAGGTGTCCAGGTGGGGTCAAGTGGACATCTGTGAGAAAGATCTTTATAGCTCATCTGGATTCCTCCAGTATAAATACAGATTCAGATTTTCATTTTCTGATTCTGGATCAGGAGGTTAAATCCCGTGTCAGAGATGCTGAGCTTGGCACTGCAGAGAATCCTGGCTTCCAATCGGAATTTCAGCCATGAATGAGTAAACCCGGGTTCGCAGATGCAATGAGTTGCTAGTCCCAGCTCGGTGACCATAAATAAAAAAAGCAAATGGTTCAAAACTTGGGTTGCTGCTTATTATATTTAATACCAGCTCTGAGAATGTAAATTTTCGTTGGATTGCGACATACAACACTTTTGCGGACATCATATAAAAGTTGTTGTCCCGGTTGAAGAGAAAACAGAAGTTCTGACATCTTTCAGAAATGTTAGTTACCAGAACTTATGAACAGAACTGGTCTCGCAATCACAGCACCAGATAAGCAATCTCTTTTACTGGCTCAGCAATTATGGAACTCCAAGCCCAATCACTTCTCCGTAACCCCATTAGCCGGAATGCCTCCTCTTCTCGTGTGCCGTGACATGCGTGCATTTGTATACGTGCGTGCGTGTGATAACCTTCCCTTGACAGACAATGCTGATAACTTTCTGTGCATCGATCCACTTTCTAATTAACCCTCTAACACTGTCCCTGCGATCGAAATCCCAAACGCTGCTCACGGACGTGTCCACCGACATGTCGTCGCATTATCGTTGTGGAAATGCGGTGGTTGAGCGGCCGGGGGGACGAGGGGAGGCAAAGGTGGCGGCGGTGCCACCGGTGGCTTGTGCTAAGATGCGTGACGCTGCATGTGGACGCAGGAAGTGTGCGCTGAGCGGGCAGTCGCGGTCCTGCCGTCACCGCGTGAAGCTGGGAGAGGCGAGCAGCCACTACTACTACGTGTCGCCATCGTGCCGCGCGCGGGTACGCGCACGCACCTCGCCCACATTCTCCATCCGCGCGAGCGGCCTAGCCGATGAGTTGTATTCACTCACGTGGCCAACAAAGCGCTCGCTTAACTACTTAACTATTCACTCCTAAAGGACCCCAGCCGACACATCCAGTCACTTGCAAACTCACTCACCTCACCCCTGACCCGAGTGTTCATTTGCAGCTGACAAATCCACTCGTCCACATACTCACCCAAACACAACACACACCCGGCCGACACATCCACTCACAAGCCTGCTCACCTACCCACTGGCCCATGTGGTCACACCCAGCCAATGCATTCACTCACTAATTTACGCACTATTAACACCCCCAATCACGAACTCGCTTGCCTACCTCTGACAAATGTATTAACACCAACAAATGAAATGGTCAACAAATCTAGCCTTCATGCTAATTTACACCCACCGACCTATCTGTTCACCCTTTCACCCGTCTTGCCCCCTACCCATGAGCCACTCACCCTCCTACCTGTTCCTGCACCCATACTGCCTTCCACGTGTGACTGATGCTAGCAGTAGACAGCGTTCTGAATATGTGTAACATCATTTTATTGTTTCAGATAACGGCCGTCTGCAATTTTTTCACCTACATCCGCTACATCCAGCAGGGGCTTGTCAAGCAGGATGGTGAGCGATTGTGCTCTATGAACTTTGAACTCAGTAACCGGATACTGTTGTTCTGTTGGTGCGCACACTCTGGCCGGTATCGAGCAGGAGTCGCACACGGAACACTTGCAGATGCACACCCTTAAAAGACCAACATGAAAAGCTGCCAGTCACCACTAAGTGGCTGTGACATCACCGCAGACATTTTACTAGGCTGTGAAGTGCCACGTGAAGTGGAAAACCTCGCTGGCAGATCATAGGACAAAACCAAATGTGTTATTGGTTGACTCGGGTGACTGGGAGATGAACCACCCATATAACACACAGCTCCACTTTACCCACATCCACACACAGTCACCTTCCCACATCTACACAGACACACCCACATAGATGCACACTTTCCATACACAGCCGCACTTCCACACACACCTTCATAGTGACACGCCCAGAAAGATCTACATATATACCCGGACAAATACAGGTAAACATAACACGCAGACACAAACAGGTTAGGCGACTCCCGGTGGAACCGGACCTCACCGATCAGGCCTAAATAAAACACATGCCTCCTTTTTTGTTTTGTTGGGGGAGTGGAGATGAATAGCTATAACGCGTCACCATGTTCTGTCGGTCAGCCTGCCAGGGCTCCGAGGTCAAACAGTGCCGTTTCTCCTCTCAGCCAGATGAGGTGGGAGAGAACACCTCTCCACGCATCTGCGTGTCTCCCTGAATGTCTCATTCTAGGTCAATATCTCCCATATGACCATGCCTTCGTGTTTCCCTTGGTCTTCCAGCTTCTCTCCATGTCTCAGGTCATCCCTGCATTCTTCGTTTCTTCCTTTGCTCTGCTTCTTACATGTTTCCCCCACCTTTCCACTTATCTTCACACGTTTCCCTTTAACTTTCTATTCCCACCACCCTTCCCCATCCCTCGTATCTCCCCGAAACTTGTCCGTGTCTTCCGCACAGCCGAGCAGATGTTCTGGGAGGTGATGAAGCTGCGCAGGGAGATGTCGGTGGCCAAGCTGGGCTTCTTCAAGGACGAGCTGTGACAGCCACGAGGACTCCCTTCACCTCCTCCGCTCACCTTCCACGCCCCTTCAGCCAGGCCCCAGGGAACAACCCCTTCTCCTTGCTAGCCATCCAGGGAAGCGAGGCTTACCAAAGGAGTAGCGCTCCAATGGGCGATTGTCGGTACTTAACGTGAATATAACAGCATTAAAATGTACGATTGGCCATTTAAAGGTTTTGTTTTTGAGAGGCGTGCAGAGTGAAAATGAATATATTTGAAATGCATTTCCAGTGAAGCAGGGTGTTTGGTGGGTGTGGAGGGGTTTTGATTGGTGGAAAACTGACCAAAGTGTTGATTTTTTTTCTAGCAGATTGAAACATCAAAAACATAACTATTTAAAATACTCGTGTTCTGGGCTGTCCAACACGACTTTAAAGGCGCTTTTGGGAACGCTGTCATGGAAACATCTTATGAGCAGGTGATGCTGAAACTACATCGTTGAAGCACTTGTAAAAGTCACTTAAGTGTTTGTTTGGACGAATGAGGATTGAAACTCATGTTGGAACAGCCCAATAAGCACACCTTGGCTGCACAGCTGCCACCAAGAGAAGTTGTGGTCAGGTGCATCATAGCTCTACAGTGACATCAAACCTGACACGCTTAATACGCTCAGAAGTGATTACCACGAGAGCACCATGTTGCGCCTGTTATTTGATGCATCACAACCGAAAACTCAAATTTGCAGTGAACCCAGGAGAAAGCCTTGGTGTGCAGCTAACCACGACCATCTGTGCTTGGGGTTGTCTTGTGTGAAGATGCCCAGATTATTGGTACATGTTTTTTCATGAAGAGCTGCTGTGTTGATAGCCACCCCCTCCCCCCACAGACAGACCCATGGAGTGCTCAAGTGTGAGTGGTCATTCATTCACACGAAAGAAGTTTGCGACGGGTGCAATCGTTTTTTATAATTGTTTTCTTTGGAAATTATATTTGATAGTGGTCAGCCAAGTAGAAAGCTGGAACGAGGCTCGTACAATCTTGATGAAAGCGTGTTATATATGAACGTGACAGGACAACCGTGTCCTTTGTACAGTATATAAAGGCCAATGACAAAACGTGAATACTTTATACGATCAGCTCTGGAACGCTTAATACGATGATGCACTTTATTGCGGAGTGCAGTCATTAACAAAAGATAAACCTCTACACCTGGTGACACGCACAAGTGAGAGGTTCACTTCGGCGTCTCGGTTTACAACTACGTCCTACCAAGATCATATATACGGGATATATTTTTTAAGCATCGCCACTTTCTCTATGCAAAAAAATGATTAAACTTCAATAACGGCTTGGCAGATGCACCTTCGTTATTTTCACCACTGCGGGGGAAATGTTAAAACGCTTTCAGGGGCCACAATTCACGGGTCGGCAAATATCTCGTTTTGTCTGTTTTTTTTTGGGGAAGATGCCCAATGTCTCCGTCAACAATGGGACCAAGTGCCATGGCGAAGGGTTTTGGTCACTTTGTTAAGACGTCAATCTGGCCCTTAATGAGCCGTTTAAAAACATGGTTGGCCACTGTGGGGGACGGGCATGGAGAGGTGATTGTATGACGTTTAACGCAGGTGCCACGGCCCATCCCTTTGTGAGCAGTGGCCTGCAGGAGTGGTGCCTTCTCCGGCAACTTCATGGCCAATTCCCACCCCTGATGAGACTCCTTATGTATTACTGTAAAATAACAAAAATAAACAGCGTGTTGTATGTTCAACTGGCCTGGTTCGAGGTTGTAATTTGTGTTCATGTGACGTCCGCAACATCCACCACTGGGAATGTCACCATGATAGTTATGCCACGCGAGGTGCACATGGGGAGGTCTTCGTAAGACAGCAGTCCACAGTGCAAGGTGCACAAGTCAAGGAAATATTTTTTATATACAAATTTTATTCCTTGTGATGAAGTGACAAATTAATGGTTCAGTCGGTCCACAAAATCGCAGTGAAAGCCCCTTTCCATCTCCCCTCGACCCTGAAAGGAATAAAACAGCAGTGTGAACATCATTTATCGACCAAGAGCAGAGATCGACAAAGTACAGAACAGACGACTTTTATCCACTGCCTCTGCTGTACAGAGGCATTGCCTAAAACATCACCTATTACATACTTTTCCTTTTAAGGCAGTGTTATTGAATGCGTTGAATTATTTGTGCTTATGCACCGCCAACCCAGTATTGCCGAATAATTAGTTCAAGAGGCAACTAGACAAATGAAATTATCACAAGAGAAGTTTCAAGGAAGATTCAACAAAAGCAGTGCGATTCAACGTTCCGGCAGTATCACTGCACCGCGTACCAAGCGCCGCCGTCATCGTCCTCCCCAGCTACACGTAGATCCCGACCCAGAGTAGCAGGAAGAGGACCCCAAAGCCCATAAACAGCGACGCCACCAGCGAGATGAGAAGCTCCTTGTAGATGTCGCGCGTGTACTTGGTGGACGTCACCTCGTATCTGCACCATCGTTTTTTGGATCAAGGCCCAAAGCAGCAACGAGAGAGGGCACTTTCCTGGTGCATACCATCATTAGCCACGATCAATCGACTGCCGGGTCAGGGCCTTCCCCATCCCCCGCACTGTTCTGAAACGTAACAATCCGTCTAGTGCCTGCACATCGCTGATTTCATCACTCCATCTCTATGGTGAATGTACTTAGGGCACGTTTCGTCCTTTGGATACCACTTCGTCGTTAATTTCATCGACCCTCTTTCTAGCAAGCGACGTGTTCTGCCCAAGCCAACTTCAGTGACAACACCAGTACTTGTGATTTTAAGATTGAACCTGATTGTATGCTCAAGCTTGGCAGAGTGACTACAAAGAACAAAACTCCACCTTTCCTCGCTCAAAAAGCTGACAAAACAGCTCAAGCGTCATCAACTTGACGGTGGTAGTGTTAAGGATACACGAAGAACCACGCGGTGAAGAAGACGCCGATGGCGAGCAGCACGACGGTGAGGTGCGGGAACACAGCCGGATTCACCGGGCTGCTGTAGCGGCTCATCGACTCCAGCTCCTGCATCACAACACACAACACGGAAACGCAGGGGTCACGGTATTGGGAGATGCGCATTAAACGTAACATTGCCCTAATGTAGTGAGATTATCAAAGGCAAATACTGGTAATCAATTAATATTACAGCGTTGCTATTGTGCAATCATATTATTGGTAATTAGCATTTCACCAGAGATGTCACAATCCGAGGGCACGATTTTAATGGCAAATAAATTTAGATTTTTACCCTCCTGCTGCATGTTAATCTATGGCGTGTAAATTTGTAGAATATAGTATTTTAAAAATACATATCAATTGGAAATAATTATTATGCACATGGTTCGATGTGCTTATCCTGCCGTCCAAATACATTTTAAGAACCATTAGATCTCTAATGTGCAAAATGGTGTAAGAATTGTTTTCATTATTACCATTGTAAACATCCCAAATGCAGTGTTTCACCATCTTTAATAACATGAAGCCTGCCACCTTCACCAAAGACGTGGAACCAAGCATTGTCAATGACTTGCGTATACATACCCAGTTAAATATACTCTATTAGAACACCGATTATGCGAGGCATTGAAAATTCACGAAGCTCCTTCAATAAATTGTTCGTTTTCCCAATTGCATCCCGAATTGTCTCATAGGCGTCATGTCATGGAATGAAGAACACAATCGGATCTCTTGCAGCAGAGCAGTGTCACCTTTCGTGCCAGAGAATGACTCGCGGAAGGAGACATTACATAACTATGAGTGAGATTCCTTCAAGTAACGTCTGGTCCACACAGGAGCGAGCAACGCTTACCCACCTGCTCTAACAGCAAAACAGATATATTAATCGTCTACGGTAGTGTATCTAAAGTAAGAGCAAAAACGACATTTAATTAAGGTGGTTTTTTGTGCGGTCATTTGAGAACCCGGATTAGTCAAAGGCGGAAGAAACCCGAATTCGGAACCCACGATCTCAGCGGTGCCGGATCAATCAGCGTCTCTGGACTCCTGCACGACCCGGCCACTTTGACCCCAAATCGAACACAAGAGTCGTCAATCCCAATCACTCCACAGGAAATTCCCTGATCCATTAAGTAATTTCCCATAGTCCACGCTATTGTGCCGGGGCACGGTCGCTCCTTGTCTCCAATTAAAACTAACCACCGCCTCATTAAAAACAACGTCCTTGGCTGCAACAGTGAACATTAAATGCCACGTTACTACAACCAATTCCAATCGATCCTCAATAAACACTTCAGTGTTTCCATTCAGCAAATACACGGTCACCTCCACGTTATCATGGCCGGATCAAGCAGCGCTTCGTAATGAGACCTATCCCTGTAACAAATTAAACACGAAGTATCTCCAATGCAACGAGGCATTCAAGCCTCCGCTATGCGACGGCCCATGCCCGTGTCTCCCCATGCAACTCGACTGCCTCCCTCCCTGGCAAACGGAGCGAGCAACTTCCACGTTCCTGTGACGGGATCCCGTCCCGCAACGACCACAGCGCCACTCATCCTCCACTGGCGTCAGGGCCACGCGTGTGCAGTCACTTCGTCGTTGTCCTTGCAGGATTGTCCACGACGGTGTTGCAATCGACGATAGCCAAGACCGATTTGTTTGATCAAATCCGCATCATCCCCACGCCTCTGGCGTTGTTAATGAATGGGGGGGTGGGTGGAGGCCTAAGTAGCGCTCAGCGAGGCAAACCCCGCGCTCGACCATCAGCCGCAAGCCCGAAGCGTTGTGGACTTCGCCGCGACGCCACGCGACTGACGCAAGTTACTCGACATTAAACAACAACAACAACAACGTACGACGACGACTGGAGACGGACTGCTGTCGCCTCTGAGAGGCTGCGTGAGGGGGAGGGGGAAGCCGTCGCCTGCGCTCACCATGGCGAGTTGCTTGCTTGCTCCGACTCGGGACACGTCGACCAGAGAGGAACTGAATTTCCCACAGCGGATAAACGCCACCGCCGAGGCGGGGGGCGGGGCGCCGCGTCACGGGAGCCCCGCGCGGCCAATGAGCGACCCGCGTTCGTTGACGTGTGCCGCGCCGCGCCAATGCGGTGTGGTAAATACAATAGCGCGCCTCCACCAATCAGCGGCCTCGTTACTTCGAGCCCGTGGGGGGAGGAGGGGTGGGAGGGGGAAGAGGGGTGGGGGGTGGAGGGGGGGAGGTGGGGAGGGGTGGGGGGAGGAGGGTAGGAGGAGATGGGGTGGGGGGGAGGGTGGGGGGAGGAGGGGTGGGGGGGAGGAGGGGTGGGGGGAGGAGGGGTGGGGGGAGAAGGGGTGGGGGGGAGGAGGGGTGTGGGGAAGGACGAGTGGGGGGAGGAGGGTGGGAGGAGATGGGGTGGGGGGGAGGGTGGGGGGAGGAGGGGTGGGGGGGAGGAGGGGTGGGGGGAGGAGGGGTGGGGGGGAGGAGGGGTGGGGGGAGAAGGGGTGGGGGAGGAGGGGTGTGGGGAATGACGAGTGGGGGGAGGAGGGTGGGAGGAGATGGGGTGGGGGGGAGGGTGGGGGGGAGGGTGGGGGGAGGAGGGGTGGGGGGAGAAGGGGTGGAGGGTGGGGGGGAGTAGGGGTGGGGGGGAGGAGGGGTGGGGGAGAGGAGGGGTGGGGGGGAGGAGGGGTGGGGGGAGAAGGGGTGGGGGGGAGGAGGGGTGTGGGGAAGGACGAGTGGGGGAAGGAGGGTGGGAGGAGATGGGGTGGGGGGGGAGGGTGGGGGGAGGAGGGGTGGGGGGAGGAGGGGTGGGGGGGAGGAGGGGTGTGGGGAAGGACGAGTGGGGGGAGGAGGGTGGGAGGAGATGGGGTGGGGGGGAGGGTGGGGGGGAGGGTGGGGGGAGGAGGGGTGGAGGAGGGGTGGGGGGGAGGAGGGGTGGGGGGAGAAGGGGTGGAGGGTGGGGGGGAGGAGGGGTGGGGGGAGAAGGGGTGGGGGGGAGGACGAGTGGGAGGAGATGGGGTGGGGGGGAGGAGGGGGGTGGGGTGGGGGGGAGGAGGGGTGGGGGGGTCACGCGCAAGCGTTGGAGGGCTCTGATTGGACGTTTGTTTTTTCCTTCCGCGTTGCCATGGTAATGCCCAGCCCGCCCCTCGCGTGTTGCTTTAAAACTACAATCTCGTTTTGCGAGGCACCAAGCGGCCAGCAACAAACAGCACCGACGACCTTTCACGTGGAGAAAGCAACAAACGAAACAATAAGAGAGCGAGACGATGCCGGGAGGGAATTTCATAGTGGAGTAGTGCGAGTGAAGAAGCATCAGTGACAAGCTTGGCCTGCTGCTGAGGCAGACTGGTTACTTATAGGAGCCAGAACAAGTAGCCAGAACAACGAGCTTAACTTTTTTTTTACTACGATAACAAGTAGCCGAACAACTTGTTTTTACTACTAGAACAAGTTGTTGCTACAACCTTGTTTGGCTAATTGTTGAATTTTGTTTTAACCGAATAGTCACCCCCCCCCCCCTTGCTCGACCCAACGTGGTTCTGAGAAACAAACTTATGAATAATGAGCATCAATAGTTTAACCAAATGCCAATTTTGTGAGGTATGCTCACTAGCTGGTATAACTGCAAAATATGTTCCTGCTCGCTGGTTACTCTTGGAAACCACCAATATAAAATATGTCTAAACATATTTTATATTGTTCTAGGTTACCATATGGATTTAAAAATGATCGTAGTTGTTTTATATTGGCAAATTCATACATGTGTAATAAGTATATATGGAGGCTTGACGACAGGATCGGAGGCACACTTATTTATTACACCAACACAGTTGTACAGGTCACTTGGCTACAGGGATTCTCGACAGCTAACCCCTCTAACCTATACCAATTCCTCCACTACGGGACTAGGGGAGGCTATCTGTCCCAGCTTGGTTAAGCTGGGATCCCGGCTCCCTGAGTCACCAGACCAGCTTCGTCTGGGCTCTCGGGGCCACGCCACCGGCTTGCCCTGGTCGGCCCTTATAAGGACAGCGAGCCAGGGGAGCTCTGGGGCCTACACTAGCTGGTCTTCCGTCTTCTCTGGTTAAAGCTGAGTCCCGACCTCGAGCCCTCGAGCTCATCACCTTTTATAGGACTCGCCCCCGAGGGGGGGGCCCGTGGGGGATACACATGCGGACGTCGGTGCTAGCGCCACCCTTGTGTACGGCCGTAACCCCGCCCCTTGTGTTTGTTGGCCATCCGTGGCCATGCATAATCACACCTCAACATTCGTAGCCATGCGCAATTACACCTCTACATCACCCCCCCCTGTACAGCTCGCAGCCGTCCCTGGCTGCAAAAAAAAATCAGAATAAAGGTGCATCCCTCACAAAAACCCCGTGTGTGTGCCTCGCGTAATTTTTAACAAGAACAAGAGAACCTTAACAAGAACAACAACAGGAAGAGAGAGAGAGAGAGAGGAAAAAAAAATAACCCGACGCACCCCCCCCGAATAAATACCCCAAAACCAACATATATACACACACTCCGGACGCCACCCCTCCCATTGTCCGCAAGGCCCCCCAACGGCCGACCTCACAATAGTCTGCGCGTTTTGGCGCGCGTCCGCGCGGCGGGCCCGTCACAAGGGCCCGTCCTGGCACTCTCAGTGACGGTTGTTGACGGTCCGGGTGCAAGAGAGTCAGGCGTCGCTGCCGAGTGACCCCCGACCCCTCCGGGAGGGGTTGGTGGGTGTGGACCCGTCACTCCTGTTTCACCTGGGGACGGAACAGTTGGCGTCAGGTTAGGCGAGTGCAGCGGCGACGGGGAGTCGGCGACACCCTCACACGTTTGGCCATGCGTGTGTGTGTGTGAACCACGGGGCGGCGCGACAAATGGTTTTAACCTTGAGGGGTGCACATACCACCGGCGCCTCCCCCATTTGACGCGAACACATTGCGGCCGCAAAACCTGCACGACCTCCACTGGCCCCCGCCACGGCCGTACCAATTTCGACGAGGTTGCCAGCGGCACCTGAGGACAGTGCAACCACGCCCTGTCCCCTGGTTCCCATTTGACCACCTGCACCCGCCCCAACCGAAGCCTCTCGTTCGCCTTCTGGCGGAGTTCAGAATTTTGCACGGCCGCTTCCCGCGCCTCAGACAATTTAGCGATGTTAAATTTAATGTGTTCGGACAAATTAGACTTCGCCGGGAGCGCCGAGAGCTTCAGCTGGGTCGCCACAGGGGGGTTAACTTCGCGCCCATACATTAAAAAGAAAGGGGAAAATCCGGTGGCCGCATGAGGAGCCATTCTGTAGGCCTGCAACACACCGGCTATGCGGAGGTCCCAATCCGTCTGGGATACCGACACCTGCTGGGACAGCATGGACGTGATGGTCCGATGCAGCCGTTCCACCATCCCGTCAGTTTGTGGGTGATACGGAGAGGTCCGAACCTTCTCCGTACCCAAGAGGTCGCACACCTCACGTAGGAGTTTACCAGAAAAATTCCTACCCTGGTCAGTAAGCAGCCGTTCCGGAGCACCTTTGTCGAGGACATAGCCCTGGACAAAGGCCTCCGCGATGGCTGCTGCCGACTGGTTCGCCAGGGGCCAGGCCATAGGCCATCTCGTGAAGTATTCAACCCCCGTTAGTAAATACCTATTGCCCCTGGGCGTAGCGGGAAATGGCCCAAGTATGTCCAGAGCGACGAGCTCGTTAACCCGGGAAACTTTTATGGACTGCAGCGGAGGGTTGGACCCCCTCGCAGGCGGCTTTCTCTGCGCGCATTGCGTGCATGACCCCAAGAGATCCCCCACGTCCTTTTCCATGCCCGGCCAGAAGAAATCCAGCTGGAGCGTGGCAAAGGTCTTGTGAACCCCCAAGTGCAGAAGCCGCTCATGAACAGCCCATACCACCTTACCCCTTAAAGCAGCAGGCACCACAAGCCGCTGGCGCCGGGTTTTTCCATCCCAGTGCATCAAAAGACCCTGGAACAACCCCCACGAGTCAACGTTTTCCACCCCCTGACCAGCCCCCCCGACGCGACGGCGCAAAGCGAGGAGGGAGGTGTCCTCCATTTGGAGGCGTCCCCATTCCGCGACCGGCAACCCCAGCAACGAATCCCTCCCTTCTTGCTCGATAGGACCCGAAGCCGAAGGTGCATCGGTAGCGGCCACGAGGACCGAATCGGTGGTGACGTTCGGGGGCCTACAACGCCCCGAACCCAACAGGCACGCGCACTCCGAAGTGGGTGGCAATCGTGACAGGGCGTCAGCGTTCGTGTGGCGGACACCCTTACGATATGTGGTGACAAAGTCATAGTCTTGGAGGATCTCCAACCATCGAGACAACTGGCCCGATGGTTGTTGAACCCGCAGGGCGTACTGTAGGGCCGCATGATCTGTACGGACGGTGAACCGCCGACCGTACAGATACGGGCGGTACTGCTGAATGAAATAAACAATGGCCAATAATTCCCGACGGGTAACGCAGTACCGCTGTTCGGCTGGAGACAGTACCCGACTACCGTAAGCCACCACATGCTCTACGCCCCCGATGAGCTGGGACAGCACACCCCCGATGCCTGTGTTACTTGTGTCAGTATCGAGCAAGAAGGGTTGTGAAAAATCCGGGTAATTCAACGGCGGAGCTCCCACCAAAGCATTTCTGAGGGCGCGAAAAGCAGCCTCCTCCTCCGGCCCCCAATGAAACCTGACTCCCTTGGACGTCAAGGCATGCAATGGTTTCGCAATCGTAGCGAAGTCAGCCACAAATCGCCGATAATACGACGCGAACCCAATGAAACTCCTGACCTCTCCCACAGAGGTGGGAGTCGGCCAGGAGCTGACGCATTCCGTTTTGGCGGGATCAGTGGATATCCCCGAGCGCCCAACAATGTGACCCAAATATCGCACCGATTCGCGGAGTAAATGACACTTCTGTGGTTTAAATTTCAAATTGGCAGCCCGCATTTTGAGAAAAACAGCACGCAACCTCTGGAGGTGTTCCTCGAAGGATTTGCTAAAGACGATTACATCGTCTAAGTAAATCAAACACGAATCCCATTGCAAACCTGCCAAGACCAATTCCATTAACCGCTGAAAAGTTGCCGGCGCAGAATGTAAACCCATCGGCAAACGGTTAAATTGGAAGAGGCCCTGCGGTGTACGAAAAGCAGTCTTAGGTTTCGATTCGTCATCCAGAGGAAGCTGCCAGAATCCAGATAGCAAATCAAGGGTGGAAAAGAATCGCGCACCGGCCAAGGCGTCGAGCGACTCATCCATCCGAGGAAGCGGGTACGCATCTGCCACAGAGATTTTGTTGAGACGCCGAAAGTCAACACAAAATCTCAGTGAGCCGTCGTGTTTTTTCACCAAAACGATCGGCGCGCCCCACGGGCTGGTGGAAGGGGAAATGATATCGGCGGCTAGCATGTCATCAACAGCCGATTTGACATGATCCTTTTCGGCGGGACTCAACCGAAAGGGATTTTGGCGGATTGGCGCGCTGTCACCCGTGTCAATATGGTGTCGCAGCAATTTTGTACAACCAATATCAAATTTGTGTTGACTAAAAACGTCAGCAAATTCGCTCAGGAGAACTCGCAGCTGCGCGCGCTGCGAGTCAGACAGGTCCACTGAACCCGCGCAAAGCGCATCCAGCCATCCGTCATCAGAGTCCGAATGCGGTCGCGACGGAGGATCGGTGGATACCTGACCCACGAGTGGTTCCTCATAGGGCACCGGCGTTGCGTGTGCAAGCACGGTCCCTTGAGGAACCACGGCCGTTCGCGATCCCACATTAAGGACTGCAATGAAGGGGTCCCCATCCCCTCTCACCATAGTCTGAGCCGCGAGCAAATCGGGTCCATTGACCCCGGCCCGAGATGGACCCAACAAGACCCCCCGATCCGCAACCCCTGCATCAAACGGCCGACGCAACCTAAGAGGGACGAGCATCTGAGCCCCCGGAGGCACGCGCACAGTTTTTGTGACGAGCGCCTGCACGGTGGCAAACGCCCGACGCTCCGTGGTGGGGGAAGACAGAAATGTAACGCGTCGGCCCGATGGGAGCTCAATGCACCCTTGGTCAATAAGGATACGGATGGGCATTTTGGCCAGAAAATCCGTCCCCAACAGGCACGGAACCGCGAGTGAGGAGGAAACCAAAACAGGGCCGGATAATTTAATGTCCCCAATGCAGATAGTGGCGCGGATTTGGCCAATAATGCCCAGAGAGCCCCCGTTAGCGGCATAGCACGGCACGTCAACAGGGAGCAAGGGACGACTTTGAACGGGAAGGATGTTATAAATTAAATCAGATATAATGGTCGCCGATGCCCCTGTGTCAATTAAAATCCGCACCTCTACCCCATCAATGTGACCGACCACGACCGATGATCCCGCCGACGCAGCAACGACACGATGGGCGAGCTCCGACCACTGACCCGGTTGGAGCGCTCGCCGCATTACCGAACAATCGCGCGCGACGGACGGGGAATTTGGAGCCCTGTTTAGTTGAGCGCGTGAGTGTGTGTCGGATGTGTGCGTGGGCCAAACGTGTGAGGTGCCGCGACTCGCCGTATTTCTCTGCTGGAGCTTGGGAGGAGACGGCGTGGCGTCCTGACGAGGTGTCGCCCCGCGCTGACGGGGAGCCCGGCATCCAGACGCAACGTGGCCTTGCAGGCCACAGTTGTAGCAGCGTGTGAGCGCCCCAGATGACCTGGGCTGCTCCTGGCGGCTCGGTCCATTCCGAGCCTGCGGTGCCGCCGATCTCCATTCCCCTCGCCGCTCCACCCCGCAGACCTCCTCCGATGGGAGGGCGGTGGTCGCCATGGCATGGCCGGCCGCCCCCTTTGCCGCCTTCCGACGCAGGGACCGCAAGCCCCCGTGGATGTGGCGCGCGACCAGCAGGGACGACATCTCCGCGTCGTCCTGAGCCAAGACGTTGACGTCCAGCTCGTCAGCGAGTAGCAGCAGCTTCTCAGCCACCATGGCATCCACTCCTTCCTCGTCCATCCTTGGGAAAGCAGCCTTTGCCAGAGCCAGGAGAGCCGTCCGGAAGGCCAGGGGTGACTCGTTGGCGCCCCGACTCCGATCGTGGAACAGCTGCCTGCAGTCCGAAGGCGGCCCATAGACGGCTGACAGCAGCTGCAACGCCAGGTGTAGAGTGGCGCGCTTTTCCCTCGGCGCCGAGGTGAGGGTAGCCAGGGCGTCGTTGTCCAGCATCGCTGGCAGCGCGCGTAGAGCCTCGGCGTCCGACCAGTTCGCCATCTCTTGATGAGCGATGAACCGCCTCTTGAAGCCGCCCCAGTCTCCGTCAGCGCCGACAAATTCTTTAAGAGGCGGCAGACGCTGTTGTAAGGCGGCGTCCGTGGCCGCAGAACGCTCTCCGTCGCTCCCCGCCGATGATACAGTGTGGGCGGGCCGTGCACATGGCATCGCCGGTCGCTCTGATGTTGACGCGCCGGCCGGCGTTGATGATGTCACGGCTTGTGCTTGGCGCTCAGCAGACACGTGACGCGGGCCGGCCCCGCCCTCCGCTCGTACTGTAGAGATGGCGGGAAATTTGACCGCGAGCCGCGTCGGGGTGGCGGGAAACGTCGCCCCGCGCCGGCTGCCGTCGTCGACCCGCGCTGCTCCTCCAGCCCCCAGCCGCGTGATCTCCTCCAACGCGGCGGCCGCGGCGTAGAGCAGGTCCGCCAGGCGGGAGTGGGCCAGCCGGAGTCCTTCGGCCGACGCATCCCCCTCCTCCTGTCGTAGCGGCGCGGGCGTACTCGGCCCCGGCTGCTCCGATTCGACCCCGGCCATCACTGGTGGAGATTCGGCCGCGGCGTCTTCCATCTCCGACTCCCTGGTACGTTTCGATTTAAAGCTTTCGTGACTGCAGGGATTCATCTTCTTGTTTCTTTCGGTAAAGTCACGTAGAAGGGAAGTAATAAAATAATAAAAATAAAACATAATAAAACAATTCTCACGACGTTTCGGCTACAACGCAAGCAGCCGTCTTCAGGTGAAGAATGAGACACTACCAAACTAGGAGCTTATATATAAGCTGCATTGGGGGTTGAAGAGCGCCTTAACAAAAAGAATGTGCATGTGAAGAGGGATTTAGCATATTCATGGAAAATGCGTAGGCGTTGGGCGGGGGAGTGTCAAAGTCATATTATGCCCATGCATTATGCAGGATCAGCAGCAACCAAGGGGGGTGCAGGGATTAGCAGTAACAAAGGAAAGGAATGTTAATGATATGTAGCTGCAGTTACTCAACAACCACGTAGAAAACTAAAGTATAAACTACATAAAAAACTAAAGTATAAACTGCATCGCACCATCAGTATACTTACTATACTCTATAATAAGCTGAGTTACTAACAGCAAGTAATACATTACAATTTTACCTCGTAAAAATTCTATAATATGCTTCCATCTAAACCTTATTCTCTTACATCACACGAGCATATACCGTACTTGATCTATGGCAGTATATAGTACGGTATATGCTCGTGTGATGTAAGAGAATAAGGTTTAGATGGAAGCATATTATAGAATTTTTACGAGGTAAAATTGTAATGTATTACTTGCTGTTAGTAACTCAGCTTATTATAGAGTATAGTAAGTATACTGATGGTGCGATGCAGTTTATACTTTAGTTTTTTATGTAGTTTATACTTTAGTTTTCTACGTGGTTGTTGAGTAACTGCAGCTACATATCATTAACATTCCTTTCCTTTGTTACTGCTAATCCCTGCACCCCCCTTGGTTGCTGCTGATCCTGCATAATGCATGGGCATAATATGACTTTGACACCCCCCCGCCCAACGCCTACGCATTTTCCATGAATATGCTAAATCCCTCTTCACATGCACATTCTTTTTGTTAAGGCGCTCTTCAACCCCCAATGCAGCTTATATATAAGCTCCTAGTTTGGTAGTGTCTCATTCTTCACCTGAAGACGGCTGCTTGCGTTGTAGCCGAAACGTCGTGAGAATTGTTTTATTATGTTTTATTTTTATTATTTTATTACTTCCCTTCTACGTGACTTTACCGAAAGAAACAAGAAGATGAATCCCTGGTACGTGTCGTCCCTCGTGTGTCCATCGTTGGACGTTTACTTCTGACACCAGATGTAATAAGTATATATGGAGGCTTGACGACAGGATCGGAGGCACACTTATTTATTACACCAACACAGTTGTACAGGTCACTTGGCTACAGGGATTCTCGACAGCTAACCCCTCTAACCTATACCAATTCCTCCACTACGGGACTAGGGGAGGCTATCTGTCCCAGCTTGGTTAAGCTGGGATCCCGGCTCCCTGAGTCACCAGACCAGCTTCGTCTGGGCTCTCGGGGCCACGCCACCGGCTTGCCCTGGTCGGCCCTTATAAGGACAGCGAGCCAGGGGAGCTCTGGGGCCTACACTAGCTGGTCTTCCGTCTTCTCTGGTTAAAGCTGAGTCCCGACCTCGAGCCCTCGAGCTCATCACCTTTTATAGGACTCGCCCCCGAGGGGGGGGCCCGTGGGGGATACACATGCGGACGTCGGTGCTAGCGCCACCCTTGTGTACGGCCGTAACCCCGCCCCTTGTGTTTGTTGGCCATCCGTGGCCATGCATAATCACACCTCAACATTCGTAGCCATGCGCAATTACACCTTTACACATGATTGTTCACCAAAGGCCCTCGTGTATGATATTAATTCACACATTTATAAATCATCTCGCGTTAGCCCCAGAAATCCACGTACCCCCAATTGTGAACCACTGCTCTAAAGTGTAGAGAGCCGTCCTCCCCCCATAGACTCAGAGAGGGTATTTGGCCTACTTTTCAACACTGGTCACTTTAACTCACCCCACGCCACCAGTAACATCCTTAACTCACCACCCCTGTCTCTCAGCAACACTTGGTGGACATGACACAAACATGACATGACCAACTCAGTACACACCGAGTTAGAAAGTCGCTAGAGGCATCATTCCTACACCAGATAATGGGAAATGTTTTTGTTTGTTTGTTGAACTTCTTGCACACCGTACGTAGCTAATCGTGCTAATCGGAAGTGCGTGGAAAGGACAACAAACTGAGCACAAAAGAAGTTATAAATACACGGAACCAAGCCCTAGGTAAATAACTCAAGAAATTAGTGCACAAGGAGATCGGGGATTAGGGGGTAACCCCACAAGATACGTTAGCGAGAAAGTAGTGGCGGGAGGGGATATAAAGTACTACTGTTACTGCTATGTTTTATTTGTACCAGATAAAGCCCGCCGAGCTATATACAGTAGCTCGTTTTAAGAAGCGACCAGGCCACACGTAAAATTGGCTCATTGAAAATCCACATTCCTATGGAAAGAGAAAGTCTGCTTCTGACTAAAACAAACTTTTTCGACTTCTCTACTCCAATATGGTGGAAATTACACATTTATATGACGGGGCCAAACATAACGCGTAAATAAACTCACCGCTTTTCCTTCCAAACCCAAACTCCAATCACTACTCATGGTAAAACTACAGAACAGCAGGTCTCCCTTAAAAAGAGACTACACTCATCTCTATTAATCCAGTGGTGTGAATTCCACCTTCCCATGACGCGTCTTCTACACATATCTCTGAACAAAGCAATGTCTTGTCATATATATATTCACGTGTCAAGCAAGGTTAAACAACATCAACGATTGTCGAGAAACTCATGCAGACGTTGAGGAGGGTACATTTGCGTGACAGCCACTGGAGGGCGTGAGAAACACGTGGATACCCAAACACGGGGGCAACGTTGTAACGTGGGGAGAGGTTTACAGACAGATGGCGAAAGGGCGAGGGGATTTATTTATCTTGTTGGTGACATTTCCCCGCATCTGGCGGTTGATCCGCCCAACATTGTTGGTTCGAGCAATCCTTACTGTTGATGAGACACTGAATCATCATGGGAGCTCCTTTGCCAGTACAAAAATATGAGAATAGGTTTTCCCCATTTTTATGTTAAGATGATAAAACACCAAACTGAAACCTTTTATGAAGGAATCATGTCTGCAGTAACCATAATGCTTGTGGTCAGAATGCAAACAAAAAACTTACTCTGATAATATATGCATTGTCTTTGAAACTGATTGGTCCACACCAGAGACAGCTTTCTTTTGGTGTCCTCTGGTCTAACACCATATTGAGACTAGGCTCAAAAGAAAGATGTTTCTGGTGTGTGGAAGCTACCTGGTCTGTCGCTCCACACGAAGCTATGGGTCTTCTCGGCCACGGTCACGCCCTCCCTTCCGTATGCTTGTGAAACGTGGACCCACCTAAAGGGACATCTTCACCGGTTAGAAATATTTCGGCTGGCCTGCCTGGATTGTGTGAGGAGCTCACAAATCCTTGAAAAATCTGGACAAAATCCCATCGATGAGCTCCTCCGGCAGGCCAGGCTGTGTTGGCTGGGTCATTGTAGCTCGCATGGCCAGCCACCGCATGCCCAAGTAGTTTTGCTGGATTAATTGGGCTAAATGAGCACGACACGAACTGTAAAAACGTGGATTGTTGCGGAACAGGGGGATGTGGAGCTCGGTGGACTTACTGACGACTGGTACTAGCGGTCTCAAGATCAGCCTCTATGGAGGAACCTCGTGAGGGACGCTAATAGTCAGAGGCAGTCGCCCTCCAACAACAGCGGAGGGCAGAGTAGCGACGCTCACAATAACGAGCAGAACGCCGGTTGGATTAAATGCGAGGTGACACAGTATGGAACACAAGTGGTGCATCTGCCAGTCATCTCAGTCAGTCAACCTATGGCACCTGGGTCTGTCCCGTGACCTCCTGTCAGTGAGCCTTCGACACTTCACGTGGCCTCAAAGTGCACCTGACCTGGCACAGGCGCCGTGGTGAGGTCACCGTCACTTCGTGGCGAATGACGGCTGTTGTTGTATGAGAGTTGGTGAGTTTCAGTGCATGTTATGTACATGTGTGTTGGATAGATAACATGTCTGTGTATATATTTCTATGCCTGTGTCCCCCTCGGTATTAATCCGGCTCAAGGATGTGAGGTGAGCCAGAATGTGGCTTTGGAATTAATCCCTTCGCTTTGAGCCAGGCATCACGCGGATCATGGCTATTCTGAGATATTTGGCTGATGCTGTAATCCGGCCGCTCAATTCCCAGGCTGGCCGACCAAGTAGCACAAACCTCCCCAGGGTCCACCCAGCACGCAAAACAAAAACACCCACCATTCGCCACTAAGTAAAAACTAAACTAAAACTATTTTTATTTTACCAGGTAAAGCCCACTGAGCTCAATAGTTTTTTTCAGAAGTCGACCTGGCCACAAATGAGAACCGAACGAAGGTGGCTTATCACGTGGAGATGGATAGCAGCCAAATACTCTTAACGCACGATGTTGATTCTAAATGTGGAGGGGAAAATCGGAGGACCCGGAGAAAAATCCACACGACTACAGGGAGAACATGCAAAATCCAAATATACAGCCCGTCAGGGTCGAGATCGAACCCACAACCTCCTGTATACCAGGTGAAGTAGTCAACATCTCGCCACCGTGGCGCCCATGGCGATGACGCCTACCGCAAAACCCATCCTCGAGCACAAACCACGCCGAACTAACCGTAGGCGGATCTAGAAGCTTCCCAAAGGGTAGGGCGACCCCAAATTTTTAATCTTAAATAGAGCCCTCTAATGAAAATTTTAAAAATGCAATGTGTTTTCTCAGATAAATTTCGATAACATTGCAATTTTCTGGGTCTCAGGAGTGTAAACAATCCTATAGCACCAACCACGTAGCATCAATGACGAAGTATCAACTAACACTACATCAACTGAAAAACATCAACCGCCAGTTAGGATCCAAGCCTATAACCACAATATGAACCCTACAACACCAACCAACGAGATCCACGAACCGCATTACATAAACCTTACACCACCAAGATCAACCAACGCCAAATTCTCCATTAAGTCACAATTATATTTCTACGTGCTCTCCGTGGAGTGGATTGTACGAAGTCCATTATCATGTCTGTCCACGGGCTTTCACTCCGCCCTTTAAGAACTCTCTGTCTCACCCCTCAAATCACTCAAGAGGTCACAGCTCACGTCGCTTCATCATCACCATAAAGTCGCTCTCCTCTCCGCGTTTGATGCTTTAGCTGTAGAGACATTTGGACGGCACTAAGAGCCACCTTTGGTTGGTAAGTATGAGTTTATTTTTCCAGATCCTTATGGATTTACTGGGCTATGATTTTGCTCAAGATATTTCTGAACTTTTCACATTATTTCTGCACGCACTTTAGATGTCTATACATTTTTCTGGTAACATGAAGCAAGCTGATTTTTGTTAAACGTGAGCACGTGTCAGGGTTAATCTATTGCTACAAAATCTAGTAGTAGAAATATACAAATAAATTGTTGTTCCACTCACTCTCCTTATGTCAGATCAGGAAGCATTTAAATCACCCATCGAATGCATTAAATCTCCATCACGCAATCATAATCGCTGCAATCTCCCAACAAATCTCTTAACAGCATCAGCCAGCATGGTCTAAATCTCCAGTTGGCATAATTCGTGAGCTCTGCCTGGCATCTCGGCTAAGGGCATTTATGTAACATTTTGCCGAAAGCTTTCTTGGTTTATATTTCTCGCTCATTCATTCACAACGTTTACATGTTTAGGTTGAGCATTGTCATTTTTGGGGGAATTTGTTCTCAATGCTGAGTATTAGTTTGGTGACTAGGCGAGTGGATGGACGTGAGTGGTGCACTGGTCGAATGAGCGAGTGACTGAGTAGATGCGTGAGCAGGTGAATGCATGAACGAATGAGTGGCCGAGTGAGTGAGGTTATGATTACGGTCTGTGAGTAAACGAGCACGTGGCCGAGTGAGTCGGTGGTCGAGTAAGTAGGTTGATCGAGTCGACGATTGAGTAGGTGGGTGAGTGGGTGCGATAGTGAGTGGTCGAGTGAGTCGGTGGGTGGGTGAGTGGCGAGAGAGTGCCGGGCGAGTGAGTGCGCGAACGAATCGGCGACTGAGCGAACGAACGCGCGGTTGACTGATCACACAGGTAATCGAGATCCGTTACCGAACGATCTATCGGCCGAATTAGAATAAATCGACTTCCGAACCCAACCTTCGACCACCATCACCGCCAGTCAATTCCTCGGCCGATGGGGCGACACGCGCGCGGCGTCCCCACGTTCGCGTCGGAGGGCGAGGACCGCGCCATCCGCCTCGGCGTGGTCCTCGTCCTCTTCGCCTTCGCCTCCTTCTCCACCCTCGCCTTGTGCTGGATGCGCCCCGCGCTGCAGCTGCGCGCCCGCACCCGGGAGGACAACTGCTCCGTGGCGAGGGTGGACGCCGGAGACGGCGGCACGACGGGACCCCCCGGGGAGCCGTGCGCCTTCTCGTGCGGCCCCGCGTAGTCGCGGCGACTCCCGCTACCCGTGCGTGCGCGTGTTCGCGCGCCTCGCGCACTCCTCCGGCAGGGTCGCGCTGCTCCACCAGGACCTGCTGCAGCTCTCGCTCAACCCCAGGGTGCGTGCCGGTGGACAAGGTGGGTGGGTGGGTGGAGAGGTAGATAGGTGGGCGAATGGGTGAGTCGTTGGACGGGTATGGTGGATAGGTGACTGGGCAGGTAGGCGGATGGATAGGTGCGTGGACAGGTGGATGCATGGGTGGGTGAGTGGACAGGTTTGTTGGTGGGTTGGAGACGTGAATGGGTGACTGGGTAGAAAGGTAGGTGGGTTATTTTAGAAGTGGATGGGCGAATACATGGTAGGTGGGTCGACAAGTTGCCTTTATTTAAAGTGTGGGGACAGAGAAGGGGAGACAAGACAGAATGAAACAACTGTTACCTAGGCGATAGACAGACACAGCAACACGGGATATATATAGACATACACACGCATAAACAAAAGCTAAACAGATAGATACATCCAGACAGAGACAAATACACTGTAGGGAGACAGAGACTACAGACACATATACAGGGAGACATAGAGACGCAGAAAGACACAGACTGAGATAAAGTTATAGAGAAACAGACATAAGGACCCAGACACATGGACACAGACAAACAGATGAAGGAAGATAACTAAATACAAGGAGACAAACAGAGACACAGATACACGGCATCACAGAGACGCAGACAGTAACACACACATGTACATAGACACAGAGATAAACACACAGATATACACAGAGATAGACACATCCATGGTGATACACTCAGTGATAGAGACACACACGGTAACGATACAGAGACTTACACAGATATAGAAACACAGTCACAGAGATGAACAAACATGCAGACACTGAGACAAAGACACACATGGAAACACTGTTGGGGAAAGTGCTATTAACGAGCACCTATGAAGACTGGAACAGTAAATTAGGGGGTGGGTGGCCAGCACCACGCCCGGCCGCCTTTGTCTCCCTCGTGGAAATTTTTACATATCGCACCACGTACTCATTTGAGACGGACTCGACCTAGGGGAGGCCCATAACCAGTTGAATAAATCGTCACCGGTGGAATAAAAAAAATCGGGGCCGGCGGTTTAGGGAACGCAGCGCGCTAACCTTCGCCGAACCCTACCACTCCCCACACCGAGAGAGATAACGCACACGGCACGATGCCTCCTCTCCCTGCCTCCTCCTCCTCGTCGTCGTCGTCGGGATCCCTCTCTTGGCGGCGCCCCGCAGTGCTCCTACGTGCCGCCTTCGTGCCACCGGGACCCGTCCGAGAACGCGCGAAACGTGAGCGGCTGGGCGGCGCGCTGGCGGCGCAGTCTGGAGCTCTCCGCTTCCTTCCCCTGCTACTTCGACGGGCAGCTCAGGTGAGGATGATGATGATGATAACCTGCAAATCCACACCCGCACCCCCATCCTTCCTCCCGGTATTAATGAGTTAATTCGTGATCATCAGCATCCCGAGTTCGGAACACCGGGACGCACGCCGTCCGCACTTGCGGTACGAAGCGCGTTTCCACGCTGACACGTGGCGCTTATTTTGCCTCCCATGCCCACCGTTAAGCCATGTTCTATGGAGACTCTGCAAAGCAAGACTCATCCCATTCCTGTAGAGAGAATGGGAAATAAGCGGGGACTGTGGAAACGTGTGGAAAACAGGGAGGCCGAAAATATGGTGGCAGGGAGAGCGTTTTCCACGTAAGATATTGGACATTTACATAATTGTGGACATTATCTGCAGGCAAGATTGGTCTCGTCGGCTATGGAAACCCATTGATTTTCCGATAGTATTTGAGTGGCCCAGCAGCCATCGTTTCGATACAACAGCCATCGTCATCCATTAATTGTCTTCCAATGCCGTCACCATTCTCACGGATCAGTGCTGCTACCACCCATGTCGCTCATGCACGTAAACTCATCTCTCCATCTCGCTTCCCCTCTCTGTTGGAATTGTCACTTACAGACTGGCCCATCTGTGAACAAGTAAACCCGTAAAAACAAAGTTTTTCACTCTAAATCCTTTATATGCGTGGCGGCTCGAGTCTTCTCGTCCTCTGGCTTGAGATGGCTGCCACCTATGGGTCAGATGATTGTCTGCCAGTATTAAGCAATTGGTAATTAAATATTTAATTTGTTTTCCCTAAACAGTGTAAAATTTTGGGAAATTTTTTTCACGAACATTAATTGTCTCGCACAACGAGTCTGTGTGGAAAATGTCAGCTCGATTGGATCACGGGAAGTGGGTTAAAAAAACGACCGAAAGATTTGCACGGTCGTAAGCAAGCAAGCACGCAAGCACGCAAGCAAGCAAGCACGCAAGCAAGCGAACTTAATATAAAGGATTTAAAAAAGAGCGTCAACGCTCATCGGATTCCTCCAGTCTCTCAATAAAGATTCTGATTCTATCCCCACCCCCCATCTCCCCAGGCCAGACGATGTCATCCTGGATCGAGACGACAGCCGGGCGGTCGTGTTCCACTGCGTTTTCTGGCCGTTTATCATCCTGCTCGTCGGCCTGCTCCTCATCGGCCTGGCCACGTGCGCCAAGAGCTTGGCCGTGCGCGCAGAGGCCATGCGCAAGTTCAAGAAGTTGCGGTGACTGCGACGAAGAGGGCAGTGGCGACGACGCCGAGGTTGATGAGGGCACTCACGGCCGTGGCCGGGCCCTAACAAGCAGGAATATGCTGCACACAAAACGTTAAGAATGAATAAACCTAGCCGTGTAATGTTGCTGGGACGGCTTGTTAATTAATTGTGCACGTAGATGCTGCATAACTCAATAATCGCAATCTTTACATTTATGTGAGGCCGTACAAGTGGTTCAGATAGCAGTTCAGTAAAGTGTATTTTAAAGAAACACGCACACAAAATGCATCTAAGTTTATCAAACATATAGGGAAAAAAGGCATTTAAGTTTCTTTCGAAAATGGAAGAATCTCAGCGGTCAGGCGCAATTCTTCAGCCATTGTATAATACTGGTAGGAACCTCCTGGTTACACCAGCCCACAGGGGATTATTGTGTCCGTCCGTCTGGGTGGGGAGGGGAAGGTGGGGAGGGGTTAGGTGGGGAGGGTGGGAGGGGCGGGGCTGGTTGGGAGGGGAGGGGCTGGTTACCCCGTGGTGCCCTTATAAAACTCAACGTTTAACCTACTCACGCCGGCTTGTGCCCGCCCTCACAGTCGGGCATATTTGCGGAATACACCACGCCGCCGTTGACCCTGGCCATTGACCCGAGCAACTCAACGTTCCTTCCAGCTCCCACCTGCTCCCTCTGCAGTAATGTGCTTGTACTATTGTGCGCAGAGGCAAGAGAGCACCCTCAGCACTTAACGCGACATGCTCTCTCTAAGATGCACTCCACTGATAAACTCGCTCACTCACCTGCACACGCCCTCCCCCCCACTCACCGCAACATTCTGTATTCTATACATTGCGTTTCCATCGTATATTTAATCACCCAGTCGTCCATATCTGCCGAGACGAGTGCTGCGCTCTTGCCTCTGCTATTCAGAATGGCCCGAAATCAAATGTATTATTCCAGATGACTGCTGCAAAGTATGACCTTGAGTTTTGATTGTGGTGCTGATCTTTAAAGGTGTATTGAGAAATTTGGTTTCTGCTAGTGATGCTCCTGCGGTTATGGAGTGACTCATCCAGCTAGCTGTGGCTGCGGGGTTTGATCGTACATGTTGTTTATATCGTTTGTTGTTAGATTTGAATCACAGTTCCTATGATCACTGTTACATTGTTTCTGTGGCTTAATTTTGGTGATTTTGAGGACGGTTTGGTCTGGCCATGTTTGTTTGTTGTAGTACAGAGTTAGACTGATAACTTTAATCTACACTGTCTTATGATTGTTATTGTTTGACTTGCATCCCACTGGGATTTTTGCACACAGCGTTGAAATGTGGTGTTTTTTGTGGAAGGCTTTGCTGTTTTTTCCAGGATTTTTCTGTTGCTTGTAGTCACTTTAAGATGTTTCTCGTTCATGTTTTTGTTTCGTTGCGGTTGCACCCGAGTCAAGAGTCGCATGGCTCACAGGGTTATACCTAATAAATGAAACTGAAAAAAAAGAAACTGCAGTGTGTGAAGCGATTTGTCTGGTCACGGTTGCCATCCCAAAGCACGACCGTGGGTACACGTGTATTACTGGTAGGAACCACCTGGTTCCACCAGCCCACAGGGAAATATTGTGTCCGTCCGTCCGTCGTGCATCCAAAAATGGGAGGGGTGGGGCTGGGTGGAGAGGAGAGGGTGGAGAGGGGCTGGGTGAGGAGGGTGGGCAGGGTCTGGCTGGAGAGGGGCTGGGTGGGGAGAGTGGGAGGGGCGGGGCTGGTTGGGAGGGGCTGGTTACCCCGTGGTGCCCTTATAAAACTCAACGTTTAACCTACTCACGCCGGCTTGTGCCCGCCCTCACAGTCGGGCATATTTGCGGAATACACCACGCCGCCGTTGACCCTGGCCATTGACCGAGCAACGCAACGTTCCTACCAGCTCCCTCCGCAGGAATGTGTTATGCTGTTGATACGATACTGTTGGTGGACGACCGTGAGTAATAAAAACAAGCAAATAAACAGAAGCGCTCATATTTCCCTACCCAAAACTAAACAAAAACCCCATTCAGGTCCGAAAGTAGTGATTTTCTTTTAGAATTCTTTGGCGGATGGATTTAAACGGTAATTTTGTTTGGGCGGTGAAACAGCCCTTTCTGTGTTAATCAGTTTATTTACATGTGAATATATTTATCCTACAAAACGTGATTTGTATTCAGTGATGGGTTTCATTACCTGCCTTTCATGTTTATGCAATCACACACGAACGCCAAGCGAATTTCTTAAAAGTCGACCCTAAAGTACGTAATGAGCACGAATGTGCACGTGCTGCATCAACCCATGCATGAAGGGGCGTAATTATTGCATTGGCCGAGGCATTTTCAGTGACAGTTGGCAGAAAAGGCCATTTCCACCGATGTCTGGACATGATGAAACGTTCAAATCGATACTTTGGCCTCTGCCAACTTGGCCATTGCACAACGAAAGTTGACAAACGGCAAATCCCACGTGAATCAGCATTCATACATTTCAAATTGTCATAGATCAAAGTTCCTGTGTTTTTCACTTTAATTCACCAAATAAAACTGTACAAAAATGTTACGGACGTTGTTTTCAGTGTAATACTGGTGTTTCTAATACAAACGCTAACCGTATTTAGTTTCAATGTATAGAACACTTTCGTAATTTCAACGTATCGGGAATTTGAACTGCCGAGGTGAGACACGCATTCCCTACAGATTGAACTGCCCCTGATCGGACAAACCACAAATCATGCGGAATGTAATGTTTAATGCCTAGTGTCTGAATCTATGTTGAACGTCTTTCCCACCGTACGGAGTCAACCGTGCTAACCAGAAGTGCGAAACTAGCGGCGACAAACTCATGGTAGAAATTTTATATTCAGATAAAATTGGCTAGGCTCTTCAGAGGAAAACTGCTGTTGACTTCCACCAGAGGTTTTGAACGACAAGAGGGGTGTTATGAAGGGCCATTGCCCGAAACGTTACCGATTATGTTTCTTTCAGGCAGTGTTATTGACGAATGTGTTTAGTTTGTGTATGTTAATTGTGCTTGTTCACCACTGGCAACGCAGCAGCAGCATCATCAAATAATTTGTCTAATTCAAAAGACTGATGACCGAGTGGTATGGAGAAAACCAATGTGGTAAAACCGCATCATGCATGCAGCTCTTTCCCGACAAACCACACAGACTGCAAGCACACACAGGCACAAAACATGCTCAATTGTACTGTACAATAGATTTACTCTTTCGTTTTACGATAAAATAAATAAATGTCGCGGCATATGCATTTATTTCAAGCAGCATAGCATTGCAAGCATTGCACCCACTCACCCCAACACAATGTCACTTTTTGTATGGGGACGCGACTGGCTGGCAGATTATTTCCAATCATCCATCACAGAACAAAGCACATCGCATTGCATCATCTTAAGTCAAAGACTCAACGCATCTGCCTGCTCAACTAAGCATAGGGTAGTGCTCATCTCCACTCGGGGGCTCAGAGACATTGGTGGAAATTCCACAGTGCCAGGATGGGGGCTCACTCTCTTCCTTGAATGACCACTCTTGACTTTCAACAAAAGTGATACAAATGTTTTCAGCCCCAAAGAGATGATTACGAGCCAAGCACAAACCAGGACATGAACTTGCGCTTTTGAATAAACCACGACGCATGGCACCAACCAGTCACTTAATGCTACTTTGTAAATCACTTAACTCTGTCTCAAGTGAACATAATCACTCAACTCTTATTTTTGTAAAGTAGAATCTTAAATAAAATAAGTTTCCCTTTCTAGGTACGTGATTACAGCAAATGACTGCAGTCTTTGGTGTCGGAGGGGGAAATCCGGCCAGATCCACCAATTCGTATAAATTGAGAACAATCTTTAGCTCGTTTACCTTCCTTATCTCACGACTCCAGAACTTTGTCCAAGCTGCTACCGCGTTGAAGCCCGATGGCCACGACAATACAGCCATGAATGGCAAAAGTGCCAGCAGCACCACATCCAACACAAGCAACTATTGCAACACAGTATGGCACTGGCATGTATGCCAAAAGTTGTGTTTAGCCAGTGAAAAGTGTTGGTTGCAAATTGGGTTTAAGGAATAATTCGTTTACAGAGCACACAGCCTCGGTCATGTGACTTGCCTGTGTGTAAGTTGTCAACCTAGTTGCCCAGTTGGGGAAACGGTTCAATACAATTGGTACCGAGTTGGGTAACTAAAACTTGTAAAGGCAAAACTGGCTTGGCAATCATTGCTGGTGACAATTGCCCTCTGGGTCGCCCAAATTCATCGTGGCCTTCAGGAATCACACGCGGCTCCAAACTACTTCCCATCATCAAGAAGCTTCCTATTTACATCAGCTTGACAAGATCATTGCATTGTATAGGTTCCATAACACAACAGAAAGGGGGTGGGGGGGACACAAATTATTTTGTAACAGTTTTAATAAAGTTTGAAGGCCACACGGAGTTTTTCAAGACTCCGTTTTGAGAGGGTCTCAATTTGAGATGGTTTGGCCAATTCCTTTTTTGAGAAATTCTACTTCCAGTAGGAAAAAAGCCCCCCAGAAAAAGCAGTGCACAGAGAAACCCGACACATAGAAAGGGAAAACACAGAACCCCTAAGCAACAAACTTGCTGTACTGCCCTTTAAAAGACAAGCTAGTCTCGCTATACATGTATGCTATATGGTAGCAAGGCAGGTCAGTCGCTGTCACGCCTATGCAGTTCTACTGAAATTAAGACAATATCGAGATGCCCTGTGTACACAGCAGCTCCTGCTAAAGACATCCAGAGCTTTGGCTTTAGGCGATAGCGGGGTAAATAATAGCAAAATCTACACAGAAACAGAGCTTTAGGCACTTGGTCGATCATCTTATGCAGCAGCGGTCTCCACTTATAGAGACTGGTCCACGTGTTGATATTAATAACATTATGGTTGAGTGATTATCATCAAGTCCACAGCTCGGTTGCTACCGTCGGAATTGCGCAGCACTGTGTCTTACCATTTCAAGTGCAGATGACGCAATAAAGCAGAGACCTTGACAGCAGCTATCAGATGAGCACATGACTTAAATTCTAATTCAATAACTCACCCATAGTCATGGTCTTATTCCATCGGGAAGTGAAGTTACAGGAAACGACAAAGGAAATTGTCATCATATCGTTCATTGCCCAATAACGGTCTAGGCTAGAAACAGCACTTCCTACGGAAATGAGAGCACATCGCGAGTTCAAAGCAGTGACAAATTCTTGTATCGGGAAAGAAAAATCACCGCATGTAAGTTTGGGTTAGTGCCACAAACTCCAAGGCTCTGCTCTCTCTCTCACAGCTCCACAGACTAGAACTTAACGATTCAAAAACTCCGCAAACCAAATGGCATGATGAATGCGATCCAATAATCAACTATTTTGTCCCGTTTCTTCCGTCGTGTTTGCAGTGTCCCGTTTGTAAAATTAGCCGAAACGTTCATGATGCACATCCTTTGCAAGAATCGTAATATTTTTACTTGCATGTTTTGTAAGAAAAACCGTTACGTGCCCAGACTGACACGAAGTTGGGCTCGGGCAATCCGTGTTGCCAGGCACCACAAACCATCCGTCGCTATCACAATGCCAGCAAAGCACGTTCACACACAGACACACACGGGTGTCATGCTTATTCCACTGACGATTTCACCACTTAATCAGTTTGATACAAACTGAAACTCTATTTGGAACAGGTGATGATTAAGGGACTTGTACACAGATGAATCACACATTGACCTCGTCAAAGGATAAACCAGACTTCACAGTAACATCCATGGACTAAAGAAAACATTTCTACCACTTGGAAGTACTGAGACTTCACTCCCAATCTCTTTACATGGCCAGTAGAAGAGAATAAATAAACATATTCACTGGCCAACACATCCTAGTATAATATACGTTACAGACCTTCATAACACAACTAAATTTTTCCACTTTCAATGAAATATCTGATCTGGGTCCGAGTCGTGCTGATGCGTGATTGCATTACTCAAACAATGTTACATGGGAATTCATGTAACCGATGCCACTGCCATTAGAAGTAATTAAAATTACTAAATAATGGACTTTTGATTAACCGTACTGAGGGTGCTTGAGGAACAAGATGTAGGGATGGTATCTGGCTTAACGAGCATTCTTTACTTAAAAATTAGCTATGAGCAATTGGAAATAAAAAAACATTTGTTCGCAAAACGAGCAAAATGTGCGTTTATCAAGTGAGAGACCAATCGATAAATATGCGTCCCATGGCGGCAGGGGGCGCATGCACCGTGGCCCGCAGCAATTTGTTTATCAGCTGGGCTGTGTGCTCCTTGTGTTCCGTGTCGGGGAGAGTGGGCCTCATGGTGGCGATGTAATGGGTGGATGGCGGGAGAGGAGTGGTGGTGTAATGGTTAGCACGCCGACGCTACAAACCAAGCGAGCAGTTTTGACTCGCGCTTACGGCCAACCTCAGTGACCATTAGCTCAACTGGTCCTGGGCCTCCCTTAGGTCGATTCAACCTCAAATGAGTACCTGATAGTGTGTAAACATCGCCACGATGGAGACAAAGGTGAGTGGGCATGGTGCTGGCCACCCACCCCAATTTTTGCGGACGGTATCTCGCTCGTTAAGCAAGACACGCTTGTATTGCTCTGTATTTGATGACATTTATCCACCAAATATTTCAATGGGTCTCAGTATTATTGTTTAGGAAGGTATGGCATTGGGTCGTTTGGCCAATTCCATGAATGAACGTTTGGCATGTGGGAGGAAACCAGAATACCTGGGAGAAAATCCACCAAGCACACGAGGGGGAGAGACTAAGCACTGCCATCTCCTAGCCCCCACACAACCCCAACATCTACATACAACACGTGGCAGGCCAACCCTACTTACACAAAAGATTGGGTGAATTTAGGGTTATTTTGTTTGCAGGAAGAAAAAAAACAGGAACATATATTGAGCTCACTGACTAATGTAGTCTTAGATTTGTTTGAGTCTGTTTATTCTAGCTCGAATTTCTTTGCGCAGGAAAGCCTCTCCAAGTTAAGAATTTTTCAGGGAGATCCTGTTTGGGCATCTGGTATGAAACTAGACTTACTGGGAAAAAAAACAGGTGCATGAGAGAATACAACTCCACTGCTGTACAGAGCGCCAACTAGAAACTATTAGTTTCATTCGAGTGGGACCACAACTCCCTGCCAGGCAAGGGGGCATCCTTGTGCGTAACGACATCAGGACTCACCGACCCACAAAACTCAACCAACACGTCACTGGCTTCGACAAAGGTGAGCTTCGCCACACATCGCATCACGCTGCACTGTCTGCATAGAAGGTTCACGCCACACGCCCGTCCAAAGCCTGAGAACACCACGGCGCCCGGCAAACCTCTTGACGATTTTGCAGGTACCGTGTTTTGCATGGAAGGGCAGTGTTTGCATTTGGGCTTTTGTTTACAAAACTTCTCGTGTCCTTCATTTTAACTTTTTGTTCTTTAAATCTTTAAGCATTTTCTTCCTCTTCTCTTCCTCCTCCTCTTTCTTGATATCTTCCTGATCTTCCATGACTCCCAGCCTCAAGCTACATACACGTAAAGCGGGGGCGAGGGAGAACAGCATTAGTCGGCATGCCACCATGGGGAAGCAATAATTTGTTTGCGATTCCCAGCACTTAACATTCAGTATCATCTAGTCAAATTTCACCAGGCTCACTGTTCATGAACTCTTGGAAGTGCTTGCACAAAGGATAGTAAACAGCTCATCCTGTGTTCTTGGAATCTAGTCAGACAATAGTAATACAGGTATAATAATATGCGGTCATAATTGTGGATGAATTAGAAATTTTTTTATTTTACCTAAAGGTTGATAGTTTACAAGTTTAAATCCTAGTCTGGGCCAAATCTGCCTATCTTCCCCTACAGGTTTAATAAAATAACCACCAGATTGTGAGAAGACAGAGGTCCCCCTACGGAGAGATTGGTTCCCACCAGGGAATAATGTGGAATTTCCAACACTGGTTAAAGGCTAGAAATTGCCCCAAGCACTGCCATAATGATCATTTGCACAGGGAGGCACTAACTTTAAATTCAATGCCCTTAGGAAACCCACTGCTGGATGAAGACCTCCACACACCATGTCAGTCATGGGGGTTATTTGACCCAACTTCATATCATTGGACAGTGCAGGTTGAAGGTGGGGGTGTACAGGACCGGTTCAAATATCACTTGCCACTGATATTAACTGCAACCGAGAATTGAACTCAGGCTTCATGGCGCGGTATGCTAACCACTGCGCCACCCGACTCTGGCTCTACGTGGAGCTACGGTTTCCCCCGGCCTCCACGTATATGGCAATAAGCCTCCTGTGTGGGGGGTTGTGGGTACCTTCTCGCCTCCTCCTTCTGCTGTTCTCTCCAGCTCGTCTCCATGGAGCGCAGTACGGAGTCGCTCTCGTACTTGTACCTTCACAGCAAGCGGGAAAGAAAGACAGGAAATAAACCCAGACAGCTTAAAAACTAAACTAGAAACTCATTTTTATTTTATCAGGTAAGGCCCACTGAGCTATATGGCCACAAATGATAGCGCAACGAAGTGGCTCATCACGTGGAAATGTATAGCGGCCAAATACTCTAAATGCACGTTGATTCTAAATGTGGAGGGAAAAACGGGAGGACCAGGAGAAAAATCCATGCAACCACATGGAAAACACGCAAACTCCAAATATACAGCAGGTGTCAGAGGGCGGGATCAATATCACGACCTCCTGCACACCAGGCAAGGGAGTTAACATCTCGCCAACGAGAACTGCCGGGTGTCAATACAGCTCACAGATAGTCTGTTCTCCTATAAAGCAGTGGTTGCGTTCCTGAACAAGAACAAGTTCTGGAAAAATAGCGTTATAGTAACATAGGGTAAAGCAGAGTCCGCGATAACACATGAGATGCATATATAGGCTGAACAAAGACTGAGGCGCGTGGGTAGCAACCAGCAGTATAAAAAGATGTGTTCCCTAATACATTCATCACAGTATATCCAATTTGCGTTATGAAAACACACGTAATAGAACGGATTGAAAAGACAAACGCTTACACACATGGACATGCATACAAACTCCACTTATTTCAGGGTAAACAGGGGGCATGGGTACCCCAGTGACAAATATCTGGGGTCCCAACTGGGGAATCACTCATTTATTCAGGTGTGACCACGAATAACCCCAGATATTGAGCAGAATTTCCCGAACTCTGTTTATCCGTGGGGCTCCCGCCCACCTGTGACACGTGGCACAAAACGTTACCAAATGCCACTAGGTCAGCAGGGAAAGGCGTGGGGAGACCCTCGAGGGCATTCTATGATGAAGTTTAAATCATCAGCCCATCATGTTAGGGGTCTCTCCTAACATGACATGCAAGCAAAGCTCTTTTCCTCTAAAGTCTCAGAAGCTAATTGCCCCACCTGCAGCAGCAATTGCATTGCATAGAGACAGCACCACACACCCTTCCGTCTCCCAGTTGCTGGTGTAAATGTAGTATCTCAAATATGGCGGGAGACGAGTTGACGGGGCAGCACTTGTTTATTAACACTAACACAACAGTAACAGATACAGCCGAGATACAGCCTACGCTTACGCGTGCCTAACTCGGCTACGCTCTCAGGCCCTCTGGCTACGTGCTGCCTAGGGGAGGCTATCGGACCCGTCCTAGCCAGGGTACGGGTCTCGACCTCTGGGTCACACAGCCTGGCCCTTACAAGGACGTCAGGCCGTGATCCCCAAGGTCTCGCCTCTGAGCCGCACAGAGTCCCGGCCCTTACAAGGGCAGCGGGGCTAGGGGTCTCAGGGCCCTATCTCTTGCTCCGTCTTCTGTCTTCACTGGTTGACGACCCCCGAGCGCTGCTGCGCATCGCCTTACATAGCCCTCCGCGCCAGGGGGCGGGGCCTATGCGGACCGCGATGTGAACACCTGCCTGCGGACCGTGATGTAGCCACCCACTACGCGCTGTCTCACGATCCTCCCCCCCCAGCACGTACCACCTCTACATCACCCCCTTCCACATAGCTCGCAGCCGGCTCGGCTGCAACAAAAAAACTCTCCGCGTGTGCGCCCCGTAACACCAAAACTAACAATCACAACCCAACCACAACGAGAACCCCGCGAACCCCGCAATAAATCCGAACCCTTAACTGTAATAACAAGAACATATGTACACACCGACAAGTAAAACCAATAAATTATATACAAGAACGACCTGTACAGCGTCCCCTCGACCCCTGCTCGCCCCTTGAACGGAACATTAGAACGGACGGAAGGGAAACGTTGTGGCGAGGTGACACGGCGGGACCTTGCACGGGTCCGCCTGGCCGGCCCGTCGTACGGCACAGGACGTGTTTGGCCGTCAGGCGGCTCCGGCAGTCCAGGAAGGCACGGAGCAGGCTTTGGAGGTCCGCGCGTGCCTCGGGGATCCGGTTGCCGACGGTCAGCAGCCGTCAGTTCCGAGACATCTGGGAGCTGATCAGGCGGAGACATGTGAGGATCAGGCGGTGACATTCCCCTCCCCGAGTCGACGGCCACATCACATGCTCGGTCATCATGACATGAAGAAAGGCCATGTGGCGCCGCGAAAGGTTTCAGCCGGGAGAGGTGAACGTACCAACGGCGTTTTCCCCACTTTATCTGAATGCACTGGGGTCATGCAACACGCACGACTTCAACGGGTCCCCGCCATGGCCTCAGCAGTTTCGTGGGACGTAGCCAACGGCGCATGCGGGCAGTGCAGCCAGGCCCTATCACCCGGTTTCCATTCGTGCATGTACACCCTCTGTGCACGCAACCGCTCGTTAGCAATCTGGCGAGACCTCGAATTCAGCCTCGCAGCTTCCCGTGCCTCGGCCAGCTTAGCAATGTTAAATTTGATATGGTCGGCCAATTTAGATTTAGCACGGGGTTCGGAAATCCCCAGCTGGGCATCCATGGGCGGATCGGCCTCCCGACCGTACATGAGATAAAATGGGGAAAACCCCGTCGCCACGTGGGGGGCCATCCTGTACGCGGTGAGGACACCGGGGACCTGTAAGTCCCAATCAACCTGAGCCTCGCACACCTGTTGGCATAACATGGAAGTAATCGTTCTGTGGAGCCGCTCCACCATCCCATCAGTCTGTGGGTGGTACGGGGAGGTACGCACTTTTTTTGTACCCAAAAGGTCGCACACCTCTCGTAACAAAACGCCCGAAAAATGATTTCCCTGGTCGGTCAGCAAGCGTTCGGGGGCACCCTTGTCCAAGACATAGCCCTGGACAAAGGCATCCGCCACGGCCGCCGCCGACTGGTTGGCGAGCGGCCACGCCATGGGCCAGAGTGAAGTATTCCACGCCAACCAGCAGGTACTTGTTACCCCGAGGCGTTACCGGAAAGGGCCCCAAGATATCCAGCACGAGTTCGTTTATGCGCGAGACTTGAATAGACTGTAGCGGTGGATTAGCCGCAATGGGCGGCGGTTTTCGTCGGGCGCACCCCACACACCCCTTGAGTATGTTCGCCACATCACTCCCCATACCCGGCCAATAGTAGTCCCGCTGGAGCAGGGCAAGCGTTTTATGAACTTCCAAATGCAAGAGCCGTTCGTGAGCGGCCAGAACGACCCTACCCCGCATAGCAGACGGCACAACAAGCGCATGTCGCCAGGACATACTGTCCCACCTCATAAGGAGGCCCTGTTGGACCACCCAGGAGCCGACCCCCTTTTCCCCTCCCTCGGGACCCTTTGCCTTACAACGCAACGTGAGAAGGGAGCTGTCGGCCATTTGGTGCCGGCCCCACTCAATAAGAGGCAATGCGAGTAACGAGTCCCCGCCCGTCGGAGCAGCGGGAACGTCGACCCGTGGCGCGTCGACGGCGGCGAACAAATTCCCCATGGGGACGGCGACAGGGGGTTTACAACGCGCCAATCCCAGAAGACATGCACATTCCGAGCGAGGCGACAACCGCGACAGGGAATCCGCGTTGGTGTGGCGCAATCCCTTATGGTAAGTGGTCGTGAATTGGTAGTCCTGGAGGACCTCCAACCATCGTGATAACTGACCCGTGGGTTGGGCAACACGCAACGCGTATTGCAGCGCCGCGTGGTCCGTACGGACAGTAAAAAGACGGCCGTAGAGATACGGTCTGAATTGCTGGATAAAAAAAACGATAGCTAGTAACTCGCGACGGGTCACACAGTAGCGCTGTTCCGCCGGCGACAAAACCCTGCTACCGTAGGCGACCACATGTTCGACTCCCCCGATCACCTGTGAGAGCACTCCCCCAATACCCGTGTTACTGGCATCCGTGTCAAGCAGGAAGGGTTTGGTAAAATCAGGGTAACACAAGGGTGGAGCACTCACCAAGGCATCCCGAAGGGAGCAAAACGCGGCCTCCTCCTCCGGCCCCCAGCGAAACTTCACCCCTTTCGCTGTCAAAGCATGCAGGGGTTTGGCTATGGTGGCAAAGTGCTCAACGAAGCGGCGGTAGTAGGAGGCAAACCCAATGAAACTGCGGACCTCAGTAACAGAAGTGGGCGTCGGCCATGAACTGACACAACGTGTCTTAGCGGGATCGGTGAAGATCCCCGAACGGCCGACAATGTGCCCCAAGTACCGTACCGATTCCCGAAGTAGGTGGCATTTTCCCGGTTTAAACTTTAATTTAGCAGATCGCATTCTGAGGAACACCACCCTCAACCGTTGGAGGTGCTCCTCGAAAGTTCGACTGAAAACGATGACGTCATCAAGGTAAATCAAGCAGGTATCCCATTGCAGGCCCGACAAAACCAATTCCATTAGCCTCTGGAACGTCGCGGGAGCAGAATGAAGTCCCATGGGCAACCGATTAAACTGAAATAGGCCTACCGGTGTTCGGAAGACGGTCTTTGGTTTCGACTCCTCATCGAGGGGCAATTGCCAGAATCCCGATAGCAGGTCTAGCGTCGGAAAAAAACGTGCCCCCGCTAAAGGCATCCAGGGATTCGTCCATTCTGGGGAGCGGATACGCGTCCGCCACCGAGATCGGCGGCGAAAATCAACACAAAACCGCAAGGATCCGTCGTGTTTCTTAACAAGGACGATGGGAGCTCCTCATGGACTGGATGAGGGCGAAATGATGTCGGCGAACAGCATGTCATTAACAGCTGATTGCACATGTTCCTTATCGGCTGGGCTTAACCGGAAGGGATTTTGCCGAATTGGGGCCGCATCACCCGTCTCAATGCGGTGGCGTAACAGGTCAGTGCACCCAATATCATATTTATGTTTGCTGAACACGTCAGAAAATTCGAGTAGCAGGGTGCGCAGCGCCCCCAATTACACACTGGACAGGTTACTGGAGCCCGCACACAAAGAGTCCAACCACTGTTGATCTTCCCCCGATTGAAGATACGGACCCGGAGTGGAATCAACGTGCGCAATGAGCTGCTCATCCACGGGCACCGGCGTCGCGTGAGCAAGCACGGTGCCCTGTGGAATGACGGCTGGCCGCGACCCCGCGTTCAAAACCATGACGAATGGGTCCCTGTCCGCCCGTACCATTGTCTGAGCCACCGCCAGGTCCAATCCCCCAACAGCTTTGTTCGATGGACCCAACAGCACGCCCTGCCCCGTCGTATCCACCCCCAAGGGTTTCCGTAACCGAAGGGGTACCAGCATCTGCGATCCCGGGGGTACGCGCACCGTCTGGGTTGCCAGCGCTTGGACCGTCGCACAAACAGTGCGTAGTTTTGTAGGGCTCGATAAAAATGTTATACGGCGACCCGATGGGAGCTCGATACACCCTTGATCGACGAGAATTTTAATCGGCATTTTAGCCAAAAAGTCTGTGCCCAATAAACATGGAACCGCCAGGGAAGAAGAGACCAAAACAGGTCCCGCCAATTTAATATCCCCGATGCAAATGGTCGCCCGAATCTGCCCGACGATACCCAAGGAGCCCCCGTTCGCCGCATAACATGGCACGTCTACCGGGAGCAGGGGTCGACATTGGACGGGGAGAATGTTATAAATAAGGTCTGAAATGATAGTCGCCGACACGCCCGTATCAACCAGCACCTGGACCTCAACTCCGTCTATAAACCCCGTAACTACGGACGACCCGGCCGACGCAGCCACTTCCCGGTGGGCCAGCTCGGACCATTGGGCCGCTCCCAGCCCCTGTACGAACCCCCCTCGCCGAACTGAATCCCCGGCCCCCATGCGCGTTCCCTCCGCCGCGAAGCGGCGACCCGTGTGCGACGTGTATGTGGACCGAGAATGTGTAGTGCCGCGACTTGCCGGGGGTAGCTGGGACGACTTTGGGCCTTGGTCGTCGTCCAGACGAGGTCCCATGGCGCGCTGACGCGGAGCCCGGCACCCGGATGCAACGTGGCCGCGAAGGCCGCAGTTGTAGCGCATGACGAGAGACGTCGCAGGTTTCGGTTGCTCCAGCTTGCGGCCCGATCGCAGGGGCGAACGACCTCCAGCCCTCCAGTCTACCGGTCTCGCCGTGGCGAAGGCCTCTTCCCGAGGTAGAACGACTTGGGGGTCGCCGTCCGCCGAGGTAGGTGTTGAAACCGCGGCTGATGCACAGACGACCGTCCGCTTCCGTTTCAGGACCTCGTGTGCATGGATACTTGTAGCAACCCGCAAGGAACAAATGTCTACCTCGTCCGCCGTGTTGATAGGGACCCCCAGGTCCTGCGCCAACGCCAGCAGCTGCTCCGTCACCATCGCGTCCTTCCCCTCCTCGTCCATGCGGGGAAAGGCGGCGTCCGCGAGGGCAAGCAGCGCTGTGCGGTAGGCGAGTGGAGTTTCCGTGTCACCTTTCCGTCGATTGTAGAATTGGTGGCGGCAGGCCAAGGGTGGCCCATAGACCCTGGCCATGAGGCGTAGCGGCGGCTTGGAGTGTGGAGCGGGCCGATCTTGGGGTGGATCTGAATGCAGCGAGTGCGTCGTCGTCCAGCGTCGCTGGTAACGCACGTAGCGCCATAGCATCAGACCACCCTGACATTTCCTGATGGGCGAGGAATCTCCGCTGGAAGGCTCCCCAGTCACCCCCCTCAGCTTTCAAGGCCGTCAATGCAGGAAGTCGTTGTTGAAACACCTGGTCATCTTCCGATAGATGACCTTCCCGCGCTGCGCCGTCGCTGTGAGAAATGGCGGCCCCGTCAGTGGGTTGTTCCTGGGAACTTTTGGCGCGCGCCGATGACGTGGGCGACGAAGAGTGGAGTCCCCCGGTCACATGGTGGTCGCGATTCCTGCCAATCGACGGACGATCCGTAAAAATGGCGCCATTTTCAATATTCGAGGCACGAAGCGTAGTTTGGCGGGAATCTTCGGCGTGCGGCGCGGTGCTGGGGCGAGCCCGCGCCCGGTCTCCCTCCTCCACGATCGCCATCGTCCTTCCTCCTCCAGATGCCGTGATTTCTGCCAAAATGGAAGCCGCGGCGAGTAGCAGCTCCGCCAGGCGAGAGTGTGCATCCCGGAGTCCGGTGTCGGACCCGAGCGGAGCGTCGGCCGTCCCCGAAAGGTGCTGCGGTGTCGGCAGCTCCTCCTCCTCTCCTCCCGAAGCTTCCTGGCCCGGTACGTCGTGGTCGTCTTCCCGGTCTCACTCGTGAGTGTGATTAGTCTTCCTAGTATCCATATTTTAAAGACGGTTTCACTTCTGACGCCAAGTGTAGTATCTCAAATATGGCGGGAGATGAGTTGACGGGGCAGCACTTATTTATTAACACTAACACAACAGTAACAGATACAGCCGAGATACAGCCTACGCTTACGCGTGCCTAACTCGGCTACGCTCTCAGGCCCTCTGGCTACGTGCTGCCTAGGGGAGGCTATCGGACCCGTCCTAGCCAGGGTACGGGTCTCGACCTCTGGGTCACACAGCCCGGCCCTTACAAGGACGTCAGGCCGTGATCCCCAAGGTCTCGCCTCTGAGCCGCACAGAGTCCCGGCCCTTACAAGGGCAGCGGGGCTAGGGGTCTCAGGGCCCTATCTCTTGCTCCGTCTTCTGTCTCCACTGGTTGACGACCCCCCGAGCGCTGCTGCACATCGCCTTACATAGCCCTCCACGCCAGGGGGCGGGGCCTATGCGGACCGCGATGTGGACACCTGCCTGCGGACCGTGATGTAGCCACCCACTACGCGCTGTCTCACGATCCTCCCCCCCCCCAGCACGTACCACCTCTACATCAACAATGCAACAGGTACTAATTTGAGGCTCGGTCAACCTCGGGGGGCCCCAGGACAGGTTCAGATATTTGTCACCACTACACGACCGTTCCCAACATACAAATATACAAAACCACACGCATACATACATACAAACACAAAATAAGCATGCACTAACAAGGGTTTTCCTGATCTGAAAGAAAACTGCAACATATCGCCTGACATAAGCACCACAAAAATCTTATGGTATGTATTGCAAATAATCGTTACATCATAGCAGTTGGCTTTTTTTCTTAAGTGTGTGCGTACACCCACTTTCTGCGGTCATAGCCAAAGATCTCCTTGATATGTCGCGAGATGTCGTCCTGAGGCACGTCTTCGTCATCGATGAAGTCGTCCATCTCCGAGTCATATTCCTCCTCCTCCTCGTCATCCTCAATCCGCCGCCGATGAGGGGGTGCCATCCCAGGAGGGGGCCCTAATGAAATACATTCACACACGCTTGTGGTCAAATCACCAGGAATAAACTAAAAACTAATTTAAACTTTTTATTTTAAAAGGTAAGGCCCCACTGAGCTATATAGCTCTTTTTTCAGAAACGAACTGGCCACAAATGATAACTAAACAAAGTGGCTTATTACGTGCGAATGTATAGCAGCCAAATGCTCTAAAACGCACGTTTCTAAAATGTGGAGAGAAAAACTGGAGGATCCGGAGATAAAACCACGCGACGACGGGGAGAGAGACACCGCAAACTCCAAATATACAGGCATCAGGGTCGGGATCGAACCCACGACCTCCTGTATTCCAGGCGAGGTAGTTTATATCTCACCACTCCATCAGATTATGGAATCTAAGCAAACTTGAGCCTGGATAGCGCTTGGATCTGCTACTGCCATGCACAAAACAGGTGTTATAGACTGCTACGGGCCTACGTGGGTGTCACTGAACCAAAACAATGGAGTACTGCACTGTGCTCTCCACTCCCACCAATCCACACAGACCAGCAAACGAACGTGTGTTTACTACCACAATCGACATGGAAGGAGTATTTCAATCCACTGCTGGATGAGGATTCCCCACACCATGACCCACTAGTTACAGCGCCTGATTGACGATCTCAAGGTTACGAGTTCCAATTTTGTCTAATCTATTATCCTCATCATGTTAATACAAATGTGTATCGCTTTGTCAGAAGCAATTTCCATTCAGATATACTGGCTCTGCCATAGGAAGGTGGGATATATACTACTGGGTCAGGGCCACCAACAAAGGTCAGAACCACCCCATGCACACACTATTTTTCACGAGGGTCTTGCATTTCCATTTTGATGTTTGGATACTGCTCTTTAATGAGTCCTTTGCATGGGGAGAAAAGCATTTTCCTCCAGGGTATCCAGAGCAGACCAACTCTGGAATAAGTGGGAACACTTGAAGGGTCTAAAAAAATTAGTTAAAAGTTTATCAGCTGACTCCTGGCCATCAGGCATTACTAAACCTGCTGGCCCAGCAAATAAAAAATCGGCAACCTATGAATCAGAGATGGGAAAAGCCATTTAAATTACATACTGGAATAATATAGAGTAGACAAATGATCAATCAACCATATTTAGTATAATTTAAATACAAACGGCCAATTACTTTGAGGTGTGAAATGTAATTAACAATTACAAAGGAAAAGAAATTACACATTTAAATTACATCACTTACACTGCTCATCTCTGCCATCAACCCTTGAATCCACAGCTCGGCCTCTTAACACGTAACTAGCATAACAATCTTGCTGGGGAGCTCACCTCGATAGGCCATGGGTGGTCCAGGCTTCCTGCCCATGGGCCCTCCTGGCGGTGGCCCTCTCGAGGGCATGGTCGCGCCTTGCTGTGGCCCCCGCGAGAGGCTCCGGCCCGCCAGCGCGGCCGCTCTCTCCTGCTGCTTCTGCGCCAAGTCTCTGGTGGACACGGTCTCCGACACCACGGTGCACCGTGGCTGGCTCCCTACAACTCCTCCCGAGCCCTCGTGGGGCCCAGATAGCCGCACTCCCAGCCTGGGCCCAGTATCGAACCTCCGTGGTTCTGCCTGCTTTGGTGCCTGAGCCGGACCGGCTTGTTTTCTGGGTCCCTGGGCAGGTCTCGGTAGTCCCTGGGAAGGCCTCGGTAGTCCCTGGGAAGTCCTCGGTGGTCCTTGGCTGGACCTCGGTTGTCCATGGCTGGATGCCGGCTTTATTCCCTGGCGCTCAACACTCGGTCTTGCTGACGGATTGCTGATGGGCTTACTGCTGCCATGGGGAGGTTTACTCGAAATTCTGGGTAGTTGTTGGCTCTTGGAACGTGGTTCCTGATCAATGCTCTGCTTGGACAGACCTAAAATCCCGCTCTCTTTGTCTGGTGTCTGCTTCACAATCACAGGTTTGCTGGGCCCTTTAAGGCTTGCTGATGATGCCAACGATGGTGACGATGATGACGAGGGCCGGCTCACCTTGGCACCAGCAGATGATGAGCCATTAAGTTTTACCGGCAGGGCAGCCTTACCCTCTGGTGCAGGTTTCCCTGCAGAGGCATGCCCCCGACTGCTGCCCTCTCTGCCACTGCTGTCCCTGCTGTCCCTATCATCCCTGCCATTCCTGTCGTCCCTGGTGTCCCTACCGTCCCTGGTGTCCCTACCATTCTTGATGTCCCTACCATTCTTGATGTCCCTACCGTTCCTACCATCCCTGGTGTCCCTACCATCCCTGCCGTCTCTGCCGTCCCTGCCATCCCTGCCGTCCCTGCCGTCCCTGCCGTCCTCTTTGGTTTCTTTCTTGTCACTAGGCTGTCCCTTTTCCCTCTTTTTGAGGACAGTATCCAGGTACTCCCGCTGCCGGACCTCCAGCTGTGTGAGTCCGTTGATATCGACCTCCTTCTTGACAGGCGGCGCCTTCGGTACAAGCGGCACGGGCTCATGCTGCTTCTTCTCCGCCAACTTCAGAAGCTCCATGAAGCTCAGCGATGGCGCCGCCTTAAACTGCGCCTTTGCCACCTTTTTCGTCTTATCCCTGGACGTTTCCACACCCCCCGGAACCCGCTCCTGGCTCCGTGCTGGTGCGCCGGAGTCATATCGCGGTCGCTTGGCAGGAATGGAGGTGGTGGCCGATTCCTGCACCGAGTGCTTGTTGTGCACGTTGCATCTGTCGCCGTCACTCGAGTCGCTAGCGCAGTGCTTTTCGCGATCTTTTTTCTTCTGGTGCTGCTCCCCTTCCCGCTGCTGTCGAGTGGGCTTTTCTTTCTCGATGACGGGGATGCCGTTGTAGCCATGGAAGTTGTCCTTGGTTCGTGATGCCATCGCCCGGGCCTTGCGCGTGGTATTAAGCTCGCTGCGCTTAGCCAGCAGCTCCGCCTTACGCTTCTCATCGTCCACGGCTGGGCGCACAAACAAGTTAGTTCCATGGCAGCATTAATATAAATAACACAATATATATAAAACTTATTTACACAGGATAACCAAGATTATTATAAAAAAAACTTTTAACACGGAAATGCACTATGTTAGTGTGGCACCATCTATAATTTTTACTCTGTTGCTTTGTTTTGGGTTATTTTTTTACTGAGTTTTATGTTGATTTAGAAAGCTAACCAGGATTGTAACCTGGATAGTGCATGGATGAATGACCACCGCGAATAAAGCAGGTGTTATAAGCTGCTGCGTGGATACAATGTAGGCAAAGAGCAGAGCAGTAAAATCCATTGTTACACTATACTATGCTCCTCATCTTCTGACCAGTGTGGTCAAGTATTGTGAAACAACTCCCATGGCCCACACAGGGTGGGAAGACATTCCAGCAGCAGTGGATTGTCAAGAGAGCTAATCATTTATACATTCTGCACTAAACTGTACTGGGAACTTCCATATAATTTGATATGGTTGAAGTGCATTCATCAGAATTGTAAGATTACGTGTTCAAATACCAGTCAGGTATCTGGCCCAGCCCCTTCACCCCTCGGAGGTGATTCAAATGAGGACCACTTTGTGAAAATGCAATCGTAGTAGACTGACTTCTAGGTCTGCACTGCAAGACAGCTGTCATTTCCGTGTGCTCCCAACAATCTTAAATATATTAAAGGGCCAATGTAAACAAAGGATACCTACATCTACCTTACAAACATAACTTTCATAACGTAAGAATGCAGTGTTTGATTTGCTTTGAAAAACATAATGTATTGCATCATGCATAATTTATACAGTGAAAGTGGCCTCCCCATTTAATTGTGCACGAGTGGTCCCCTCACTTCCATTGGTGAGCCTGAGTTGGCTATAGGAATTCCACAATCTCATGGCAAAAGCCAGTCTATCCATGACAACCACTGTTGGCTTCTCACAAAGAAACTAATTTCATTGATCCTGCAAAGACTAAGGGATGGAGTCAACCCCTGACCAGCATTGTAACTCATACCCTTCCAAATCGTGAGTCACATGGTGCCATCTACTGGAAAATGTACCCATGTATTTCAGTAACCATTGTCTCGTACACTCACCTTTTTTACGTTCGTCCTCCTCTCTTCGACGGAGGAAGGCCTGCACAGCTGCAGACTGCACCCCCTTCACTTTGGGGTCTCTCTTTGGGGGGCCCACAGCCAGGCTATACCTCTTCTTCTCACACAAACAAAAAACACACACAGATGCCATGTTTAGTTTCATACAGTGTAGGGGGGAGATGCTTGAGGAGAGCACCTACTAAGATTGCACAAGCTTGCAATCCAACAGTTTGGAGATAAGCGTCGGCCGCAGATAATGCACACTTGTGAAACTCTCAAACATGTTGAATGGGAATGTGGCCAGGCAATGGTAGTACAGCAAGTCGGTTCGTGAACCTGTCTGTAGGGAACTTTGTAAATTACATGTTTATTGTTTTTATTGTAAGGCTGAAATGGCACACAAGAGGGAAATGTGGCTAGCATGTTTATCTTCCCAGTGCCGATGTTCACATGTAACATCAGATACTTAATGAAGGCTGAAATGTCTTATGGGAGGCCCAGGTTAAAATTGTATACCGCCGATGCTGGAATCGTGGCCAAGATTTGTACCCGGGACAACTTGATGTTGGTATGGCGTCTTAACCACGAGACCCCACTAGCCATGAATACAATTATCTCTTTGCATGCACATGTTCCTCAGACTTCTAGAACACTATTGGAGGCAATGCATCACAATGTGATTCTATAGAGGCAATAAATACATTTATAGATACCTCAAAAATATGATCAACAAATGTTGGAAAAACAAAAACTGTGAAAGGAGACTCTGTAATTTTGTATAAGGAAAGCTATCTTCGTACAAAAGCAATAAATATAGATATTGGTCACAGCAATCAGAATTTAAAAAAAAAACAGGAGGCAAGCCCTGGTCAATGCTTATTTTAGCAAAACGTTTTTTGCAACCGATTATGCAACGCTCAAAGCATCCAAGGCATGCTAACCCTTCTTGTCAATCAAGTAGGTGCAGATGATGCAGTTTGGCAATGCCCCACTTAACATGTAAAAGACCCATTTTTCATTTTTAAACTACTTTACACGAGACAAAGGATAGCCACAGCCTAATCTATGTTGTCAGAACAGATAACTACATAAAGACACCATAGCAGAATAATGAAAACACAGGTAATAGTAGACATCCGTTGATAACGGTATAATAGGATTAGATGAGTGTAACTTCATTCTTTGGTTCTTTCGGTAAAGTCACATAGATAGAAAAATTATAAAATTATAAAAAATCACGACGTTTCGATCGCAACACAAGTAATCTTCCTCAGGTGAACAAATATAGCAGGCGGACTGCTGAGGCAGGAATACAATAAAACCTTGGTTTGCGAGTAACTTGGTCTGCCAGTGTTTTGCAAGACGAGCAAAAATTTTAAATAAATATTAATTTGATAAACGAGCGAGGTCTTGAAATACGAGTAGAACGTGTATACGCTTTGTCTGCCGAGCGTCACGTGATCACAACTGATATGCGAGTGCTTTGATATACGAGTGCTTTGGATTACATACACGTTTCCGGAGCGAATTAGGCTCGCAATCCACGATTTTACTGTATAGCGAGAGCTACTGCAGCCCAAGGCAGAGCCACTGCAGCTTAGTGAGAATTGTATTTTATGTTTTATTTGTATTATTTCTCTTCTACATGACTTTACCGAAAGAACCAAGAAGATGAATCCCTGCAGTCACGAAAGCTTTAAATCGAAAGCATTAAATAATTCTTATTGTATTACAGATCAGCAGATCAAAGTGTTACGGTAGTAATTGAAGATAAAGCCCATATTTTGGGTTGTCACTCACGCTTCAATTAACTATATGGTTGAGTAATGGGGTTAGGTTAGTTAAGACTAAATGTTGGACTAATGAACAATAGGTTACATTTTGAGTGAAGGATTAAGGTTTAGATTTGTAAGCTCGGGAAGATGATACATCTGTGGCATTCCACTGGCTCATTTTGGTCAAGAGACGTCAAATAACAAATCTTTGATTATTGCGTGGATGTTTCCGCTTGTGCTGTGTAGCTCTCTGATGCGTGTACAGTGGTCCCTCGGTTAACGATATTAATTGGTTCCATGAAAATCATCGTTAATTAAAATTATTGTTCATCGAATGTAGGAAATACATATTAAAGGCTTAATTTGTTCCAACACGATCGGAAGCAGACCTTTTTCACCCTAAAAACAAAGTTTATCAAACTTAAATACGCAATTTTAATAAATAAACGTTATAAGAACATGAAAGCATTATTTTCAATAGAAACATGGATAAATAATGCATAAACGGAGCGTACAAATGTGCATAAATAGAGCACAAAATAAATAAAATTACCTTAGGCTAAGAAGATGGGATGGCTTAAGGGGTAAATGGAGAAGTTTAAAAGCGAGCCAGTTGCTCTCAAACCGCTTATAGAAGGGCGTCGATGATTGGCTGAGGTCTGCTGAGTCCACTTAGGAGCGCTCCGGTTGGCCGAAATTGGCGGTCGCGTGATATCGTAAACATATCGTTAACCGAAAAGGTATCGTTAATAGAAACAATGGGACCCAATAAGATGCGGATGGTTAACCGAAATATCATAAATCGATGACACCGTAAACCAAGGGACCACTGTACAATCCGAATATACATTGAGATGTTCCATAACATTTGAAAATCCCTACAGTGCAATTTTCAGCACACGTGGCACAGCAGGAGTAGCTTGCCATTGTAGCGTCTGTTGCAAATGTCCAAACCAAATGCCAACGGGGGAACAATCTGCTGGCAAATGCAGTGGGGGGAAAAATCACTTCATGTTGTCACCTTTTTCGGGGCCAATTTATAACAGACAACAGAACTGCTTCCGTGTTTTTGTTGAAATGCACAAAAAAACTAAATTTTACGTAACGGTGATTAAGATCAGACTATGACATTAAGGCAGGAAGCCTTCCTCTTATAACGTGCTCAATATTCCAAGCGTGTTTTTAGAAATTAATCACAAGCTTTGCAAAATTACGTGGTGAGGAGGAAGGGGTGGTGTAGTGATAGAATTAAATGTACTTTTAATACAATTTACAAACATCCCCAGACACCCTAACAGTATTGGAGCCTCGGTATAAATTCGACGCATATATCGTATTTTTTTGGCAAAGTACATGCCAGATAAGTGATTTGCTCATGACTGCCACCCTTTCACGCAAGTACACAGATTGAAGCCATTAACAGCCCTTAATATTGACTTTTAAGCGAGTTTATCTTAAAATAAATGCATACAGCAATAGTAAGCTGCCTCGAGTGCCACGTCCACTGAAAAATGCTCCATAGAGAATGTTTTTTTAGGGAAAATGTCAAAACTGGGTGGTTTTTAACTTTTGCCGACAAAACTGGATCCCAAATGTCAAAACTGGGTGGTCTTGGAAAACGACAGGCAAAACAGGGTGGTGCTTTTTGATATGACAAAACTGGGTGATGTTCAATGTGGACAAATGTCAAAACTGGGTGAAGAAGGTGTACGATTTAATGTATCATTTTGTACACGTTTAGGTCCTTGCGTTATTCATCCATATGTCGCCACAGATTTAGAGCGTTCCAAATGATGTTTCTCGTGGCTCATGTTCCATACCTTGCACCACAAACTTCCCATTTGCATACTGGCACAGTGTGCCAGCTCGCTTACTTGCCGTTTGTATACTGGCACAGTGTGCCAGCTCGCTACTACAGTAACACTTACTTGCCATATGTATACTGGCACAGTGTGCCAGCTTGCAACTACAGTAACACTTTCAGCTCGCGAACATACACGAACTTGCCATTTGTATACTGGTACAGTGTGCCAGCTTGCATGCTACACCTACTACAGTAGAACAACGGTAGATAATGTTGGTCGTTGGGGTGCTGGCACACTGTGCCAGCGTACAAATATCAAGTGTGTGTAGTTATATGGTGCTGGCACACTGTGCCAGCATACTAATACCAAGTGTTTAGATGAATGGGGTGCTGGCACAGTGTGCCAGTATACAAATACCAAGTGTTTGGATGAATGGGGTGCTGGCACACTGTGCTAGTATACAATTATCAAGTGTATTTGACAAATGTCAAAACTGGGTGCACCCTGAGTGTCCAAAACTCAAGTTTTTGGCCACCCAGGGTGCACCCAGTTTTGATATTTGGGATCCAGTTTTGTCGGCAAAAGTTAAAAACCACCCAGTTTTGACATTTTCCCGTTTTTTTTACTTGACGGAAGGTATGATACGTTTTACTGCTTTTTGACTGACATCAACCAGTGTAAACCACACATAATAAAAAGCAAATGTCACAAACCTAGAAATGTAACTCTTTATGCCAACCCTGTTTATGTGGACAGATCGCTAGAATGCACAATGGCCAATAGATAATACTAGTGACGGAATGCCGACCAAAGGACAGAATGCCTGATATGATCATGGTGGAAACGCAGCCATGCGGACAGATTCATGTGCAGGAGTGAGATGGACTGGCATCACGGCCTCATGAGGGATGATTATGGCATGGAAAGGTTTCATCCAGCAGTAATAAGAACAGAGCTTATGGCGACTAAGTGGGCAAACCATACATCCATGACCTCCTGTGGACAATAACTGTGTGGTCCATGCCGACAGCCCACTGTTTCCTGGGTCATAGCCGAAACTTCAGTAGAACTCGGTGGATGGGGTGGTGGTTCATAATGAAATGGACATAGCGAGACATGCTGCTGAGTAATGGGAGGGGCTGTAGTAGGTAGAACGGCAAGTTGCTTTTTGTTAAACCGGCTATTAATTTAGCAGTTTCAGTGTTCTCGCCTGTAGGGTTTCTCATGGTTTCCTTCCACTCGTAAAAAAAAGAGTATTTAGCAGAAAAGGCGACAAAAATTCCTCAGGTCCATCGTATTATGGCGCTGCAGTGATGTTAGTTGACGTGGAATGACATCACTACCATATGTTTTATACTGGTAGGAACGAAGTGGGCCAGCCACCAATAGATTATTTCGTTCGTCCGTCCAACCGTCCGTCCGTGTAGCAACATCGCCCCCTACTGCAAACACTTGGCATGACCCTACAAAAACCTTTAGACTCAGTGACGCTTTCCTGGCTAAACAAGTGTAACATTCCCTTATAATTCCCTCAGATAGCTTTTAATTAAAACATTTAAATTAATGAGGCTTTCCTGGCTAAACACGTGTAACATTCCCTTATAATTCCCTGAGATAGCTTTTAATTAAAACTTTGAAATTAAACAAAAAACTTACAGCGCCCTAAAGCCTACAACTAGGCCTAAAGCCTAGAACTAGGCCTCAAAGTCTCCCTTCGTATCGTCCGATTCGGTGTAGCAACATCGCCCCCTACTGCAAACACTTGGCAGGACCCTACAAAAACCTTTACACTCAGTGAGGCTTTCCTGGCTAGACAAGTGTAATAATACATTATGTTTATATTCTTTGGTTATTCGTTCCTACCAGCCCACCCCGCAGGATCCTGTTTAAGTGATTCAGGGCGTGATCGCAATTGAAAAGTTTTTGTTCTTTACAACGAAGCTTAATACCGATGTCTGCACCGAGCTAAGCATTTTAAAAAATAAGAAAAATAATCTGATTTAATGAGGCTCGTGTTCCCGCGCGTTATCCAAAAGGACACGTGAAACAATTTGCTGTACTGTAACTCCACTGCTGGATGAGGGCCTCACCCTACGCGGTGTTGGTCACGGGCAGGGATCGGCAACCAAAATAACCAGATAAGTAATTTCCTTTCGAATTCGGTAAAAAAAAATGAAAATTTCAAGAGCCGCAATTAATGTGAACACGAGACGGTCCACCCAGGTCTAAGTTGCGCTCTTTTGGTGATCGTGCTTTTGTTAGCGTGGCACCGAAACTATGTAACGCCTTTCCACTTGAAATCAGGCAGAGTAGGGAGATGTATGCCTGCTTTGAAAACCCCATCTCTTTAAACGGAGCCTTCCCTCTTTAGTTTGGTCGGTTGCCCTGGTTCTGTTTAGTTTCCTGCTTTTCATGCATTGCGCATTCGGACCATTGGATGGAATGCGCATTATACATTGGAATTGTTAATAAATAACCTCACGAAGCAATCCCTAAACAGCCGTATGCTGCTTCGGAGCCGTCGGCTGCCGACCCCTGGTCATGGGGGTGGTCGAACCGTATTCAACCACGCTGGTCAGTCTCAACTAAAGGTAAAGTCCATCTACCACTCGCCACTGAGGTTTGCCGTGGACGGTAAATTAACTCGGGCGGATGTTCATAGCGCGGTGTCACCAACCACGACGCCACCGTGTCTATACTATTTGATTTCACCAGGTAAGGCCCAGTGAGCTATTTAGATATTTTTTCAGAAGCGACCTGGACACAGAGACAGCTCAACGAAGTGGCTTATCATATGGAAATGTATAGCAGGCAAATACTCGGAACGCACGTTTTTAAAATGTGGAGTAAAAAACTGAAGAATCCGCAGAAAAATACACGCCAACACCAGTCGAGGTATTTAACATCTCGCCACCGTGGCACCCTAAAAAGGCATTAAAATTTAAATAAAATGTAAGTTTATTTGCTGACTTGGGCGCTTCAAAAACTATTAAATTTCTCAGTCTAACGCGGGTAAGAGCCACAAAAACCGACGTTAAACCACGAGGCCTAGTGCGGGCGGTCGGACCCCGCGCCTTGCCCGAAACTTCCGCCGGATTTGGTGCGAGGCGAGCGGCAGGGGGAGGTGGGGACGAAGCGGGTCCCCTTAACAACATACCTCGGTGCGGACGGACTCTTTGTTTTTAGAAGCTTCCGAAATCAGTCTGTTGAAGTCCATCTTGTCGACGCTATCCCGCGTCGCGTGCTCTTGGTGTCGTTATTGGTGGTGTCTAACAAGCGACGCGAAAGCGAGGACCTTTAAACCGCACAGCAATGGCAGCCGCCGCCGCCGCCGGCTGGGTGGGGAAAATGACGCCTTCTCGTCGCGATGACGTGTATCGCCGCGTGACGTCATCGTGCAGATACGTTTTCGTCGCGTGACGTCATCGCGCAGATACGTTTTCGTCGCGTGACGTCATCGCGCAGTTACGTTTTCGTCGCGTGACGTCATCGCGCAGTTACGTTTTCGTCGCGTGACGTCATCGTGCAGTTACGTTTTCGTCGCGTGACATCATCGCGCAGATACGTTTTCGTCGCGGGACGTCATCGCGCAGTTACGTTTTCGTCGCGTGACGTCATCGCGCAGTTACGTTTTCGTCGCGTGACATCATCGCGCAGATACGTTTTCGTCGCGGGACGTCATCGCGCAGTTACGTTTTCGTCGCGTGACATCATCGCGCAGATACGTTTTCGTCGCGTGACGTCATCGCGCAGTTACGTTTTCGTCGCGTAACGTCATCGTGCAGTTACGTTTTCGTCGCGTGACATCATCGCGCAGATACGTTTTCGTCGCGTGACGTCATCGCGCAGTTACGTTTTCGTCGCGTGACGTCATCGTGCAGTTACGTTTTCGTCGCGTGACATCATCGCGCAGATACGTTTTCGTCGCGTGACATCATCGCGCAGTTACGTTTTCGTCGCGTGACGTCGCTGCGTACCCGGCGCCTCCAGGAGTCTGTTGAAGTGCCATCTTTTTTTTCTCGACGGCATTTGCCGCCGCCTGACGTCATGACGTTCGGAAACGTCGTCACGCGGTGACGTCGTTACCGCGTGACGTCATCGCGCACGCCGCGTTTTACTTTCGCTTGGGCAAAAAAAAAACTCAACGCATTCGTCAATAACCACCGTGGGTGTGTGTGGCCTTAACAAACAGGACCCTGCGGGGTGGGCTGGTAGGAACGAATAACCAAATATAAACATAATGTATTATTACACTTGTTTAGCCAGGAAAGCCCCACTGAGTCAAAAGGTTTTTGTAGGGTCCTGCCAAGTGTTTGCAGTAGGGGGCGATGTTGCTACACCTAATCGGACGATACGAAGGGAGAGTTTGAGGCCTAGTTCTAGGCTTTAGGCCTAGTTGTAGGCTTTAGGCCGCCGTGAGTTAATTTTTAATTAAAATGTTTTTATTATTTATGTAAAAGCTTTAAATTTAAATGTTTCTATTTAAAAGCATCAGGGAATGTAACATTGTTAAACATTAACTCCCTTGCACACACGCGAGGGTACGATACGAAGGGAGAGTTTGAGGCCTAGTTCTAGGCTTTAGGCCTAGCTGTAGGCTTTAGGGCGCTGTGAGTTAAATTTGAATTTAAAAGTTTTAATTAAAAGCTATCTCAGGGAATTATAAGCGAATGTTACACTTGTTTAGCCAGGAAAGCCTTATTAATTTAAATATTTTAATTAAAAGCTATCTGAGGGAATTATAAGGGAATGTTACACTTGTTTAGCCAGGAAAGCCTGAGTCTAAAGGTTTTTGTAGGGTCATGCCAAGTGTTTGCAGTAGGGAGCGATGTTGCTACACGGACGGACGGACGGACGATATAATGTATTGGAGGCTGGTCCACTTCGTTCCTACCAGTAAATTAATGCCGTATATTGTATGCAATTGGCGACGTTTCAGGCAATGGTCCTTCATAGCATCTATATCCGCTATGAAATGACTTGGGGCCGTTGTCCGAAACGTCACCTGACCTATAACATTTTCCTTTTAAGGCCACCGTGTTAATAATGCACAGAGTTTGTTGTCTTTGTTTGTGCTTTGTACTCCACCAGAGCAGTGTGTCTCTCTTATGGGGGTCAACGCTCAGGTCGCACCCCCCAAACAACCCCCGTCAGTAAGGGGCCGTCCATAAATGACGTCACGCACCTAGGGGGGGGGGGTCAGACATTTGTGACGATGTGTGACGAGGGGGGGAGGGGTTTGAGAAATGTGACGTCACATCAAAATGCGCAACTTTAAATAAATATAGACAACGCGTTCTACTTAATTAAATATACTTTTTAATAAACGTTTTCTCCTACAACATCAGAGTGCAGCGCCACATTAAATACGCGCTACAATGACAATAGTTCAAAGCGATTTGAAGCATGTTTTATTATTGGGGGGTGGGGCAGAGCTTTGTGACGTCATATTTGAGGGGGAGGGGTCTGACTTTTTGTGACGCCGTGTGACGAGGGAGGGGGGGATCAAAAATCGTCCAAAATCGCGTGACGTCATTTATGGACGGCCCCTTATGTGTTGAATCAATGCCGGTCGGTGGGCCGTGCAGCTGATGGGACGCGTGCAGCAGCAGTAGCTGGTGCAGTGCGTTCACGCCGAGACCCGAGTTCGATTCCCGTTCACAGCCAACACCAGCGACGATTATCTGAACCGGCCCTGGTTCCTTACCCACGTCGAATCAACCTCAAAACTAGCGCCTGGCGCCATGTGTGAACATCGCCACAAGGGAGACAAAGACGGCCGGGCGTGCTTGTTGTTGACTCCACCACCCCGTCGTGTGCACCGCCGGCCTTCATTGGTGTTCGCTAACAGCACTTGCCCCAACAATATGTTTACGTCGATACAGGCGGACGGGGGTGTGAGAATCTTTGTGTTTGTAACAGCAGCCGCACGTGGAACCGCCGGCTGTTGATGTGAGGTAGTCGCCTGGCAACCGTCGCCTGGCAACCGTCGCCTGGCAACCGTCGCCTGGCAACCGTCGCCTGGCAACCGTCGCCGTGGAGACGCAAGGACGCGCCGCCACAGCCACCGCAGCCGCAGCTGTGAGCCGCAGGCACCAGCACGAGTGGTGGCGGTGGTGGCAGCAGCAGCAGTAGCAGTGAGTTAGAGATAGAGGGGAGGCTGCTGTTGCTGTAGCAGTGAGAGAGAGTCTCTCTCTCGCTCTCTCCGTGTGGCCATTGATTCAGTTTGGTTTGCTTGTTCTTGTTGTTGTTCTTCTTGTTGTTGTCAGATTGAAGATGTCTCTGTCCACGCCGGAGCTGCCATTCTTGCCCGGGAACTCCTTCAGGGACCCTGCCGTGAGTGAGATTCGAACTTCGTGGGGGGCTCGAACCACCCCCCCCCCCTCTCTGCCCTTGTGAATCCCCCTTTTAAAAGTGTATTTGTACGTCTCCTGTGCGTGTTATTTTGTCTCCTCCACAGTGTGCGTGTCTCTCTTGTGTCTCTTCATCCTGTGTACGTGTTGTTTCTCCCTCTCATCTATTTCGTTGTCGCCTCTGATATCTCCTCATTGTGTGTATTGTGATCCCTTTTCTGTCTCTTATGTATATCATGTCTCCGCCTTTCACACATTCTCCTGCATCTCTTACGTCCCCTGTTCTACTCATGTACGTTGAGCGTCTTTCGCACCGTACGTAGCCAACCATGCTGATCCTCTCTCTTGTGCCTCCCTCGTGTGTGTCTCCCTCTTGTGTGTATTCTCTTTGGTGCCTTACATATCCTTTTTGTGTCTGCTTGTGTTACTCGCTTCCACTCTTGTGTCTATTGTTTCCACGTTGGATCCTCCTTCTTGTTGTTGTTGTTTGTGTATTTGGCCTCTTGTGGCGAGTTCTTTTCAACCGCACCGTGTGCGTGACTTCATAAAAGTTGCACAAAAGCATTTTACAGGATTTACTAACATATCTTGATAATGACGCGTGCATTAAAGCATAGTAAGGCGGTAAAAATTGTCCGTGTTTTTAATTTAAGGCAGAGGGTGTATTCCAGTGTCTCAACGAGAGTGGAGCTGTATTTATCTGTCTCTATAAGAGGTTTATTTTCAGTTAGATCGCCTACATATAAATGTGTCGTTAAACCCGCCACCACCCGACCAGCCAATTAGTAAGGTTTGTCACGTAAACAGAACGTGCCAATTCGTTACTAGTACAGCACACCGGTGTGTTGGAGAGTAAACCCACAGCATTTACAATCCAAGTACGACGTTTCACCAGTAATTACAACTAGCTTCATCAGGCGACAGCCAGATTTGTGGAGAAATCCTGTTTCCTATTGTATCTGTCTCTTTGCGTTCATGAGTCAGGGGTGGAAATCCATACAATTAAACGTTTCATTTTTATAGTGTTCAAATGTAAACAAAAAATATCGCAAGATGCCTGACAGAAAGGAATTCTGATTAAATGTATCTTAAGTGCAATAGAGAAAGTAATCTTGATTTGAAGCTTTCGTGACTGCAGGAATCCATACTATTTGGTTCTTTCGGTAAAGTCAGATCCAAAGAGTATAAATAGAGAAAGGTTAAAACAGGCAAAAAACAATAGTAAAACAAATGCAATTACTATTGTAGGGAATCGTAGGCAGAAGATAAAAGACGAGTCTTGAGCAAGATCTTCAAACAGAGGGAGAGCCAGCAATCCAGATATTATGGAATACGTATGTTGAATTTCTTTCGCACCGTACGTAGTCAATCGTGTTAATTGGAGGTACTATACCAGTGCAACCATTGACTTATCATCAGCATAATCATCAGCAGTGTGCATGTGCATATCTGGGGTCTATTGTCCATTGACTTATCATAAAGTTGTACTCAATTTAACGTCTATGTGCGATGATAAGCTGAGATTTTCACGCTGTTTATAATCACAGCAGAATTACGATTCCACATAGCCAAATCGCAACAGCAAACTTACACGTAACCCTTGAACGATGTTTGCTGAGAGCAGAAGCCCAGGTTCCATCGGCTGCAGACGCTGGACTACAGAAATGGGTACGCGCAGCCACGGGTGGCGAGCGCCGGCGTGGGCACAGAGGCACCACAGTGGGGTCCGACGCAAGTGCAGCCCTCGTTGGCCGAGCTGGAGGAGATGGCCACGCAGCAGGCCCTTCTTACGTATGGGCCACCCCGCACAGCCACCACCACCGCCGTTCGTGCCTGCGCACGTCATCTGGGACAAGAAGGTGATACATTATTTATGGCAGGAGCAGTGGTGGTGCACATGTCCTCTCCGTGGTCGCGTGGATTTTTCTCCTGGTCCTCCAGTTTTGCCCTCCACATTTAGAATCAAAATGCGTTTAGAGTATTTACCTGCTTTTATATTTCCACGTGATAACCCACTTCGTTGAGCTATCATTTGTGGCCATGTCTCTTCTGAAAAAGAGCTGCATAGTTCAGTGGGCCTTGCCTGTTACATAAAACTGCACTGAGACCCACAGATCGGACAGCCTAAAGTGGCCAGGCTATTAAGAGGGGTGTGGAAATTGGACAGGGGAGCTGCATTTAATTTAATGCACTAGGGCCCATGCCAACCAGGCTACATCACTGGGAGGCGATGGCTGCTTGTTACAATGAGCATGAAATGTTAAGTCTATCTGTCAGTTTGTCCGTCCATTTGCGGACACTTCACATTATTTTCCAGAAAGCTAGAAAACCTCTTAAACAATCATGACTAAACTTAAGATACAACTTACCAATGGCAACAAAACAATTACAAGAAAGTGTTTATATTTGTATTTAATGTTATGTCATGCACGATACAGTATCACATTCTATATGGATGGCTTATAAACTGATTGCATTACGTGTATTTCTTAATATGAGCAGAGGTATTAGGATTAAAATTATATGATTCAAAGTTGAATGTTTAACTTATTTGATAATTCACAATAAAGGGTTTACTGAGACCAAAGTTTAGTAAGTCACCGACACTAATGGAGTAAAGTCAACCAGAAGAACTGTGTTTAGATTAATGTGCCTTTTCAACACTCTTGCACTACTACTGTATTCATTTAAAGATTTCAGGTGCAATTTTGTTGTTACAACAGAAAAAGTAAAATGTTGAGCATTTTTGTAACAACATTTTCGAAGAATTACTAAAAATAGCAGGTATCATACATGGTGCTTCATTACTGTTTCAGGCATCCTTGAATGTCACAAGTTTTCAAGAACTTGTTGAACATCGTAAGTTGTTTGCAAGTGCAGCCACTTGACATTATTACAAAGCTGTGAGCACAGTATCCAGTGTTCTATCCACTTTCGCATATTGAGAGGCCATGAAGGTTTTTTTTTTAAACTGTTGACAATGCGAAGAACATTGTCAAATAAAGTGCAAGTGACTATCAGGACGAAAATAAGGGACTGTATTGTTAGTGTTGTTAAAGCACGAACCGTCATTAACACTCCCCTATTAAATAAACATACATAAAATATGAAACACGCTAAGATTTTGGACAATGGCACTTCTACAGATCAGCACTGCTATGATAAATTGGTCCTGGTATTTGATTGAAACATTGTAATGATTAGATATGTTTGCCGTTTGTCCTCATGATGTCATTTCTATGAATACAACATCTAAACGCACCCCAATCTCAAGACATTTAGGGCAGTAATGTTAGTCTTACAGTACGCGGTGTCTTGTTATGAGGCACCTCCGATTAGCACAGTTGGTTACGTACGGTGTGAATGAAGTTCTATATACATACGAATTATGTGTGATAAGAAAGGTTAAATTTATTTAAAACAAGTTGACTTATACAATTGAGCACCTGGCTCCTCTGCTAACTACTTTCTTGAGCACACTATGCCAAGTGAATTGCCTTGTACAAATACTGTACTGTAATTAAATCAACAATGTTAAGCAATATAAAACATTTTGGTTCAATTTATAAAAGCTGCAATGAACATTATAATCTGTGACAAATATGTATCCACCTCAGTCAGATGTTCTTGGAACAAACAGAGGCATTCTGCAAACTTAAAATGCATACGAAATATTGGCAACATAAAACACTGTAATATTGTCACAAATAAAACAGGATTCTGTTGTAAAAATGTCCTTGCTTTACTTGTGCCAGGTGCTGCGGTTCGATGCCTACTTCAAGCAGAATGCGGACGAGTATTCTGACGAAGACGGATTCATTCGTCCGGTCATTATATACTATTACCTGGAGGATGACAGCATGGTGGTGATGGAGCCCCCGGTGGAGAACTCTGGTCTGACGCAGGGGAAGCTCATGAAGAGGCAGCAAATGCCTAAGAACAACGAGGGGCACACTTGGCACTGGAAGGACCTCAATGTGGCGACCAGCATCACGATGTACGGCAAGACTTTCCACATCATCAATTGCGACCGCTTCACTGCCGTACGTACCAAAGCCTACTTATATACAAATCAATAAAACACTTCATTCACTGCATTTTTATTCCCATTGTATGTATGTATGTTGAACTTCTTTTGCACCGTAGTACCCAACCATGCTCATCAAAGGTGCGGGGAAGGACAACTAACTAAACTCACAAAGCAGTCCTAATGAAATTCCCTACCATTGCCCTTTATCAGTCGTTCCCAAATGGTGGCCCATGGGACACTCGTGGTCTGTGAAGCCGTGGGAAGTGGTCTACAGAATTGGGAAGTGGTCCACAGAATTGTTGCAGATCCAATATTTATTTTCACAATACTGCACACCATAGATTTTTTTTTTACTGAATTGTGGTCTGAAAAAATTGTTGTGAGGGTTGACAGTGGTCCACGCATCCATAAGGGTTAGGAACCACTGCTGTATAGCATCTATATAGAGTAGTGTATGTCGCATCTTTTGTCCACATTTTTTGTTGTTTAATATGGGTTTTGTGGTTTATGTACCATTTCACGAGTTCATTTTCCATTCTCCATAGGTATTGACGTCTCATGCCCATATGTATATTAGTCAATAACCTTCCAAATTGACTATTTTAGCATTGTAATGTAACGATTAAGATGGGCTAATACTGTTGAGTCTCAGTTGAGACATTGACGTGTGTCCATACAGCGTCAAGGATACTGTTGAAGATCATTGTGCAAGGTCATGATCTAGGAACAACCTGTTTCCTTACTTTCCTTTCGCCTTGTTTTATGAATTGTTCATAAGAGTTTTTTTTTTAAACAAATGCACGTAGAATATGTTTTTTACTATTGCTCTTTGTTTCATTGATAATGTTGAAATGTGCATATAACGAAATGTAAAAATTAACAAAACGACAAATGGTTATAGCAGCATATGCATTTTTTCAATGTACGTGAATTTATGTTGCATTTGTTTAGCACTCACATAACATATCCGCCCAGTCACCTGGCCTTTGCCATTGCTGATACACGAGTCTTATTTAAAAATATTATTTCTATATATTATACTTCAGTGTATATATTATCTTAAATGATCTGTACGTTATGCCTCAGTGCGTACATCATGGTGTCCTCTTCCGCGCGATCTTCCTGTAGGATTTTCTGCAGAGCGAGGGGATATTGCTGAATGAGCCAGAGGAGATGCCATCAAATCCACGCCAGGAGATGCCTCCGCCAGCTCCGGCTGCCCCAATGCAAACCGCCTTGGACAAGCTCGGCCAGTTTCTCACCATGGACCGCAAGGTACCCTTTCCTTGACACATGTGAGGAAGCCGCTCAGCCATTTACATCTGATAGCACCTGATCACAAATATAATTATAACCCTCTGATGTGCTACCGGGTTTTACCGTAAGTTGCTCGGCATTATTTCTGATATTTTGTTCCACGTGTAAGGCAGCTTCTGCAGCAACTCAAGGATCCGGAGAGAAACGTTGCTGTTGTGCTCTGTGTTGGGCAGGTGCTGAGGTTCTACTGCGTATGGGATGACAAGGAGAGCGGCGAGGTTCGGCCCGTGGTGCTGCAGTACTACCTGGTGGACGACACGCTGGAAGTGCGAGAGGTTCACCAACCCAACGATGGCCGGGACCCCTTTCCCGTGCTCCTGCGACGACAGCGCATCCCCAAGGATCGTGGCTCCATCAGCCGTGGGTCCCGCACTCCAAGGGTTCAATGTCCTTATAATGGCTTGCCATGAACAGGCGCTATAGAAGTTTTCTAATTATTATAATTAGTAATAATAAATTAATCATAATAAAAACTATCTCATTTTAAGCATAATTTTACATCAATGGGTGCCACGGTGGCGAGATGTTAACGACCTCTCCTGGTATACACGAGGTCATGGGTTCGATCCTAACCCTGATGCCTGTATATTTGGAGTTTGCGTGTTTCGCTCTTCCCGTGGTCGCGGGGATTTTTCTCCAGGTCCCCCGGTTTTTCCCTCCACATTTATAATCAACATGCGTTTAGAGTATTTGGCTGCTATAAATGTCCACATGATAAACCACTTCGTTGAGCTCATTTTTGGCCAAGTCGCTTCTGAAAAAGAGCTATATAGCTCAGTGGGCCTTACCTGGTAAAATACAAAGTTTAATTTTTGTTTATAGGTGCAGCGCGCGGCCACTAGAGGGGGCCCTCTCCTGGGCTTAGGGGGCACCCGAAAAACAGACCACACGTGGCCGCGAACAAATGTAATGATAATTTTTATTGGATATTATAATAATAAGCATGTGATTTTAATTTTTACATTGGATTAGCTTTTAATTGGTCCATGTTGCGTATTGAAGCATTTTTAATGAACGTACCATGTTTATGTAAAAACATTTTTAATTTTATGGCACAATTATACTTAGGGCAAATACTCTACATGAATCATTATACCGTGTTAACCTGTTTCTTTGTTCTTATGATTTAGATTACATTGCAATTGTGATATCCAAGTCATCGCTTGACACATGTAAATGTCCTTTTGGCTCTATCGCAGCCTGCATCACCCTGTGTCAGAGAACAAACACAGATGTCACAGACCTAAAGTCACTTCAACAGACCTTTTTATCCTGACTACGGTTATTTATTTTCTAAGATTTGTAACGAGTGTTCTTATATCAATCAATCTCAAGTAAACCAAATCAATGATGGGTTTTTTTGCGACTGGCCTGAGCCCATTACCATGCTACTACACCTACGATTCAATTTACACGGCAGAGCTCCTTGCGCTGTGACACTGATGCTTTTAAATCACAGCTGCCAAGCACAGGCCCAGAAGCCCAGAACGCCAAGGGGCCAGCGATAAACAACATTCATGACGGTGTACAAGATAAGAGTTATTCTTTGGTTCTTTCGGTAAAGTCACGTATAAAGATAAAATAATAAATTAATTTAATTTATTATTTTATCTTTAACCAAAGAATAATTCCTGCAGTCACGAAAGCTCCAAATTAAGTAAGATAAGAGTTATATTTTTTTTATTGAGCAAGATTCTAAGAACTTGGGAAAACGAGATGAAGGAATGAAATATCAAAGTCGAGCAGGCTCAATAAAATAATAAGTATGACAAGTGTTTTGGCACTCGGGCTCAGGTGAAACAAATATGTGGGAGGATTAGGTGTGGCGGTCACAGCCTCCAGGATTCAGTTTTCTACTCATCTAAAGACCCTCGGCACCATACTTGACCAGAATATATCGTTTGATCACCACTCTACAAAATATCGCGTCTTGCAATGTTCATATCAGGGCTCTACGATACATTCTAGAATTGTTGAGTCATGACATAGCCAACACGGTGGCGTGTAGCATAGTTATATCGACAAGGCTTGATTATTGCAACTGACTACACTACGGGACGTCTGGAAAAATACATTACCAAGTTGCAGAGTGTCCAATATTATTTGCCACGTGTCGTGACGGATAATGCAAGATCCGACCATGTCCATCGAGTGCCTACTGAGCTGCATTATAAGGTTACACTCATTACACACAAAGTGCTTGCCACATATGAACCACAATACCTTGCTGATCCCATCAAGGAGTATAAATAATTCCGCAGAACTTCGGTCATCCGGCTTTTGGTGAACCATTGAACAAAGACGGTCACTGCATCGCACGCTTCTCGTATGCTTCTGCAGCCGTCTGAAATGCTGTTCCTTGTGGTATTAGAAAGCCACTGGAGCTATGCACTGTTAAATCTAAATTGGAAACTAATTTCTTTAGAACTGCTTTTGGTATTTAGTTTGTTGTCCTTCCCCCGTACCTCCGATTAGCACGGTTGGCTACATACGGTGCGAAAGAAGTTCAACATACATACAAACGTACGTCCTGCAGTATGGTTGTTGAACACAGTGCGAGGTGAGACGCCCTTCACACTATGCCCCCTGCCCCCCCCGCAGCTACGTTCCCATCGTGCGTCCTGGAGCTGTCAGACCAGGAGGTGTCGAGGTGGCTCTCGCCCAAGGATCTGGTCCTCGGGAAGGAGGTGGAGGTAATGGGACGCCGCTTCTTGCTGTACGACGCGGACCGTTTCACCAAGGACTTCTACCAGAAATACCTCAAGATGTCAGATGTCACTCCCGTGGAACCGCCCCAGCAGTACCCCTCGTACTCCATCACACGGGTGAGGCTCACTGCTCGACCCATTGGGTCTGTCTTGATATTGCATGCATATGAAACGGATGCGTTCATTTGTGACTGCACGGTGGTCGACATCTGTGTGCACTTTCTTCAAGAAAATATTTAGACTCCTGTATACATGCTTGCACATCTGTATGACAACCACTCGATCTCTTGATATATAGTAATACCCCGATTTACACCTTCCCCTTTGACAGTTGTTTCGCAAATATGTCGTCGGTTTATTATTAAAATTATTAATTTGCGTTACCTAAATCCACACTTACATCGCTGACTGCATCGTCCATCCTTTCTCGTATCCTTCGCCTCAGCCTTCGCCTCCACCTACCCTGTAAGTTTATTTGATTTACGTCGTTTCAATATTTGTCATCGCACCTTTCGAGAAAGCATCCCCTGACATTCACCAGGGTATTACTGTATATGGTTACGAAGACTATTTGTGTATGTATTTACAATGACATGATTACATTAATTTTGATTTCACTCATACCTACTATAATCACCCTGTCCTTAACACTCGTGACGTCACTCCACGTCGACCAGCCCCCCTCATTAATAATCATGAACAGGTTACGTCCTCCACATGGACGTCACTCCACATGGAGGGGCGAGGCGCCTCCTCCCCCCTCCTCGGCGTCAACTTGCAACCCTCACTACAAAGGCAGAACCCTCACGTCACGTGATCTCCGTAACGCTATTGAGACATCAAAGTAAAAAGGACGTCGTGATGAACAAGGGATTATAACCTTAAAATAAGTCTGTCACCACGGCCTTACAAATTGCACACGAATGGATGCAATGAATATCACGTCGCGGTCTGCTTTTCGCTTGCAAGTTTCAGATGATCTGCAGTACCACCGTCCTTGGATATGCAAAAGGCTAGTTGATACATAATTAACTAAATGATACATTACCAGAGCTGCAAGTCTTAGAACAGTACTCAAGTATCAAACAAATGTTTGATATCAGTTTATAGCTGTGTAGTGACATCAGGGATGTCACTGTATGGTGCTGGCCCAGAAGGGCGGCGCCGTTCGATGTTCCTACATCGTGGACAGCACAATGTGGGTGGCTGTGTGTAACACCAGCCCTAGCGGGGCTCGGCGAGCACTGGGATAGTGCAGGCACCATGCACAGCGTGTGGTGGGGGTTCCCCCGAGGGGGAGTGGGTGAGTGTCAGCCCAGGGGCAGGGTTGCCCGAGGCCATGGCACTCTGGTTGACCCCGTAGACACGTGATCCCGAGTGTCCACACAGGGGGCCCCAGGTGGGGGGGGCTAGTGGGTGATCACGTGTCCGGGGAGAGCTCTTGAGAAGGATCGAGAGGGAACGAGAATGCTCGAGAAGGCGGGCGGGGCCGAGGGCGGAGCGGCTCCGACCGTAGGGGGATATAAGGCGGGTCCCTGAAAGGGACCGGGGGCTCTTCGTTCTACAAGCTGGAAACTCTTCGTCCTACGAGGAACCACGTGGTCGGACACCCGAGTGAGGGTCCGACCCTTCGTAGCAGTAACTCCTCTGTATAGTGTAGTTAATTGGGTGGTCACCACCCTAGGTTGTATCTGGTAGAGGGGCAGTTACCCCTTTGTGTTTCACGGTGTTACAAATAAATGTGTTGCCTCTAAAAGGAACAACGTCTGCGACTCAGTTGGACACACTACAGCTGCATAAATGTTAATCTCTCGAGACCAACACATGTAGTGAATATTCCATTGACAACATTCTATCTGGCAGACCTAAACCGACAGTTCAAATGAGCCGCTTTTATGTGCCTTGAAAAGTGTTGTATCCGGAGGTGAAATACAAAATATGAATGCGGCTCATGTGTATTTCGTTTCATTGAAGGAAATTCCACCATACAATGGGCTTGGGTCCCTGGAGGACTCGCTGCAAAACTGCCTCACTCTGGTGCCGCAGCCGCCCAAGAAGGATGTTGTTAAAATGCTGGAGAACAACGGCAAGGTGCTGCGATACGAGGCTGTGCTGGTGAGAGGTCACACGTGAATGGTCCACGACAGGCATCCCTTCGTTTAATATCAATGGGAAGGCTCAGGGTTTTAAGAGCTCGCTCCTTGCAAGGAATTCAGTCGAGGTTAAAAGGTCAGCAAGGCCGATGCCACCACACCTTGTCGTCGCTGACCCTTTGTTACTGCCTACGAAGGTTTTTACGGATTTGCTGTACGGCTCTCTGATATGTTTTAAGATTGTACCTCATGTTGTGCTGATAAAGCTCCCCAGTACACGATCGCGAAACGTTGAGCATCATGCCAAACTACATTGAGTGCAACCCTAAAACACATCGCTACACTGCATTCCTTCGTTTTTGCAAAGTTGACACCTAACAGTTTTGCCTTAAAACCACCACTTACATGTCTGATGACCCATATATGGTATTTAAAATCAAAGTGAATTATTTGTTAAAGTATTATTATTAAATTCGACAACAATGTATCTCAGTTTCGATTTAAAGCTTTCGTGACTGCAGGGATTCTTATTCTTGGATCTTTCGGTAAAGTCACGTAAAAGGGAAACAATAAAATAATAAAAATATAAAACAATAAAATTCTCACGACGTTTCGATTGCAACACAAGCAATCATCATCAGGTGTGAAAAGCACAGCAAGGAAATAACTAATGACAACTGCATTATCCCCTGTGTGTCTTCTCCAGGACTCTGTGCGGGCAGTTGAGAAAGGACGGCGGTTTATCATCTCGTACTACTTGTCCACGGACGCGGTCAGCATTTACGAGCCACCCGTTCGTAACTCCGGTATCGTGGGCGGCAAGGTGCTGGAGAAGACACGCATCTCCAAGCCCGACACCTCCACCGAGAGCCCGGAGTACTACGGACCAGCCGACTTTGCCATTGGCGCTACTATTCACGGTATCCTCAGCATGCCTGTGGCGTTTCACTTCACCGTATCTTGCCCCTTAAGTGGAAGGATACCAACGCATTGCGCTTGGTAACTCTCCGATGTGTTTGCGAGACGTACTGCGTGGTGTTTGGCATGATGTTCGGCGTTTCGCTCGATGTGCTGGCAGCTAGGCGCAACTTTTAGTTTCTGCAGAAGCTTCCAGCACGTGGAGCGAAATGTCACACGTCATGCAGAACAGCACGCGGTACAACCCAAAAACAAATCAGAGAGCTATACAGCACAAAAGCAAAAGGTTACACAAAGTATTTTGCTTGACGTTATATCTGCATGTAGTGTATATACATATATGTTATTTGATTGTGTGTGCAAGCTTGTGGGTGTTGTTTGCCGATATTTCACAATGCTGGTCATTGCTGGTTGATGAAGTGGGAGGGGTCCTAATGTTAGCCATGTTTAGGAGTTGGACCAAAATACTATATCGTCACGATTATAGCGTAGTGCATGAACCACTGGACCACCACCCTACAAGAGGGGGTGGTTATTCCCAGCCACAGCTAACATCAGTGGCAAGTGATATATCGACCGGTCCTGTCCCCTGCCCTCTCATCAACCTGCACTGACCAGCAGGGTGAAATATGGCTAAATAATTTGAATGACTGATACAGTATAGGGAGGCCTTCATCCAGCAGTTGGTCGACAAAGGGCTGTGACATATAATGTTATTACTATAAACCAGTAGTGGGCTCTGCATCACACTATACAGGAGCCAAATGACTTGGTTCACTGAAGATATTAATGAAATATTATGAAGTGTTTATCACGAGACGTAAAGAAGAAACATATTTTGGCTGACTGCCGTATGAGAGAAACAAAGCAACATTTTGGCCCTATGTTTTCGGGGCACACAAATTGGCAAATTTTAGTTTGTGGTATTTATAAGCCCAGACTCAACCGTATTTGTGATACATTCCAGCTTTATAGCTGTTCTAGAATACAATTATAAATTACTTCAGTTACTCAGCCACAGAGCCAGGCACATATTCCTTTCCCAGTTTTTGGCTTGCTTTCACCTATCCACTACTCTCTAAGGTATATTCCTGTGCATACATTCTTACAGCCAAGTATAATTTAGTCCACGATTAAAACTCAGAACTATATGGAGGTCTCAAAGGTGCCAGAGCAGTAATCTTATAAGAGGATTTAACCCACAAAGCAACACAGCCAGTCATGCAGAGCAACCTTTATTCCAGAGCAACCCATTATGTAATGTATGTGTTACAAGGGAGTCTTAACAGATCAGAGCACACTTTCGTCACAATTTGACTTTGATTGTGGGGATGCGAGGGAAGTTATGCAGTTTGTTTTTTTTAAATGTGAAAATGCCATTTCGTCCCAGGGCATTGCGACCTCTGATTATGCAGAGTGTTGACAGTTGGGTGGCTTGTAGACTGCACACCGCAGGCATATTGGTAGCCAGCCAAAGCATACACTGAGGTGGATTTTCCCCTTGTTCCATAATTTCATGTCAAGTCGTGATGCTCCACGCTTCCTGCAGCGATTCGTTCTGTGAAAGGTCTCCATGTCCACCACACAATGAACTAATCTGACCCGCCTTCTGGCATTGAGTGGAGCCCTCATTTTCCCACCCAGCCAGAATACATTATTTGGGTAAATTAAAGTGCATTATGGTGGAATGATTAAATATAAAAGTAGTTTGTTGTCTTATATTTGTTTTGGCTAAAAGGGAAGTAAATTTGAATTGTGCAGATATCGGTGGGAGTAATCTGTTTTACAAGCACTCTTCTATTTCCCTAACAGTTACTTGTAAAGCCCCATTTTCATTGTCGGTCTATTGTTGTACACTATTCATGTTCACTTACAAATAATGGTTCACTTGCAGTTAACTATTTAATCACCGTGAGAAAAAAAAATCTTCAAATTAACATTTTCGATTTTGCTCCTGCAAATATTACAGCCTGGAGGTGTATTGTTTTCACTTACACGGCAGCATCATCTTAAAGCTCTAAATTGCTTAAAGTCTTGTGTTACATGTTTTAAATATATATGACTGCCATCATTGATAAACCAAGTCATTGCCATCAATGGAATGTAACTCTAAAGCCATTATGAAGAAGGAAAAGCTATAATATAAGTTAATTTACACTGTGGACCTCATATCAGTGGAATCATTGCTAGGGTTTCTACACAGTTAATAAACCTGCAATACTATTCTTAGTTTATTTCCCACAGTTGTGATTATACCGTTTCTGAGTTTAATCATACACCAAGTCAAGCCGGTTCATATGTGGTTTGGGAAATTAAAAAAAGACGTCTTCATGAATCTACTTACAGGCAGCATGTGTTGTATTGTTTTTATGTCTTCTGCAGCTTTTGGGCACAGGTACATTATTACCGATGCTGACAAATACGTCCTCAAGTTTTTAGAGGAGAATGCTGCAATGATCCCAGAAGCAACTCTCAAGACCTTCCAACAGAAGCACGACACAGCAAACTATGAGGAGCGAGAGCCACTGGATACTGAAGCATCGGCCACGGTGCAGGAGCAGTAATAGCACAATGATTCCCACTGCCATCCTGCTTCTCCTCTGTAGCTTTCAAATACTGCAATACGATTGAAATACAGTAATTTCAAATCGCATTGTTGGAGCCCTATACTCAGGGCTTAATTTCCCACTGAATGATTTCTGGGTCACCAGTAGACTTGAGTATGCACATGAATAGTAGTGACATCCGCAGCGATAGGTAAACTGTATGTGGTGTGCCGGATGCAACTCAGACAGTTCCAGCTGAAATCAGGCCCTGCTTATACCATATTTGAGTCATATTGCAATGTGGGCGCCGACTAACTACTGTTATCTTTTCAAATTTAATCAGACTTGAGATTCGAAAACCATACCTTTATTTCATTTTAATACATATATATGAAACACAAACTGAACGCCACATTATTTAAATCAGCACAGGAAGTCAAAACGAACTTTGTAAACTCTGGAGGTTCTCTTGAACATTAAAATATTAATATCAGTTAATATGCTCTCTAGCATCTCATTACATGGATGCATTTAAACTAGCAAACTTGCGTACATACTTATGACAGCTGCAGGCTTGTTTTATTCCCCAAGTTTTAATATAAACCGGTAAAAAAATAATTCACCACTGATGTTAGCCATAGCTGGTAATTAAACTTAAGTCATTAGGTTCAAAGTTCAATGCGCTAAGCACTGCATTATTACTTCACCCCACATATATTGTAATAAATAGAGTATTTAATAGAAATAGGCACCTTGTTAGCATGTATGTGTTGCATTGGAAAATGCTGTTTGCATTTTTTTCTAAAGTTTTGCAGTGCTACACATTTTGGCATTGATGTGTGCTGATATGTAGTTTTTGTGAAATGATTAGAAATGGTTGAGAAAATATTTGTCTTCAGCTGTTACTTTGGTATTTTCTGTATCTTTTATAGTTCATACAGAGAAGTGCATAACGAAATCCCACGTGGTACAATAATGGAAATAAGTGTAAACTTTTCCCCTTTTCAGGGATAAATTGGTGAGAAATGTATCCAAAACATGATGCAATAACTTGCTCCTGATCAAGACTGTGGAGGGATATTTTATTCCAGAAAGAAGCAGACAGAAGAGCAGGCGTAATGTTCCCTCTCAATCATGGTACACACTGATAATAGTCCTGCAATTCATTATTATCGGTGAACTTCCTCTACAGCAGCTTCACATTACAGTGTACTGCTATGTTTACATGCACAATGTGTTTCAGAAAATCCAAAGGCAATACAAAAATGAATATTGTGGTTCGTGTCATTACCGTGCTTTTTTTTGGGCTGATAATATTTAATCTTTGAGTGTTAAGAATTAAAACATTTATCTTGCTTTAGATGCTTGCTAATTCAGTAATCACAGTACAGTATGTCTTGTATGGGTGGGGAAATTTAGGTTAATTCCATCACATGAAATGGGGTGAAGAGCTCATGTTACTGAATTAAGATGTAAATGAGAAATATCTAAACTCAAAATTTTTAATAAAGCAATTTAAATGCCTGTATTAAAGTGTGTGGACACTACTAAACAAGTTCAATATATATACCACCTTGTCGTTTTGAAGTTTTGTCATTTTACACCCATGTCCCCTAATTGGTGATATTATAGTCCGTTATTGTAACGATCAGTATCTGTAAGTTGGGCACATGAATGGATGTGTGATATTTTTTTTAATGGGACAAACACTGACTTAGTGGTGTTTGGTTGCAGTTGTACCATGAAATCCTTGATAATAGGGGTGGCGCATTTTGGCAGTTTTCTGCCTTTCCAAAAATAAATCTGCCTGCAACCTACAGGTAATCGTGTATCAGATAACACCATGAGACTCAAAAAGCGTATCTGCAACTGCTGGAAACTGCCGTTAAAACATAAAACCAGGTGACAACAATCTGATCAAATGTATATCCATTGTCAAATCCATTGCTGGATGAGGGCCTCCCCACGCCGTGGAGGTCAGGTGGGTTATTGGATCAGGGTTGATGAAGGCGAAGATCATGGAAGTGGGAGCATAGTTCAGTACAACAATGGATGTTGCTGCACCGCTCACCACATAGCCCCATAGTCCTATGACAACCCATGCATGGCGGTCGCACATCCAAGCACTAACCAGGCCCTGCTTAGATTCCAAGATTTGAGATAGGGGACATTGCAAGCGATTTCATCATAAATTAAATAAAACAAAATACTCTACACCAATTAATCACAACAACGACATCAAAATAACCACAAAACCTGATTACAAGGCAATGCAACAGCTATACCCATACGACAACTTAGCCACGAAACACTACATCCAATAACAAAAGCCATAGTACAACATAGTTACAGCCAAACTACAGGCATCACAACAGCAACGCCCAAGAGGTGTGGTTTTTTTGTTGTAAAATGAGTTGGATCGATGATGAGATGGATTGGTGGCAAGGTGTGGGTTACAAAGTGAACACGTCATGAGGTGGTGTTATACGAGCTGAGGTCAGCGCACGGTGTTGCGAGTATATGAAGTGTGAGTTGATGTGGTTGGGCGATGAGGTGTGTGTAATGTGGAGTTAAGATGTGTGGGTGATGAGGTGGATCTTTAAGCTGACCAGTGCTACAGGGAGTTTTAGCGGACGTTAAGGTGGTGTTGTTTTCCACTGATGCCGTGCAACATTGGTGGTGATAGAGAAGCAGTGGTGGTAACATATGCAGAAAACAAGATTTGTGTGGAAGTAAATCTGAAATACGACCGTATCTTCACGTGGATTACCATATGACTGTACTGTATGTATAGACATTTACTGATGCATAGGCAACCAATTTAACTGTGTACTGTAATGTTGAAACCAAAATGCCAATCAGTATGATATTACACAATCTCAGCACATTAAGTGTTTTGCCTCAGATGAATATTGACTGAAACACGTGTAAGTACACTACTGCCACGGTGCACATGAACGTTTATGTCGACACGCATAAATTGTACAATTGTGATACGCTATGCGTATCAACAAAATTGTAATTCCGTCATCTAGAATTGGTATGCCGTGCCTCTCCTACAGTGAACATCTTGTGGCACCAACGTGGGAAATGAGTAAGAGTGGCCACCAGGGGACGTGGGACTGACTGGCAGTGGTCAGGGGAACCTCTCGATGGTCCATTGTTTTTTTCCTGTGCTGTGACACCACAGAATTGACCACATTAAAAGCCAGGGGTGTTCAATTGAGACTTGCAAGATCTAGACAGCCCAAGGCTATGACAAAACACTTACATGTTATGGCGATACCAGGGCCACATGACAAATAATGCGTGAAAATTGAGAGGTCTGAAATGAGCATAAAATAGAAAGACAATGACCCACATTTAGCCTGAAAGACATTTGGGTCAAGTGCTGGTAGGACCCTATTAAGTGAGGTCGAAATGGCATACGAGGGGATAGTGTGGCCAACACAAGTCCCAACCATATTCCCCAATGTTTACGCAACCAACTTAGGACTGGGTAGACCCTACGGGAGGCCCAGGACAGGGTCAGATACCACTTGCCACACGTACTGGTGTTGTCCGAAGCCGATAATCCAACCCAGGTGGCTGGGATTGGAACACAGTGCACTCTAAACTTGCGCACCCACACACAACTATAGAGTACACAGAGTCACACATATTTAGAGGTGAAAGGAAATTGTGCTGTGAAATGTATGAAAATACGCACTTCCACCGAGGATTTTGTAATGACGGATGTGTTTGAGACGTGAAATCTGCAGTCTTGTACACTATTAACGCTGTGCTGCAATTTTCTTGTTCAATGTTTTTATTCCAAATAATGTCTACTTAAAAAAAATCTGTAAGTAGTATTCTGCTTTACAAATGTTGTGAAAAAACCTTCCAACAATAGAACTTGTCCATGTACACACTCTGGAAAATTTGCAGCCAATATTATTGATGCTAAATTAATATTGGGTTAACCATGCCCTTTATTAGAATGCCACCATCAAGGTAGGTAGCCACTATAACAGCTACAGGGGTCATGTGAACCCATTTAAACACATACAGATGTAAAATTATTGATTCTTCGGCAGTTTTCATACATTTATTGTGGGCTTAGGAATCTATGAATCGATGCTTCCTCACACTTCTAATATTTATAAAATGTGAATTGGTAAATATTACATATAGGAGCTCTTATAGCCAGATGGTTTGATTCAAGACGCAGTTTGCTTATTGCTTTGTTCGTCTTTGTGGCGAGGAAGGATACCAAGCGTGACTGAAGCCCTACCACGATGAGGCTAAACAACTTCTAAGAATGTGTGTGTGCCAGCAACGAATACAGTGGAACGCCTCTTATCCACTTTGATCTCGGGGGCATGGTCGGGGTGTAACCGTTTTCTGATATTTCCCTAAATGAGAGGAGGAGTTCTCATCCTGTTATCCACAAAAACAACTCCTGTTAGCCACAAAAAACTAACAATGGCATAAAGTTACCCACGTGGCCCTTTGTATCCGTGAAACTTAACGGGATGAATTTATCTCCTGTTGCGACCACTCTGGGACAACTCATCTGATCCATGAAAATAGCAGATAATAAAAAGTAGGAAACATCGGCCCTGCAAACTCGGAAGCACAGGTCAACGGAGTCACGGATACAATGGTCACAGATAAGAGGAATTCCACTGTGTGTGTGGTACAGTTACATTAATTTTGTCAGCATAGATTAAGATGGCACATATGGCGACATTTTCTCATGCGTACATAATTTTTACATTCTTCAGTATGGTGTTATAACTAATGCGTGCCCTAATACATACCATACACTTACTACACATACACTCTAGGAAAGTAGCACTGTACTGCAATCAATTGTATTGTTATATATTGCTCTTTCATGAGTGCATAGATAGGTTCGTGTGTGCATTACGGTACATTGTATAGAAATTGAACATGTGCACAACATGGCTGAACCCTGAGAGTGCCTGCTGTCATAATCTACCATATGGAGTGGTCCTGAGCCTTATATAGTGCCAACATCTGGGCCCCACTCACCCTTAACCCTGATATATTGTACCTTTATTGATGGATTTCATAAACAATTCGTATTTTTGTTGTATATTGTCTCTAATCTTCTTTCGAATGGATTAATAGCAGCAGATGAAAGATGTAATTTCAGATTTGTTATCCACTCAATTGTCTGTTCATAAGCAGAGTGGATCACGTCCATTCCTCCTTAAAAGGAGTGGGGACAGCAGCGGAGTGTTTACGATGCGGTCGATGGTTTGGGATTCGTGACCGGACCACTCCAAGGCCGCCGAATCTTTGATGTGCCGTTTGTCCATCGGGTAGCCGCATCAGGTCATGCCGATTCGGTTGATGGTCGACCACTGGCGAAGTGGAAGGTTTAAACCGGGAGGCTCGATGGTAGGGTCCAGTATGAGATGGTTATTAAATTATTAATAATTTTTTGTCTCTAATGAAGAGTTAGTACTGCTCAGACACTAACAGGCTTAGCACAACACATGCAATTATTGAGGACAATTTGTGCCATTGATGGTCGTGCATTTTAAAGCGTATCATAGTACGGCAGGATATTTTGACCAGAAACATTTTATGTCTTCTTATAAGCCCATGATTACAGTACAGTGTTACTCTATCGTACATTGCAATGTGATATATATTGCTGTAGTTTCCTGGAGTTCCCCATAAGGAGTTTAACATTGCAGATAATCTGTTGCCTGTTTTATTTGTCATGTGGAGAACGCGTGACACAAGTACGTTATGACTGAAACAGAATTGACAATGAACGTCAATATACTGCACCCGGACGTGGTATACCGGAACCGTTAAATTCATCCGATTATCTGATCATTTGCGTGGATAAGAGTGACCCAAAAGGTGGTAGCAGGATCACCCTATTGTCTGGGTTTATCCGCAGTGGAAGAAGACAGTGATCTGTGCAGATAAACACGGTTAATGGGATCACGAACAGAAAACACTGACATCGAATTGGATGTAGGGAAATTCTGCGTATGTACTCATAATCTAACTGAGAATGCAACGAAACTGTATTGCACTTTACATATCTGTATAGACTCCAAATACAGGGCTCTATAAACCCAAAGACAATGAAAGTTACAGCTGCAGCTAACACTGTTTTGACTACCGTGTTCTATTGCCATGTGGATGTCGCAACAAAAAGAGAGTAATGGTAAACAGCACTATTTCACACAACCATTTATAGATGATCTGTAATGCACTCTAACCTTGAAATGGACATGCATTCTGTCAT